TTAAACAGCTCTCTCCCCTAACTCCCTATTCCCCTAGACATCTCACTCCCTTACTCCTCCTAAACATTCCACTCCCCTAACTCCCTATTCCCCTAGAACTACAATCTTTCATTAAGTCACCAGCCTGTGATTATCATCTAACAAACAAAAAAATTCGCCTACACAGCAGTTTTTGGTTGTTTCAACGATTGGACACCAAGTCACATTTTTTAAAATTAAAAAACCAAACAGGCTGGTAGGTTACCTCCCTTAACGAGTGTACAGACATTACCTTGCTATATATGACAAATCCTCCCCCCCCCCTCCCCCTACTACGCTTTTAACAAAATCAGGCTAACGATATTGTTTATGAGACCTTAAAGTCGTGTTTTAAGGATATTGACTATTTTAAAACCAATCGCCCTGAGAGTGATACAAGCGCGTCATTGCCAACTGAGGTACGACGATTGTAATTATGGGAGTTCGTTGTGGGATGGTCTACACCCCCCCCCCTCACCCTTACGACAGGCAATTAACTCTCTGGAATATGTAAGCGACTTTTATCTCCCTTGAAAATGTAAGCAACAAAAATAGCTCTCTCCAAGATGTAAGCAACCGAGCTAGAAGCAGACCTGAGGATGGCGCCACACAACTCATATCTATTCCCTCTAGACCTGACCCCATGATGGATTCAAATGACCTTTTGTTGGGAATTACCTCCCTTGATGAATGTTTCAAAATGGTCGGCCAGCTAGGATCGATTCCAAGTTTTGGATACAAGAAACGCTTTGTGCTGACCATCGGACTGACCATGGGACTGACCAACTGGCCTGACCATGAGACTGACCAACTGGCCTGACCATCGGACTGACCATCGGACTGACCATGGGACTGACCAACTGGCCTGACCATCGGACTGACCAACTGGCTGATAAAATGGACGGAGATGGCAGCTAATGCCAGGACAGGTGAACGATGCCAGACCGGACGTCTTGTTTACATCAGCTAGAGCCGGGTAGGGCGAGTGGCCTTGACCATGCCATCTCAGGCAGGCGACTGTTTACATTAGGGCTATTTCAACCAGGCCTGTGAGTGTAAGTAGTGTGGGGGTGTCTTTCAGCTCCAGCGCACGACTGGGCCGACGTTCTCATGTACACGTGGGCAGATGTACACACGTTTAGATGTACACACGTTTATATGTACACACGTTTAGATGTACAAATGGTGGAATGTACAAACGGTGGCATATACACACGTTTAGATGTACACATGGTGGAATGTACTAACGTCCTTGTGTACAAACGATCAAGTTAAAAAAAATGTTTACATGCAGCAATTAAGTATAATCTATAAACCTAATTAAAATAATTTCTTTAAATTTAAGTAATGCCTATACTATAACGTCAAAAAACCCACACCATCACAGACAGACTAACCCTAACTGCTACAGACAGACAAAAACTTACCGCACACCGCTACAGACAGACTAACCCTAACTGCTACAGACAGACAAAAACTTACCGCACACCGCTACAGACAGACTAACCCTAACTGCTACAGACAGACAAAAACTTACCGCACACCGCTACAGACAGACTAACCCTAACTGCTACAGACAGACAAAAACTTACCGCACACCGCTACAGACAGACTAACCCTAACTGCTACAGACAGACAAAAACTTACCGCACACCACCACAGACAGACTAACCCTAACTGCTACAGACAGACAAAAACTTACCCTACACCGCAACAAACTGACAAAAACTTACACCACACTGCCACAGACAAAAACTTACCTCTCAGCGCCAATGCAACGGGTCCATGTGGCGACAGCTATCCAAAACTTGATCTCATTTAAATATCTGCACGTGCTGCTCGGCCAAGACGAGGCTAAGCTATTACGTCACATCATAACATCCTGCGCGAGGGCCTCGGAAACACACATTCACGTGCGCGCTAACACACACACAAACGTCGGATCAAACACACACACACACAAACACACACATCAAGAGAAACCTCGAGTACCATTTAACCCCTGTGTATGAGAGCTACTACCTGCAATATCAAGTGTTCCCACCTGTGAGTTGCACCTACCTGATCTGATGCTGCTCTCCCCACCACTATCTGGTATCGCCCATCCACTAAGTGCGCGACCCTTTAGTTTGACCAACATCAAAATATCGCATCTTAACACGTGCTAGACAGGCAGGACAGTTTGACCAACTTCAAAATATCGCATCTTCTCAAATGCTAAACAGGCAGGACAGTTTGACCAACATCAAAATATCGCATCTTCTCAAGTGCTAGACAGGCAGGACAGTTTGACCAACATCAAAATATCGCATCTTAACACGTGCTAGACAGGCAGGACAGTTTGACCAACATCAAAATATCGCATCTTCTCAAGTGCTAGACAGGCAGGACAGTTTGACCAACATCAAAATATCGCATCTTAACACGTGCTAGACAGGCAGGACAGTTTGACCAACATCAAAATATCGCATCTTAACACGTGCTAGACAGACAGGACAGTTTGACCAACATCAAAATATCGCATCTTAACACGTGCTAGACAGGCAGGACAGTTTGACCAACATCAAAATATCGCATCTTAACACGTGCTAGACTCTAGGGAAGTACAGGCAGGCCACACAGTAATAGAAGCAGACCTGTTTTTTTATAGGGGTAGGTCAAGTTCTGATAAAAGAAGATGGCCAAGTTTGTAATGTTAAATGTTTGTAGCTTTTATAAAAGAGGCAGGTCTTGTTTTTATATTATAGAGACGGGCCTAGTTGTTATAAGAGACAGGCCTAGTTGTTATAAGAGGCAGGCCTAGTTGTTATAAGAGACAGGCCTAGTTGTTATAAGAGACTGCTCCACACTACGGCTGATGTAATCAAGAGGTGCCCCAAACATCGGGACCCACTGCTCCACACTACGGCTGGTGTAATCAAGAGATGCCCCAAACATCGGGACCCACTGCTCCACACTACGGCTGGTGTAATCAAGAGATGACCCAAACATCGGGACCCACTGCTCCACACTACGGCTGGTGTAATCAAGAGATGCCCCAAACATCGGGACCCACTGCTCCACACTACGGCTGGTGTAATCAAGATATGCCCCAAACCTCACCCACTAGGTTTAATCGGCCCTCCACATTCGTACAAAAAAAAACAAAGAAATAAAATCTCGCTTAGAATCTTATCGTCATCAGTACGCGTAGCGTCAGAAACACACATGCTATAAATAATCTAGTCCTAAAACTTTTTTGTTCGTATGCTATTTCGAAAGTCTGTAAGATTGGCAAGGCAATAACATTGTTATTATATAGATCTAGCCTACAAAAGGGCAATTTGAAAAGTTGAATCATTTCTGTCTCGAGCAATCACCAAACAGACGGACGGAGCAATAAAAATGTTAACCGGAAAATGGCTACGAAACCATATTTTCCACGCCGCATCGAAATACGTCGGTTATTTTCTGCAAGTATCAAGCAGAAATATCAGACCCGACCAGGCTGAAACCAAACTCTAGGAAATAAACTTTTTACTATTGGCAGGATAGTTTTTAAAATAAGAATGCAAAAAATAACAATCCTTGAGTTGTTTTACAACAATGGCTGATGAGAAATTTTCTGCCTAATTAGTTCAAAATATTTTTTTAGCGACGGAGTTCTTACCCTTAGTACAAGGTGTAGCCTGCTTGTTAGAAAAAAAATGGCTGCCACCAGAGGATTTGGGAACTGCATTGTAAACAAACCGTGAGTTTTCAACTTGGCAGACGTCAATAAGGCCAGGGATGGGGGGGGGGGGGGGATAACGGGGAGGGGAGGAGGTCAATATGGTAAAGGCACAATGAGGGAGGCAGAGGTTGTGGAAAGGAGGGTCAGTATGTTGACAACATAATGAGGGTAGGATCAATATGTTGACGATAATCTGGGCGGGGAAAGGGGGAGGAGAGGTAGAAGACATTTCTTCGGCATTAAAAATGTCAATGTGCAACAATAAAAGTTGTTTCAATAAAAGCCATGTTTTTTGTTTTCAGTTCAATAAAAGCCATTTCTTCAGTTCAATAAAAGCCATGTTTTTTGTTTTCAGTTCAATAAAAGCATTGTTTCAGTTAAATAAAAGCCATATTTTAGTTAAATAAAAGCCATTTTTTGTTAGGGGTCGTCCATAAATGATGTCACACTCGTAAGTGGGAGGGAGGGGGTTACGTAAATTTGTGACAGTGTGTGATGAGGGGGGGGGGGGGGTTCAGATGGTGTGACGTCACACTTTTGCATTCTAAAAAAGCAATGTTAGGAAACAAATTTTAGCCGTTATTTCGCAACTGTTTTAATAAATTGTAATGCGAATCGGTTAAAGTACTCTATGTTGACAGAGTTCAGACAAGATTTTGGAAAAATATCGTTTAATAAGAAAAAATCAACTGCATTTTTTTAGATGGGGGGGGGGGGGGGTTGTAGGCTGAGATGTGATGTCATTTTGGGGGGGGGGGTCTGGCTTTTTGTGACGATGACGGAGGGGGGGGAGGTAAAAATCGTCAAAAAAGGGTGACGTCATTATCGATGACCCCTTATCAGTTAAATAAAAGCCATGTTTCAGTTAAATAAAAGCCATATTTCAGTTAAAAATAAAAGCCATATTTTCAGGAAACAAACCCCGACCCATGCCATCACATTTATCTGTCTCCACCAAATTACACGCCCGCCTAAACCAGTGATTTCCCAGGCCACACGGAGTAAAAAACACACAAGATAATATTGACTTTGTGGAGTAGACCAAGGATGACATTGTTTTCTTGTTATTTGCTCGAGGTAATTGAAATATAATAACATGGCGACATAATGGAGGGGAAAAAATGTCAAGTAATTAAAATAGAAAAAAATCCAAAACAAATGTAATTAAGTGTAAATGCAAACATAAAGACAATAAATGGATTAAAAAAACGGATGTAAAGATGAAAAGATGCTTTAATTAAAAACTGGGGGGGGGGGGGGGGGTACTCACAGCTTTATTCTCATCAGCAGCTAAGCGTGCAGCGTAACGGGCAATTAGGCGATGCTCGTCATCGGCTCGACAGGACTCGGCGCTCGTGGTCAGTTTCCTCAGGCTGGGGATGACAAGTTGCTCAGGTCAGAATGCCATGTCAAGGATGTCATATGGAATAGCACAACCCAGGGGAGACAACCTAGGGGGAGGGGCAGAGGACAACCCAGGGGGATCTAAGACAACCCAGGTAAGACAACCCAGGGGGACAGAAGGCAACCCAGGGGGACAGAGGACAACCCAGGGGGACAGAAGGCAACCCAGGGGGACAGAGGACAACCCAGGGGGACAGAGGACAACCCAGGGGGACAGAGGACAACCCAGGGGGACAGAGGACAACCCAGGGGGGTAGAAGAAAACCCAGGGAGAGATAGTTCAATATTTTTTAGACCGTAATTGATGAAATAAATCAGTGCAGTGAAAAGTAAACGTGTTTAACAATATAATTAGAATTAAAAAGAGAAGATTAGTATCAATTTAATAAGACATGAGTTAGCATGGACTTAACATCCACAACACAGAGCCTGAAACTGGTGCACCACTGTGATTACCAACTTGACCCAGGCACTAACTGCCCACTTGACCCAGACACTAACTGCCCACTTGACCCAGACACTAACTGCCCACTTGACCCAGCCATTAACTGCCCACTTGACCCAGACACTAACTGCCCACTTGACCCAGACACTAACTGCCCACTTGACCCAGACACTAACTGCCCACTTGACCCAGACACTAACTGCCCACTTGACCCAGACACTAACTGCCCACTTGACCCAGACACTAACTGCCCACTTGACCCAGACACTAACTGCCCACTTGACCCAGACACTAACTGCCCACTTGACCCAGACACTAACTGCCCACTTGACCCAGACACTAACTGCCCACTTGACCCAGACACTAACTGCCCACTTGACCCAGTCACTAACTGCCCACTTGACCCAGACACTAACTGCCCACTTGACCCAGTCACTAACTGCCCACTTGACTAAAAGCCCACTTGACCCAGACACTAACTGCCCACTTGACCCAGGCACTAACTGCCCACTTGACCCAGACACTAACTGCCCACTTGACCCAGACACTAACTGCCCACTTGACTAAAAGCCCACTTGACCCCGACACTAACTGCCCACTTGACCCAGACACTAACTGCCCACTTGACCCAGACACTAACTGCCCACTTGACCCAGACACTAACTGCCCACTTGACTCAAACTCTAACTTGACCCAGACACTAACTGCCCACTTGACCCAGACACTAACTGCCCACTTGACCCAGGCACTAACTGCCCACTTGACCCAGACACTAACTGCCCACTTGACCCAGGCACTAACTGCCCACTTGACCCAGACACTAACTGCCCACTTGACCCAGACACTAACTGCCCTAACATTGTCCCACTTATCCACTGGCCCATGACTCACCTGGATGGCCCTAACATTGTCCCATTTATCCACTGGCCCATGACTCACCTGGATGGCCCTAACATTGTCCCACTTATCCACTGACTCACCTGGATGGCCCTAACATTGTCCCACTTATCCACTGGCCCATGACTCACCTGGATGGCCCTAACATTGTCCCACTTATCCACTGGCCCATGACTCACCTGGATGGCCCTAACATTGTCCCACTTATCCACTGGCCTATGACTCACCTGGATGGCCCTAACATTGTCCCACTTATCCACTGACTCACCTGGATGGCCCTAACATTGTCCCACTTATCCACTGGCCCATGACTCACCTGGATGGCCCTAACATTGTCCCACTTTTCCACTGGCCCATGACTCACCTGGATGGCCCTAACATTGTCCCACTTATCCACTGACTCACCTGGATGGCCCTAACATTGTCCCACTTTTCCACTGGCCCATGACTCACCTGGATGGCCCTAACATTGTCCCACTTTTCCACTGGCCCATGACTCACCTGGATGGCCCTAACATTGTCCCACTTATCCACTGACTCACCTGGATGGCCCTAAAAGTGTCCCACTTATCCACTGGCCCATGACTCACCTGGATGGCCCTAACATTGTCCCACTTATCCACTGGCCTATGACTCACCTGGATGGCCCTAACATTGTCCCACTTATCCACTGACTCACCTGGATGGCCCTAACATTGTCCCACTTTTCCACTGGCCCATGACTCACCTGGATGGCCCTAACATTGTCCCACTTATCCACTGGCCCATGACTCACCTGGATGGCCCTAACATTGTCCCACTTTTCCACTGGCCCATGACTCACCTGGATGGCCCTAACATTGTCCCACTTATCCACTGGCCCATGACTCACCTGGATGGCCCTAACATTGTCCCACTTATCCACTGGCCCATGACTCACCTGGATGGCCCTAACACTGTATCACTTATCCACTGACTCACCTGGATGGCCCTAACATTGTCCCACTTATCCACTGGCCCATGACTCACCTGGATGGCCCTAACATTGTCCCACTTATCCACTGGCCCATGACTCACCTGGATGGCCCTAACATTGTCCCACTTATCCACTGGCCCATGACTCACCTGGATGGCCCTAACATTGTCCCACTTATCCACTGGCCCATGACTCACCTGGATGGCCCTAACACTGTATCACTTATCCACTGACTCACCTGGATGGCCCTAACATTGTCCCACTTATCCACTGGCCCATGACTCACCTGGATGGCCCTAACATTGTCCCACTTATCCACTGGCCTATGACTCACCTGGATGGCCCTAACACTGTCCCACTTATCCACTGGCCTATGACTTCCTACCATCTTGTGGTAATTCCTATGTGGAGTAATGAGATGAGATGGTGTCAGTATATGATGGCTGACCTAGCGACGCGCAACTAATGAGATGGTGTCAGTATATGATGGCTGACCTAGCGAAGTGAGATGGTGTCAGTATATGATGGCTGACCTAGCGACGCGCAACTAATGAGATGGTGTCAGTATATGATGGCTGACCTAGCGACGCGCAACGCAAGTAGCTTGCAGTCAAATAAAAAAGTTGAAAGAAAAATAGGAAATATTTCTCACTTTTTTCAATGCAATTTTTCTTGTCCATTTTTTAAAGAAATATTTCAATTTAAATTTTTATCTGAATTTCTTTATGCTAATTACATCAACCTCACACAGGTTGTATCCAGTTGTATCAAGCGTCATCGTGTGAACAGTAGCCATCCAGTGGGAGCACAGCCTGCATGCTTAATGTTGACAACAATAACTAAATACTTTTAACTTTTTAACATCTCAGTTTTTTCCCTTTCATGCAGGATTCAGACAACTAATCCCCAATTTAAAGACTATTCATACAACTATTCTGAGTTACCCAGTCTGCTATTGGTACACCAGCTTCAGGTCTCTACTTCCTCAACAAACCACACAATTTATCTCAAAACAAAAACAGTTTTTGTTTCTAGTTACCAAAACTCACCAGAAAATGACATTGAAATATTGAAACGACAGACTCAGTGAACAAACTTAACAACACTGTATTTAATGACCAGCAAGTTTGAATGTCAACATATGTTAACTTATGTTAACCTTATGGCTAAGTCAGACATAGAGTGCTAACAGCTGGTAGCTAGAGTGAAAGAGAAAGGTCTGACCTTCTGGGCTGTGTGCTAGTGAAAGTGAAAGGTCTGACCTTCTGGGCTATGTGCTAGTGAAAGAGAAAGGTCTGACCTTCTGGGCTGTGTGCTAGTGAAAGGTCTGACCTACTGGGCTGTGTGCTAGTGAAAGGTCTGACCTTCTGGGCTGTGTGCTAGTGAAAGAGAAAGGTCTGACCTACTGGGCTGTGTGCTAGTGAAAGGTCTGACCTTCTGGGCTGTGTGTTAGTGAAAGAGAAAGGTCTGACATTCGGGGCAGTGTGCTAGTGAAAGGTCTGACCTACTGGGCTGTGTGCTAGTGAAAGAGAAAGGTCTGACCTTCTGGGCTGTGTGCTAGTGAAAGAAAAAGGTCTGACCTTCTGGGCTGTGTGCTAGTGAAAGGTCTGACCTTCTGGGCTGTGTACTAGTGAAAGAGAAAGGTCTGACCTTCTGGGCTGTGTGCTAGTGAAAGAGAAAGGTCTGACCTTCTGGGTTGTGTGCTAGTGAAAGGTCTGACCTACTGGGCTGTGTGCTAGTGAAAGGTCTGACCTTCTGGGCTGTGTGCTAGTGAAAGGTCTGACCTTCTGGGCTGTGTGTTAGTGAAAGAGAAAGGTCTGACATTCGGGGCAGTGTGCTAGTGAAAAGTCTGACCTTCTAGGCTGTGTGCTAGTGAAAGGTCTGACCTTCTGGGCTGTGTGCTAGTGAAAGAGAAAGGTCTGACCTTCTGGGCTGTGTACTAGTGAAAGAGAAAGGTCTGACCTTCTGGGCTGTGTGCTAGTGAAAGGTCTGACCTTCTGGGCTGTGTGCTAGTGAAAGGTCTGACCTTCTGGGCTGTGTGCTAGTGAAAGAAAAAGGTCTGACCTTCTGGGCTGTGTGCTAGTGAAAGAAAAAGGTCTGACCTTCTGGGCTGTGTGCTAGTGAAAGAGAAAGGTCTGACCTTCTGGGCTGTGTGCTAGTGAAAGGTCTGACCTTCTGGGCTGTGTGTTAGTGAAAGAGAAAGGTCTGACATTCGGGGCAGTGTGCTAGTGAAAGGTCTGACCTACTGGGCTGTGTGCTAGTGAAAGAGAAAGGTCTGGCCTTCTGGGCTGTGTGCTAGTGAAAGAAAAAGGTCTGACCTTCTGGGCTGTGTGCTAGTGAAAGGTCTGACCATCTGGGCTATGTGCTAGTGAAAGGTCTGACCTTCTGGGCTGTGTGCTATGAAAGAGAAAGGTCTGACCTTCTGGGCTGTGTGCTTGTGAAAGGTCTGACCTACTGGGCTGTGTGCTAGTGAAAGAGAAAGGTCTGACCTTCTGAGCTGTGTGCTAGTGAAAGGTCTGACCTACTGGGCTGTGTGCTAGTGAAAGAGAAAGGTCTGACCTTCTGGGCTGTGTGCTAGTGAAAGAGAAAGGTCTGACCTTCTGGGCTGTGTGCTAGTGAAAGAAAAAGGTCTGACCTTCTGGGCTGTGTGCTAGTGAAAGAAAAAGGTCTGACCTTCTAGGCTGTGTGCTAGTGAAAGAGAAAGGTCTGACCTTCTAGGCTGTGTGCTAGTGAAAGAGAAAGGTCTGACCTACTGGGCTGTGTGCTAGTGAAAGAGAAAGGTCTGACCTTCTGGGCTGTATGCTAGTGAAAGGTCTGACCTGCTGGGTTGTGTGCTAGTTAAAGAGAAAGGTCTGACCATCTGGGCTGTGTGCTAGTGAAAGGTCTGACCTTCTGGGCTATGTGCTAGTGAAAGAGAAAGGTCTGACCTTCTGGGCTGTGTGCTAGTGAAAGGTCTGACCTACTGGGCTGTGTGCTAGTGAAAGGTCTGACCTTCTGGGCTGTGTGCTAGTGAAAGGTCTGACCTACTGGGCTGTATGCTAGTGAAAGGTCTGACCTTCTAGGCTGTGTGCTAGTGAAAGAGAAAGGTCTGACCTTCTAGGCTGTGTGCTAGTGAAAGAGAAAGGTCTGACCTTCTAGGCTGTGTGCTAGTGAAAGAGAAAGGTCTGACCTACTGGGCTGTGTGCTAGTGAAAGAGAAAGGTCTGACCTTCTGGGCTGTGTGCTAGTGAAAGAGAAAGGTCTGACCTACTAGGCTGTGTGCTAGTGAAAGAGAAAGGTCTGACCTTCTGGGCTGTATGCTAGTGAAAGAGAAAGGTCTGACCTTCTAGGCTGTGTGCTGGTATGCAGGGAACATAGGTCCAGGGAGTGAGTACTGGAATGGTCCTTGAAACCGTTGTGGATGGCAACAGGAGTTGGTGGCCTGAAAACATCATATCATTAATCAGCGGCTGAGTCAAACACCGCCCCTCCCCCTCTCTTCTGATTACAAAAAAAAGTGGGACACAAGAATGATGACTGGCTTATCTAGTAGTCTGGATTCTTCTATTAAAACTAATATTCTTCCCATAGATGAAAAAAAATATATATACTAAAGTAAATATTCTATATAAAATAAGATTGAAAAGCTGGTTCCGAACGGTTCCAAATTTGTGTTGCCAGAAAGCATATTTTTCAACCAAAATTTGAGTTTTAAGTACAAAATTACATCCGGTTTCATTAAGGCAAAAAAAATAATTACTAGTTATATAAAAGTAATTTAGCAAAACATTTTTATTTTTAATTTGGATTAGTAGAGTCTGGGTGTTGTGGTACTTGGGTGGGGATGTTATATTATTTACAATACTATGCAATACACCATAGATCCCTATTGTGTATTTTTTTCATGGAAAACAATTGTTCTGACTTTTATTGTTTTACTCTCCCTAGCCATTCTGGTTGACTTCAGGGAGAGGTTGAGGGCAGTTTTTGAAAATATTTTAACTGATAAAATAATTATAAACTATTTTTTAACTGGCTTATATTCGATACAAGATTATGAATAAAATCAATGGTTCCCAAACTGCTTCTATTTTTATAAATGTAACTATAACTTTATCGCCTGCCATATTTTTAAAAAGAATTTTCCAAAAATTTAGTATGATTACATAGACTTTTCTTGCCTATCGTCATGTAACAACCCCTTCTTACTTATGAGACATGAAACTTTCTGTTACTGAAAGTATATTCAAGACAAAACTAAAAATTAACCAGGAGTGATCTCCCCTAAACTTTCTCGAATATTCTTATATAAAACAACAGGGGATGGCAACTCGAGATATAGAAATGATTTTTAATCCATTTTTAATTACTTGAACTTTTTAAAATAGAATAGAATCTCGTAGAAAAAAGAATTCCACATCAAGTGAACAGAGTTTCTTCCAGGCATCTCTTCAGTTAGGTTGATGAAATTTCATATATAAGTATTACATCAAATTTGTAGATCTGTATCAACTTTTCAGTGATTTCTGATAACCGGAAGTGGAACTTTTTCCACTTTCAATTTTTCAAAAGCATATAACTTGAGTACTATTTCAGATAGATAAATGAAATTTCAAAATTTCTGTCAAATTTTGAGTAATTTCCGATTTCTCAAAAAACGCATGTGAATTTATAAAGTGCTAATAACATTCCGCACTACTATACACATTTTGTTTGGCGTTCACATAGTGCGCAATTCTTTTTTCTACATGATTCTATTCTATTCTAAAAAGTTTAAGTAATTAAAAATGGATTAACAATAATGTCTATATCCAGAGTTGCAATACCCCATAGTGTTATATAAGAATATCGATTAGTTTAGGGCAGGGGTCGGCAAACTTTGAGACAGAATAGCCAAAAGCTACAATTTACAACATTTCCAAGTTTTTAAAGATCCGCCAACATTTTTATACTATTATTATTAATATTATGATCCTTAATTAGGATTTGGTATATATATATATATATATATATATATATATATATATATATACACATAAAACAATGTATGTGTGTTTGTGTCTGTGTCTGTTTTTCTTTTATGCATTACTAAACCTTTCATTCGATCGCCATGAAACTTGGGAAAATTGTTGAGAATACTCCTAGGGAGGTTTGTGCAAATTTTTTTTTTAATTTCGCAAGGGCGGCGCCCTAGGGGGGTAGAGGTAAGATTTTTCTCTATATACGGTAAAAAAAAAAGTTGTATGCCGTTCGACACAATTTATCCGAGTGCCTTGAAACTTTGGAGAGTAGATGAAAATACTCCCGAGAAGATTTCTGCGAAATTTTTTTTTTAATTTCTTATGGGCGGCACCCGGGTGTGCATTTTTTGTCAATAAACATTTTGGCGCCCAGAGTTCCAGAGCGGCTATGTTAGTACTTGTCATCCGTTAATCGGGCGTTCTGCATAGCGTGTAAGGGGTACTACCATATTAAGCGGGAAAACTGCAACAGACGCAACCGCCGGTGCCTCGTCCATTGGGCGACCCTGCGAGCACTATAGTGCCTACATTGGTTTTTTTAAAAGGCTGTACACTATAGACACGATGGGCAACAATACGTTCATTTTAAACAGCGCGATAGGCTATGGACACAATAAGTTGTTATAGTCGCTCACTAAATTGAATTAGGCGCGTCCTCCGGCGTCACTGCAGGGTGCGATTTGGCGCCCAGGGCTATCCCGTGAGCACTAAGCGCCTACCTTAGTTTTAAGGAACACCCTACAATACGACATTCGATAATTAAACCGAGCTTGGGGCTACGTGACGCCCCGATGGTAGTGTTATCGGATTCACGAGAGCGCCACTTACCGTCGGTGAGTGATTAACGGTGATATTACGGTGAGTGATTAACTTACACTCAAGGCTTTCACACAGCACGCCATGGTGATGGGCCTTAGTGCCCCGATAAATATGATCCAAACACAGGCATTCTTTATATTTAAATAACTCAGTTTTAGGAAACAAGGAAGTAGGTCTACATTGAAATATCGAGTCACTAAATATTCTAATAGAATAGCGAGTGTTTACTGTTTATATTTTTTATTATATCGTTCATTACTGAGTGTTGCAGACTAATACTTTTAGGAGCTTTAAAAATAAAATAAAATAATTATTTATATTTTTTCATCGAGCTGAAGAGCCGCATCTTGACATCAAAAGAGCCACATGCGGCTCGCAGGTTGCCGACCCCTAGTTTAGGGCAGGGGTCGGCAACCTGCGGCTCGCGAGCCGCATGTGGCTCTTTTGATATCAAGATGCGGCTCTCCAGCTCCTTGCACAAATATTAATAATCTTAATAAAAAATAAACTATTTTAAATAAAAAAAATGTTAGTGGCTCTTTAAAACCAGGGTAATTTTGAAAATTGTAATTTTTGGCTCTTCCGCTTCAGGTTGCCGACCCCTGGTTTAGGGGAAATTACTCCGGGTTTATTTCTGTGCATAATTACAATACTTCTTCTATAGGAAAGTAAAAGATAAGAATAGAAATAAATTAAATTTTATGGCAGCATTTCTTATTCATATATTCTTTTCTCATTCTTTTCCATTGTGATCATGCTAAAAAATTTTTGTCCATATTTTTATTTATTGACTACAATATTTAAGTTTTAATCTGTTAAAATGTTAACATTTTTTAAATGTGAAAAAAGCCCCATGTGCCTACTGTTGTTACTGTTTTAAACTAGTTTACTGTTATTATTATTAATAGTAAAAATATTATTTGTGCTTACTTCCCTTTATCAGACATCACTGTACAAATAATTTCAACAAAACAAGCAAGACTGGAGGATTTTGCATCTAATGATTAACTTTATAACAAGATTCTACTAATTCTTTTTCAAAAAGGTAAACAAATTGTTAAAAGAACAAAAATCAAATGTGGGTAATTGGTGGTTATTAACTCTTGCCAAGGGAGGCGACTGAATGTCCCTCCACTGCTACAATAATTCATATTCAAAGTCATTCAAACACGTATTAAATATTCTACCTTCTTTAAACTATTCAAGTTGTATCAAATTATATTTATTCCTAAGTAAAGCTCAATGTAGGTAAGGTAAGACAACAAACAAATGAAAACAAATACAGACAATAAATGACAGATACAAATAAATACTGACAAAATAAATGACAACCATATAAATACTGACACAATAAATGACAGAACCAAATAAATACTGACACAATAAATGAGAGATACAAATAAATACTGACACAATAAATGAGAGATCCAAAGTCTTCTGGGGAGTGTCAGGAAAATGTGGGAGCTGGGATCCCACTTTTGATGGGACACAGTCAAACGATTTCTTGATGGCTCGCCCCACTTGCTTGGAACCTGATCTCTGGGGAATTAAAGGAGATTTTAATTCAGTGATATCGACACAATAGTTTTAGTTAAAGCTGATTTAGTGTTATCAACACAATCATTTTAGTTAAAGCTGATTTAGTGTTATCAACACATTTTTTAAAATTTAGTGCTTTTATTTATTTTACTAAAAAAAAATTAAAAGATTTTCTATTAAAATAATTTTTAATACGCTAGTTTTCTGACTCTAATTTGATGAGACAAGTCAGGTACAACTAACCCAGTCAAACCCTGAGCCAACTACTCACATAAGATGTGTGCTCCTTCATGTCATGATCGTTGCTATGGTTACCAGAGGTTTTCCCTCTCCAGAAACAATCCTGACACAAGTTGTAGTTGCAGCAGCGTCGACACTTGTAGCGAAATCCTGCGATGGAAGCTCTGTGGCAGGCCTCACACTGGACAGGGTGGATCACTGGACACAACAGTTGGAACAACATTTATTCTAGGGTGGATCACTGGACACAACAGTTGGAACAACATTTATTCTAGGGTGGAGCACCATTTAAAAAAAAAATCTTATCTAACATGTACACTTGAAAACCCCATGATAAAAAATCTTTGTGAATCCATCATTAACTAAATCAAGCAATATTTTTTTTTTACCAGTGAAGAAAAACAGATAAAGACAGGTAGCCTTAGGTTTATTCTGCTTCACAATAAAGCAGCTTTCTATTGTGAGTGAAACAAAGTACATAACAACTTAATGATTTTAACTGTGAGATTGAGTACACAAGAAGAACTAAACTTAATGATTAAACTGTGAGTACACAAGAAGAACTAAACTTAATGATTTCAACTGTGAGTACACAAGAAGAACTAAACTTAATGATTAAACTGTGAGTACACAAGAAGAACTAAACTTAATGATTTTAACTTTGAGTACACAAGAAGAACTAAAGTAGCTTAAGTGAATAAGTTTGTACACAGCTTCTATCATTGAGCATCTACATCCATGTAATAGAGTTTGCTAGTGAAACCTAACATTTTTACATTTTAACCTGTTTGGTGCTAAAAGTCTGGCATATTGACACCACATAAAACATTGAGGAAACTTGAAGAATGGAGGATAGACAAACAACATTAAATGAACTACAAAATAACACCCCAACCCCCTATTTATTAACACATCAATCCCTATGAGTAATGTAAATAAAACATTGTATGACATTGTATTTTTTAACTGAGAGAGTAAACATATCTCTCTCTCACAACTGATGTGTAAACTTGTGTAAAGTCAGGGCACCCTTTACTTTGTGACACATCCCCATCTGTGATGACCTACCTTAGTAAAGTTTGACCTGTAAAAATGACCTTTAAAGATGACCTACCAATCTATAATCTGACCTTTAAAGATGACCTACCAATCTTTAATCTGACCTTTAAAGATGACCTACCAATCTATAATCTGACCTTTAAAGATGACCCACCAATCTATAATCTGACCTTTAAAGATGACCTACCATTCTCTACATGAGCCATCCTGTTGAGGGCAGGTAACCACATCAGACACTGGCGACCTGGGATGGTCATCATGACGGACAGGAAGTCATTGACAGTTACAGGGTTCTGTGAGGTAACATAGAGAACACACATTTTTACAGGTGACAGTTACGGGGTTCTGTGAGGTAACATACAGCACACACATTTTTACAGGTGACAGTTACGGGGTTCTGTGAGGTAACATACAGCACACACATTTTTACAAGCGCAATTTATGCCAACCATTTGATAAAAATTTAAACTTTTCAAATCAAGTGAAAAACTAAAACCAAAACTTATTAAATCACACGCAAAGCTTAAAATAAAAACTTACTAAATCACACGCAAAGCTTAAAATGAAAACTTACTGAATCAAAAAATGTTCTGGAAGCTTCTTCCGAGTACCTAAATGATGTTCCCTCATACACAGCAGCAGGCAGTAGAAGTAAATCACGCAGGTAGTCGTCAAATCGTGACCTGATCATGTGACCAGATGAGTCAGAAATCAAAGTGAAAATATCTGAAAAGATCGAGCATCAAATAATGATAGAGATTCCTACAATATTGGAATATTAACTGAAAATGTTTTATCACCAACAAATTTTCAATTAAAACTTTCCTTAAATAAACAACAGTGCTAAATTACAAATGATTTATTCAAAAACTAAACTGGAAATTAAATGAAATATTTTTAGAAAAAAAAATTGTAAAAGTCGAACTAGCAACATTTTGTTTTTGATCACCATCTAAGTCTAAGTTAGTCCAATTGTATGACTCTTGGTAAAAGTAATTTGCTTTAAAATACTGAGTTTAAACATATACTAGCTGCTGGGAGGAGATAAAAACAATTTAACAGCCATTTTTACTAATTATTTCAAATATTCTTTTACAGTTAAACTTTTTTATTTGTTATTGGCGATAAACATTATCAAAACTTGTCCCTGATCACTGCTACTACTGACCACTGCTACTACTGACCACTACTGCTACTACTGACCACTGCTACTACTGACCACTGTTACTACTGACCACTGTTACTACTGACCACTGTTACTACTGACCGACCACTGCTACCACTGACCACTGTTACCTGACCACTGCTACTACTGACCACTGCTACTACTGACCACTGCTACTACTGACCGACCACTGCTACTACTGACCACTGCTACTACTGACCACTGCTACTACTGACCACTACTGCTACTACTACTGCCACGGACCACTGCTACTACTGACCACTGCTACTACTGACCACTGTTACCTGACCACTGCTACTACTGTCACTGCTACTACTGACCACTACTACCACTGACCACTACCACTACTGACCAATGCTACTGACCACAACTTACATCTAAGCTTGTCTATAAGTTTTCCTGAGGACAGATGAGCAAGAGCAACCTTCACAGCAAAGGCTCGTATATGACCAGTAGACTCTCTGTGGGGGAAAACAAGAACATTACAGAAAAATTACCTAATGGTTACTTTATTTCACTGACATAATGTTAACTTAGTATCAGTGACCTAATGTTTACATTGTATTAGTGACCTATTGTTTACTTTATTATATCACTGATCTAATGTTTACTTTCCGTCAGTGAACTTATGTTTACTTTGTATCAATTACCTAATGTTTACTTTATATCAGTGAGCTAATGTTTACATTGTGCCAGTGACCTATTGTTTGCTTTATATCACTAACCTAATGTTTACTTTGTATGGATGACCTATAGTTTAGTTTGCATCAGTCACCCAATGCTGGTAATCTATAAATCATTATGACTTTCATAAGATTTTGTTGCTATTTTTTTAAAAATGACTTTATCACTAACTTTAAATGACAAGCTGTAATCAAGTAAATGTTTTTAATGTTGAGTATTAGAAAGTCCTTCTAAAATTTTGCTTCAAATTTGTATTCACATCCAACCAAAAAAAAATTGAAACTTTGCCAAAAAACAGATACTTTTATCTGGCTGGAACAGGTTTACAAGCAGCTGTAAATAAATGGGAAGGTAAACTCTCCTGGAAAATTAAATGGCCATCTGGCAAATCATTTGCTACAGTCTGGCATGTTTACCTGGCATGTTTACCTGGCTTGAATATTGGATTGATGTGGTGGAATTTCAATTTTTAAAAATTTTAATGTACAGGAAATTTTCCCCACCTGTCGTAGGCAGACATCAGCCAGTTCAAGGTCAGACTGACACATCTGTCAACATGCACTGACTGGGCTTGTGGCAGACGTTTGTTCAACTGACAAAAGGCCGTGTGCAGGACTGACTCCAGACGCGAGGCATCAATCTCACTGACTGGCTCAACCGTGTGGAGCAGGTTTTCTCTGAACGCTTCGATCATATTCCAGATGTCAATTTGGTACACTGAAATATACACAATTTTACATGTCAATTTGGTACACTGAAATATACACAATTTTACATGTCAATCTGGTACACTGAAACATACACAATTTTACATGTCAATCTGGTACACTGAAATATACACAATTTTACATGTCAATCTGGTACACTGAAATATACACAATTTTACATGTCAATCTGATACACTGAAATATACACAATTTTACATGTCAATCTGGTACACTGTAATATACACAATTTTACATGTCAATCTAGTACACTGAAATATACACAATTTTACATGTCAATGGCACCCCAACTTACAATGTTGATACAACAATGGTGCCCCAACTAAAATGTTGATATAACAATGGCGCCCCAACTTACACTGTTGATACAACAATGTTGATACAACAATGGTGCCCCAACGAAAATGTTGATATAACAATGGTGCTCCAACTTACGTTGATACAACAATGTTGATACAACAATGGTGCCCCAACTTACTGTGTGTTTACCCTATTGAACTCACAATGTTGATAAAGCATAAACTTACAGTGTGTTTGTTTCTGTATAAACCTCAGCTTGCAGGCTGTTCTGTATGTGGCAAACACAATGACATCAAAGTTCTGCGCCCCTGTTAAAAGTAGTTTAGTTAATCACTGAATCAGGGTAGAGGATATCTGTAGTGGCAGGCAATAACACAACTCAGTCATTTTTATAATTACATTTTTTTTAAATAGCTGATTAGGGAACAAAAAAATAAGGAATCAATACAGCACATCAAATAATTGTTGCTAAATTTAGAAAGCAAAGCTTGTTAAACATAACTGTAGGCCTGACAATAGAGACTTGAGCTATGTTGAAATATTGCAGGAAATGAAATGATGCCATTAGATGATAAGTTTAGTTAGAGAATATACTGAACTGTAAAACATCACAGAGGGGCAATACAATTTGTAGCACTAATTTTGTAGCTTTGTGTTTTGATGAGCAATATTTCCTTATGCTACTCAATGAACACTCCCCCCCCCTCCCCTTCGACCCCCACCCCTATGTTAACAAGGTGATGAATCTATTGATTGTCTTCTCTTGGCTCCAGGTCTGGAATAGAAAATAACACGAGGGTCTACTCAGGGGATACTGTGCTACAGATCTTGGCATCTGTGTCCTATAAGGATGGTCCTAGTGTAGTCCTACAGAGAAGGTCCTGGTGTAGTCCTGTTGTAGTCCTACAGAAAAGGTCCTAGTGTAGTCCTTCAGAGAAGGTCCTATTGTAGTACTACAGAAAAGGTCCTAGTGTAGTCCTTTAGAGAAGGTCCTATTGTAGTACTACAGAGAACCCCAGTGTAGTCCTAACTACAGACATGAGGTCCTAGTAAAGTCCAACAGAGAAAGTCCTAAGGTTGTCCTACAGAAAAGGTCCTGGTGTAGTCCTGCAGAAAAGGTCCTACAATAGTACTACAGAATAGGATAGGTTCTAGTGTAGACCTTGCTAAAGACTACAGAAAAGGTCCTAATGTATTCCTAGCTACAGACTACAGAAAAGGTCCTAGTGTAGTCCTGCAGAAAGTCCTATTTTTAGGTGTAGTCCTACAGAAAAGGTCCTAGTGTCGTCCTAGCTACAGATGAAAGAAGAGGTCCTAGTGAGTAGGTAGAAGCCAAGGAGTGCATCTATCTTCAAATCTAATGACATTTAATACAATGTGCGGGTGATTTTTAAAAATTAACAAACCTATCTGCTACAAAAGTTATTAGGAATTAAGTGTTTGTCTCAGTATCCAGCAGAAAAAACTATGTATCAGTATCCAGCAGTTAAAAACTATGTATCAGTATCCAGCAGTAAAAAACTATGTATCTGTATCCAGCAGTAAAAAAACTATGTATCAGTATCCAGCAGTAAAAAAAAACGTACTCATCTCTGACATAAGTTGCCTGAGCTGTGCCTTGGCTTTGGGTACAGTACACGTCATCTCCACAGCCATGCTGTCCCTGATGGTGTCATCTTCTGTCAGGTAGCCTGCAGGTAGATCACACAAACTATCATCACATGACTTAATTATACTGACTACAACAATTACATCTTCTGTCAGGTAGCCTGAAGGTAGGTCAAACAAACGGTTATCATCACGTGACTTAGTTATACCATTTTACTTATCAACAATCCAGACAACAGCAGCTTACACTAGAACTGAATAACAACAGCAGCTTACACTAGACCTGAATAACAGCAGCTTATACTAGACCTGAACACCAACCTACACTCGACTTATCATACTGGCCACTGCATGTGGTTGCTCCCTCTAGACAAAGTTGAGACACATGATACGGGGACTCTAGCCAGGTAGGTAGGGCAGGTGAGAGGCAAACAAGGTGATACAGTTTAACCTTTTCAAGTTGGGGAAAACAATGGAACAAGATACCTCATGGGGTAAGTGTACACCTACCTGGTGAGGTAAGTGTACACGACGTAGTATAGATTACTTGATGGGGTTAGCGTACAAGACATTACCTGGTGTGGTAAGTGTACACTTACCTGCTGAGGTTAGTGTACACGACATAGTTTTGGTTACATTATGGGGGCCAGTGAACAAGACAATTACTTGATGAAGTAATTGTACAAGACACGGTAAGTTACCATTGGTAAAAATTGTACAATTGACACAGGGTATAAGATAGAGTTTTGTGATTGTAATGCTTAAATAGAGTGGATGATTGGAGGTCTGACCTCTCTCACTACACATGACGTAGTGGCAGGTGGGAGGGGGGAGATTTAAGAGTTCATACACCAGCATCGTGTATGGGTGATAGAGTCGGGGCTAAGCTGTTTGATGTGTTCACGTTTCAAGAACTGGAGGCTGGCACTGCCTGATTCTCGTACGTTATGGGGAGATCCAGTTGAACTGGGGAAGATTCAGTTGAACTGGGGAAGATCCAGTTGAACTGGGGAAGATCCAGTTGAACTGGGAAAGATCCAGTTGAACTGGGAAAGATCCAGTTGAGCTGGGAAAGATCCAGGTATTTTGTGACGATGTGTGACGGGTGCTCAAAAATGTGAAGACACGATTTTGCAATGTCGTTATTTAGCGTTTTCAAAAGTGTCTTTTTGTGTGATTTGTTATAGAAATGGGTTAATAAACTGTATGGTGACCGTGCAAAGTACATATTTTAGAAAAACCAAATCGATGTTTTAAAACACGAAAATGCAATTTTGAGGGGGTAGTAGGGTGAGATGTGACGTCATTCCAAGGGCGGGGGACGGGCTTTTTAGTGACAGTGCGTGACGGTGGGAAATCGGTTATTAAAATCGTCAAAAAATCGTGACGTCACTAATAGATTCTCCCCCCCCCCCCCCTTACATATTTTAGAAACTGTTATTAGAGAAAGCATGTTATTTTATTATTTTCGGAGCATTTAAAAGAGTTTTATTATAAAAGTTTCTTAAATTTGTTTTATTTATCAGTGTTTATCAGTTTTGGGGGGGGGGGGGAGTATCCTTAAATGACGTCACAATTATAACAAGTATCGAGTTGGTTAGTCGAGCTTTCTAGCACCCAGCCACGCCGACCGCCTTATTATTGTAAAGGTACTTTATATTGATGTTATTTTCCACTAATTGTGTATTTTGAAACAAAAAGAGCTTGTACGTGAAATAAAAGCTTCTATAAAGAGTTACTCACCCCTGTCCTGGAGCTCCTTGTTGATGTCACTGATGACGTTGGCAAACCTGTACCTGTTTACATCTAACGTCTCCATGGCAACAGGCGACCACGGGTCAGGAAAACTGTGCTAGAGTCTTCTAGAATATCCCCATGGCTGTCTGTCCTGTTAAAGAATCCAAAAGTTTAGCATCTCAGACTTTGGAGACTCACGGCCTACTCCGGCCTAGGACAGTGCCGGTTCATCTACAATGTACATAACGTGGCATGGTCTGGTCTAGCGGGGAGAGTACTGGTATGTGTGAGTTCCCCACGTGGCCGGTGTGTTGCTCTACAAACCCTGGTATGTGTGAGTTCCCCACGTGGCCGGTGTGCTGCTCTACAAACCCTGGTATGTGTGAGTTCCACACGTGGCCGGTGTGCTGCTCTACAAACCCTGGTATGTGTGAGTTCCACACGTGGCCGGTGTGTTGCTCTACAAACCCTGGTATGTGTGAGTTCCCCACGTGGCCCATGTGCTGCTCTACAAACCCCAACATATTGTAAACAACACAGAAACATTTCAGCCTATTGAATAACCAACACATGAACTTACTGCACGTGAGTCTGTTTTATTTGTTCACCCAACGATCACCAATGCAACATATTATCTGTATAACCCAAGGTGTGTGAGGGTAGGGGGTGGGGGTTGTCTGCAGAGAGACGGAATTTAAAAACACTTGTAATGTGGATACTCTAGAAACCGAAAGTAAACGAGAAAACACGAGATATGATGGCGTATCACTATGAACAAAGAAACGCCCCCTTAGACAGATGGAATCTTTACGGCTGAGAGAAAAATCATTAAGCACGTTGTTTTTTTTTTTCAACCTTTCCCCTGCCCGAATGTGCTGTTCTACACACATTGAGGCTGACCTTGGTGTAGATAACATTAGATCACGTGATCTGACGGACTAGTTATTTGTGTACAAGTCGCATCACTAGACCCACACGATGATTGTACTAGACCCACACGATGATTGTGCTAGACCCGCACGATGATTGTGCTACATCACTAGACCCACACGATGATTGTACTACATCACTAGACCCGCACGATGATTGTACCAGACCCACACGATGATTGTACTAGACCCACACGATGATTGTACTAGACAAACACGATGATTGTACTACATCACTAGACCCACACGATGATTGTACTAGACGCGCACGATGATTGTACTAGACGCGCACGATGATTGTACCAGACCCACACGATGATTGTACTAGACCCACACGATGATTGTACTAGACCCACACGATGATTGTACTACATCACTAGACCCACACGATGATTGTACCAGACCCACACAATGATTGTACTAGACCCACACGATGATTGTACTACATCACTAGACCCACACGATGATTGTACTAGACCCGCACGATGATTGTACTAGACCCACACGATGATTGTACTACATCACCAGACCCACACGATGATTGTACTACATCACCAGACCCACACGATGATTGTACTACATCACCAGACCCACAAGATGATTGTACTAGACCCACACGATGATTGTGCTACATCACTAGACCCACACGATGATTGTACTAGACCCGCATGATGATTGTACCAGACCCACACGATGATTGTACTAGACCCACGCGATGATTGTACTAGACCCACACGATGATTGTACTAGACCCACACGATGATTATACTAGACCCACACGATGATTGTACCAGACCCACACGATGATTGTACTACATCACTAGACCCACACGATGATTGTACTACATCACCAGACCCACACGATGATTGTACTAGACCCACACGATGATTGTACTACATCACTAGACCCACACGATGATTGTACTAGACCCGCACGATGATTGTACCAGACCCACACGATGATTGTACTAGACCCACGCGATGATTGTACTAGACCCACACGATGATTGTACTAGACCCACACGATGATTGTACTAGACCCACGCGATGATTGTACTAGACCCACGCGATGATTGTACTAGACCCACGCGATGATTGTACTAGACCCACGCGATGATCGTACTAGACCCACGCGATGATTGTACTACATTACTAGACCCACGCGATGATTGTACTAGACCCACACGATGATTGTGCTACATCACTAGACCCACACGATGATTGTACTAGACTCACACGATGATTGTACTAGACCCACGCGATGATTGTACTAGACCCGCACGATGATTGTACTAGACCCACACGATGATTGTACTAGACCTACACGATGATTGTACTACATCACTAGACCCACACGATGATTGTACTAGACCTACATGATGATTGTACTACATCACTAGACCCACACGATGATTGTACTAGACCCGCACGATGATTGTACCAGACCCACACGATGATTGTACTAGACCCGCACGATGATTGTACTAGACCCACACGATGATTGTACTAGACCTACACGATGATTGTACTACATCATTAGACCCACACGATAATTGTACTAGACCTACACGATGATTGTACTACATCACTAGACCCACACGATGATTGTACTAGACCCACACGATGATTGTACTACATCACTAGACCCACACGATGATTGTACTAGACCCAAACGATGATTGTACTAGACCTACACGATGATTGTACTACATCACTAGACCCACACGATGATTGTACTAGACCTACACGATGATTGTACTACATCACTAGACCCACACGATGATTGTACTAGACCCACACGATGATTGTACTAGACCCACACGATGATTGTACTAGACCCACACGATGATTGTACTAGACCCACGCGATGATTGTACTAGACCCACACGATGATTGTGCTACATCACTAGACCCACACGATGATTGTACTACATCACTAGACCCACACGATGATTGTACTAGACCCACACGATGATTGTACTAGACCCACGCGATGATTGTACTAGACCCACACGATGATTGTACTAGACCCACACGATGATTGTACTAGACCCACACGATGATTGTGCTACATCACTAGACCCACACGATGATTGTAATAGACCCACACGGTGATTGTACTAGACCCACACGATGATTGTACTAGACCCACACGATGATTGTACTAGACCCACACGATGATTGTGCTACATCACTAGACCCACGCGATGATTGTACTAGACCCACACGATGATTGTGCTACATCACTAGACCCACGCGATGATTGTACTAGACCCACACGATGATTGTACTAGACCCACACGATGATTGTGCTACATCACTAGACCCACGCGATGATTGTACTAGACCCACACGATGATTGTGCTACATCACTAGACCCACACGATGATTGTACTAGACCCACACGATGATTGTACTAGACCCACACGATGATTGTGCTACATCACTAGACCCACGCGATGATTGTACTAGACCCACACGATGATTGTACTAGACCCACACGATGATTGTGCTACATCACTAGACCCACGCGATGATTGTACTAGACCCACACGATGATTGTACTAGACCCACACGATGATTGTACCAGACCCACACGATGATTGTACTACATCACTAGACCCACACGATGATTGTACTAAATCACCAGACCCACACGATGATTGTACTAGACCCACACGATGATTGTACTACATCACTAGACCCACACGATGATTGTACTAGACCCGCACGATGATTGTACCAGACCCACACGATGATTGTACTAGACCCACGCGATGATTGTACTAGACCCACACGATGATTGTACTAGACCCACACGATGATTGTACTAGACCCACGCGATGATTGTACTAGACCCACGCGATGATTGTACTAGACCCACACGATGATTGTACTAGACCCACGCGATGATTGTACTAGACCCACACGATGATTGTGCTACATCACTAGACCCACACGATGATTGTACTACATCACTAGACCCACACGATGATTGTACTAGACCCACACGATGATTGTACTAGACCCACGCGATGATTGTACTAGACCCACACGATGATTGTACTAGACCCACACGATGATTGTACTAGACCCACACGATGATTGTGCTACATCACTAGACCCACACGATGATTGTAATAGACCCACACGGTGATTGTACTAGACCCACACGATGATTGTACTAGACCCACACGATGATTGTACTAGACCCACACGATGATTGTGCTACATCACTAGACCCACGCGATGATTGTACTAGACCCACACGATGATTGTGCTACATCACTAGACCCACGCGATGATTGTACTAGACCCACACGATGATTGTACTAGACCCACACGATGATTGTGCTACATCACTAGACCCACGCGATGATTGTACTAGACCCACACGATGATTGTGCTACATCACTAGACCCACACGATGATTGTACTAGACCCACACGATGATTGTACTAGACCCACACGATGATTGTGCTACATCACTAGACCCACGCGATGATTGTACTAGACCCACACGATGATTGTACTAGACCCACACGATGATTGTGCTACATCACTAGACCCACGCGATGATTGTACTAGACCCACACGATGATTGTACTAGACCCACACGATGATTGTGCTACATCACTAGACCCACGCGATGATTGTACTAGACCCACACGATGATTGTGCTACATCACTAGACCCACACGATGATTGTACTAGACCCACACGATGATTGTACTAGACCTACACGATGATTGTACTACATCACTAGACCCACACGATGATTGTACTAGACCTACACGATGATTGTACTACATCACTAGACCCACACGATGATTGTACTAGACCCACACGATGATTGTACTAGACCCACACGATGATTGTACTAGACCCACACGATGATTGTACTAGACCCACACGATGATTGTACTAGACCCACGCGATGATTGTACTACATCACTAGACCCACACGATGATTGTACTAGACCCGCACGATGATTGTACTAGACCCACACGATGATTGTACTACATCACCAGACCCACACGATGATTGTACTACATCACCAGACCCACACGATGATTGTACTACATCACCAGACCCACACGATGATTGTACTAGACCCACACGATGATTGTGCTACATCACTAGACCCACACGATGATTGTACTAGACCCGCATGATGATTGTACCAGACCCACACGATGATTGTACTAGACCCACGCGATGATTGTACTAGACCCACACGATGATTGTACCAGACCCACACGATGATTGTACTAGACCCACACGATTATTGTACTAGACCCACACGATGATTGTACTAGACCCACACGATGACGAATGACAAGTTGTTACAGTTACAGTTTTGTGAGGGGTCACATAAGTTACAGTATTGGGGGGTTGCATAAGTTACAGTATTGGGGGGGGGGGGGTTACATATCTGTTACAGTGTATGAGCTGTGGTGGGAGCCAGTATGACATAAATCACCCACCCGACACCAACCTCACACCCTACCTCTCAATCACTCATTAAAAGTTTGAGAAAGTTTATATTGACCTTGTATGAAACTGACAAAAAAAAACAACTACGGAGTGACAACTTAATCAAAAACGCCCCCCCCCCCCCCCCATCAAATGAAACAACATCTTCCCTCCTGTGCTTTATACGTGCACAAAACTGCAGCCACCCGAATAACGCTGTTTTTATCTTTACACACACTTTCCCCAATCGAATTGTTCGTCTCCCCTCATATTTTCAACAAAATTGGCGCACTTCGGAGAGGAGCAGAATCGATTCCCTTGACCTTGAAACATGACATTAATAGAATATAACAAGGGGGAAAATTTGATCTTATCAAACGAGATTTTACGCGGTCCAACGATTTTTTAGGCAACACATTTTCCAACACTTTATTGTGAAAAATTACGACGCTGTTAAAATAAAGGCAGACGTTTTATAATGAGACATCTAGTCGAAATACAACAAGACTAGACAAGTGCTAAGATATGTTTAAAACACAACGTGAGGTGACGTATGTTTGTTATCAGTCTGGTGAGCTGTTTGGTGAGTTTCATAGCTAGACTCGGTTGGTTTGATAGGAGTTGAAAGGTCAGCTCGATGGTTATAGAGCGGTAAATCAGCTTGCATGGAATAAAAAAGATCAATTAGATTGGTGAAAGGTCGAAGGTCAATTAAACTAGTGCGGGGTCGTATGGTCCGTTAGATGAGTTAAAGCAGGTCATTACATTTTTTGTAGAGCCATCCTGTAAAGCAGTGGGAAAGACTGTGGCGTCAGGGAGCCTGCTGTGTGACGTCAGTGAGCCTGTGTGACGTCAGTAAGCCTGTTGATTGACGTCAGTGAGCCTGCTGTGTGACGTTCCTGAGCCAGAGATGTGACATGAGTGAGCCCTTCAAGATCTACCTAGTTCCAACGGATCGTTTTACAGAAGAACAGGTTGAGTGACCTGATCGGACAGGGTGACCTAACCCTAACGTCAGGTTGAGACAGTTGACCTAACGTCAGTTGACCTAATATTACCGTCAAATCACCAGCTTGTTGCCACGATGTGAAGCAGTTAACAGATGACAATGTCAACACAAATTTCTCGGGAGTGAGTCACGTGATCGATAGCACTTTAGCCATGGTGGTGTATGCGGGCATCGCGTGTACTCGCCTACACGGTAGGTAACAACGGCATAGCACAACCACAGCCACATACCATCACACTGCAACAGCTACATACCATCACAGTACAACCACAACTACATACCATAACACTACATCCACAGCCACATACCATCACACTACAACAGCTACATACCATCACAGTACAACCACAACTACATACCATAACACTACAACCACAGCTACATACCATCACAGTACAACCAAAACTAAATACCATATCACTACAACCACAGCTACATACCATCACACTACAACAACAGCCACATACCATCACAGTACAACCACAGCTACATACCATAACACTACAACCACCGCAATATACCATCAGAAAATTCTCAAAAATGTCTTCTCCGCTCACAAAACCACTTTACTTTTCCACACGACAAAACCACATATTCCTAAAACAAAACCACATATTCCCACAACAAAACCACATATTTCCACATCGAAACCACATATTCTCACAACAAAACCACAGATTCCCCACATCAAAACCACATATTCTCACAACAAAACCACATATTCTCACCACAAAACCACATATTCCCACAACAAAACCACATATTCCCCACATCAAAACCACATATTCTCACAACAAAACCACATATTCCCACAACAAAACCACATATTCCAACAAAAAAAAAAACACATATTCCCACGACTAAACTACATATTCTCCCATATTTTTCTCTTCTGTTCGACCCCCCCCCCCCCCCCCCCCATGTCAAAACAAACTTGAACCTATTCACCTCGAACTGTTAAAAGATTCCAGACGATCGGATCGAATGTTTAAAAAAAAACATTTTCTTAGCTAGCCTTTCCCGCAATTGATTTGTACAGATAAAATGAAGCGAATTTTGTGCTCAGCTTAACGAAAAATCTATTCCATTATTTTATTTCCATGCTAAATCTACAATAAATTCTATCAAATGTGACAATATGCGAGCGTAAGTTTTAGGTTTGTGTTTCTAGTCTAGGCCTGCGTTAACAGTATTGGTGTAACAACACATGGCTTACAGTAAAACTCTGTCCTTAAGTTTTGGTACAAACAACACAAAGCTTACAGTAAAAGTCCTTAAGTTTTGGTACAAACAACACATGGCTTACAGTAAAACTCAATCCTTAAGTTTTGGTACAAACAACACAAAGCTTACAGTAAAAGTCCTTAAGTTTTGGTACAAACAACACAAAGCTTACAGTAAAAGTCCTTATGTTTTGGTATAAACAACCCAAAGCATACAGTAAAACTCAGTCCTTAAGTTTTGGTACAAACAACACAGTAAAATCGAATTTTAGCGTGTGGTGGAAACGTCTTCGTTATTTGGACCTCATCTTAGGGAGTGGGGAATAGGGAGTGTTAAAATTGTGAGTGGGGAATAGGGAGTGTTAAAATTTGGGAGTGGGAAATAGCGAATGTTAAAATACGAAGCTAATGAAATGGGGAATGGATTATATTTTAATGGCGATTAGAATCTAATGTAGTGGGGAATGAATTATATTTTAACATGTGCCACAGGATACGCGGAGAAAATCGATCAGGTTTGGGAGGCTGCTCAAACTGGCCACAAGGTTTGGGAGGCTGCTCAAACTGGCCACAAAGTTTGGGAGGCTGCTCAAACTGGCCACAAAGTTTGGGAGGCTGCTTAAACTGGCCACAAAGTTTGGGAGGCTGCTCAAACTGGCCACAAAGTTTGGGAGGCTGCTCAAACTGGCCACAAGGTTTGGGAGGCTGCTCATACTGGCCACAAAGTTTGGGAGGCTGCTCAAACTGGCAACAAGGTTTGGGAGGCTGCTTAAACTGGCCACAAGGTTTGGGAGGCTGCTCAAACTGGCCACAAAGTTTGGGAGGCTGCTCAAACTGGCCACAAAGTTTGGGAGGCTGCTCAAACTAGAACTGGCCACAAGATATCTGTGCGGCTTTCTGTGTGTCTTACAGGGACTGGTGGGGTCACGATATAGGGACTGGTGGTGGGGTCATGATGTAGAAACTGGTGGGGTCACCATTTAGGGACTGGTGGGGTCACGATGTAGGGACTGGTGGTGGGGTCACGATGTAGGGACTGGTGGTGGGGTCACGATGTAGGGACTGGTGGTGGGGTCACGATGTAGGGACTGGTGGGGTCACGATGTAGGGATTGGTGGGGTCACGATGTAGTGACTGGTGGGGTCACGATGTAGGGATTGGTGGTGGGGTCATGATGTAGGGACTGGTGGGGTCATGATGTAGGGATTGGTGGTGGGGTCATGATGTAGGGACTGGTGGGGTCACGATGTAGGGACTGGTGGGGTCATGATGTAGTGACTGGTGGGGTCACGATGTAGGGATTGGTGGTGGGGTCATGATGTAGGGGCTGGTGGGGTCACGATGTAGGGACTGGTGGGGTCATGATGTAGTGACTGGTGGGGTCACGATAGAATATGTGGCGATGGATTGGGATTGGGATTGGTGATAAGCCGTCAACCACACAAGTCCAGCAAATTGTAAACATCAGTGTCCTACATCAGGAGTGTGAGGAGTGGAAGCTGGTCTAGTCGTCAGCGTCCACCAGTTGTCTGACACATTACCATGACAGGTCTCTGTATAACTTGACGGTCGAATGTACACGGGGTTGTAGTAGTAGTGGACCTCGAAAGGGGGGGGGGTGTACCCCACGTGACACAGTCCTAGGTTACTATACAGATTTCAGCAAGGGTGGGGCACAAATCGTGAGTATGTAGGCATGTAAACAGCAGCATAAGTACACAATGTTCTTGGAACACCTTTTTTTTAACATCTGTTTTAGCCAGGAAATCAATGTGGGGTGTTTTAGCCAGGAAATCAATGTGGGGTGTTTTAGCCAGGAAATCTGTGGGGTGTTTTAGCCAGGAAATCGATGTTTTAGTGAAGACAGGACGGAGAGTGTCTGAGGAATTCAATCAATACTGTAATAACTTGTTTACTTTTGGGTGGAGGCGACCGAGAAATTATTTCAATCGTTAGCTAGTTACCGACATGTACTGTTGAGTTTAGCCTGTTAAGTTGGTCTAGTTACCGACATGTACGGTTGAGTTTAGTCTTTTAAGTTTGCTCTAGTTACCGACATGTACTGTTGAGTTTAGTCATTTAAGTCTAGTCTAGTTACCGTCATGTAGGGCTAGCACATCAAGCGAAGAAGTGAATGAATCATCTGGCAGTTGGCAAAAGTAAATACTGATTGTTATTGTTGCAGGTGTTCTGCTGACCAAGTTATAAAAACTGACTGCTATCGTTGGTCAGTGTGTCCAACAGCCCATCCAAATGTACCGGATGACCTGTCAAGCAATGACGTCACCACGAAGCGAGTCAGTCCTCTAACGAGCGAACTTCCCGTGTTCTAGGGAATGTTTTTTTTTTATCCCCGCCCACCCCGCCCGCCCGCCGCTGTAAACTACTACACAATGTGAGTATATCGATCCACAAGATCAATGGGAGCCGCCAGATAAATACATGGGTCGGGCAGGGGGGGGGGCAGGGGGGGTCGCGTGCTGTTACGTCATCTGATGTCGTCTCTAGTTTTGATTTTATGTCCATAGCGACGTCATCGTGTTTCATGTGGTGACGTCAATCCGCTATACAGAATGACATCACCCAGCATGGTATCTGCTGACATCCTATAGGCCTAGTTATGTTACATGCGCTGCTATTATTGTTCGTTACGGTACAGTGATAACTTTTCATGTCCTTAACATGCATTATGTGACACTGATAGATGTCACAATGGTGTCACGTGTATCACAGATGTCACTGCGACTTGGGTTAGACAGATGTCAGGACGTAGGTTGGGGGGGAGGGGGGGGGGAAATGTTTACGTCCACTAAAGCACGAGCTGGTGCTCTAGCTCTGGACGTTAGATGATCGTCTTGGTCATGTGACAACATGAATGGGTACATTGGTCAGCCATCTGGTCATGTGACAACAATATGCATGTGTACATTGGTCAGCCATCTGGTCATGTGACAACATGGATGTGTACATTGGTCAGCCATCTGGTCATGTGACAACATGAATGTGTACATTGGTCAGCCATCTGGTCATGTGACAACAACATGAATGGGTACATTGGTCAGCCATCTGGTCATGTGACAACATAAATGGGTCAGCCATCTGGTCATGTGACAACATGGATGTGTACATTGGTCAGCCATCTGGTAATGTGACAACAACATGAATGTGTACATTGGTCAGCCATCTGGTCATGTGACAACATGGATGTGTACATTGGTTAGGCATCTGGTCATGTGACAACAACATGAATGTGTACATTGGTCAGCCATCTGGTCATGTGACAACATGAATGGGTCAGCCATCTGGTCATGTGACAACATGGATGTGTACATTGGTCAGCCATCTGGTCATGTGACAACATGAATGGGTATACTGGTCAGCCATCTGGTCCCACCCCCTCACGTGACCAGAACATTAGGGAACTGACCAGTATGAGACTGGTCAGTGCTGTCTGATGTAGCCGTGGTCAAACGTGTGTCAATGTCCAGTCTCCCTGTGTCAAACTGTCTAATCACGTGATCTATCCCTGCCGGTCATCATAAACAGAGTCCTGTCTGTGACGTACGTAGACAGTGATGATGAAACCAGACACAAACCTTCCTTGACCCCCCCCCCCCTCCTCACACCCACACAGATACACCCACACTAAACAATAAACAGAGCTGACTTACCTTCTAGCGAAGACGTACACTTGGAACCAGCTAGCCGAACCACAGTTATCCCATCATGTAGCCACCCGGCTACTCCCGAGTGCCTGTGGCTACACCTCCTGGCAGGTAGCCAAGTGTCTTGTGGCTACACCTGTCTGCAGGTAGCCGCCTGTCTTGGTCAAGCAGCTAATCCCAAATCCTGCGACCGTCTCAGCTAGCAGAGACGCGCGCTGACCCAGTTGGTTGAAGAAACGTGCGTGTCCTGCTGGGCCGGTGACCCCACGGTTGAAGAATGACTCACCCAGACTCCCGACTCACGCGCACACAGCGCTCTCGTTCATTCGACTACCAGCAGACGGCTAGCAGACAATGTCCTATTGTTGATCATCAGTCAGGTGTTATTATCGCTGTTATCGACGCCGTTATTGTGACATATGTGATCGATAGTGGAAAGGAAGTCAGCCCCTGCCTACTTCCCCACAAAAACCTGTGGCCGAGTGGGGGACACAGTGTCGCGGTTAGCGGCTGGGTGGAGGCGAGCAGAGACTAGTATCGATCCTGTCAGAGAACTCCCATGGCCAACTCTGCACCCGCTCTATACAAGTGTACATCCAAATTGCACACCTCGGTGCCATCCTGTTCACACCGTATGATCACACACAGTGAACATGGTGCGACAGACAGGCTGGCCGCAGTTGACAGGAGTAGGAAGAAATAAAACCAGGCCTATGTCTTGGGTTATTGACGCCAGAACACAGCTGTAAGGTAGAAGATGTTAGGGTTAAACCAGTCAACAACTAATGTCAAGATGTAGAAGTAGAGTTAAGCCAGTCAACAACTAGTGTCAAGATGTAGAAGTAGGGTTAAGCCAGTCAACAACTAATGTCAAGATGTAGAAGTAGGGTTAAGCCAGTCAACAACTAGTGTCAAGATGTAGAAGTAGGGTTAAACCAGTCAACAACTAATGTCAAGATGTAGAAGTAGGGTTAAGCCAGTCAACAACTAATGTCAAGATGTAGAAGTAGGGTTAAACCAGTCAACAACTAATGTCAAGATGTAGAAGTAGAGTTAAGCCAGTCAACAACTAGTGTCAAGATGTAGAAGTAGGGTTAAACCAGTCAACAACTAATGTCAAGATGTAGAAGTAGGGTTAAGCCAGTCAACAACTAATGTCAAGATGTAGAAGTAGGGTTAAACCAGTCAACAACTAATATCAAGATGTAGAAGTAGGGTTAAACCAGTCAACAACTAATGTCAAGATGTAGAAGTAGGGTTAAGCCAGTCAACAACTAATGTCAAGATGTAGAAGTAGGGTTAAGCCAGTCAACAACTAATGTCAAGATGTAGAAGTAGGGTTAAACCAGTCAACAACTAGTCAAGATGTCTGTAGAAGTTAGGGTTAAACCAGTCAAAAACTAGAGTCAAGATGTATGCAGAAGTTAGGGTTAAACCAGTCAACATTTAGTGTCAAGATGTCTGCAGAAATTAAGGTTAAACCAGTCAACAACTAGTTTCAAGATGTATGCGGCCGCGCAGTAGTTTTCAGCTGCCGCGCAGTGATATTGTAAAATAAATATACCCTTCTATTAAGACTATTAGAACAGCGCGCATTTTGCACACTAGCTTTTCCCCCTTTGAGGGAACGTTGGTTAGGGTGTTCAGACTTTAGTGACAATGTGCTACTTGGGGTTCAGACTTTTGTGACAATGTGATACATGGGTTTCAGACTTTTGTGACAATGTGATACATGGGTTCCAGACTTGTGACAAAGTGCTACTTGGGGTTCAGACTTTTGTGACAATGTGATACATGGGTTTCAGATTTTGTGACAATGTGATACATGGGTTCCAGACTTGTGACAAAGTGCTACTTGGGGTTCAGACTTTTGTGACAATGTGCTACTTGGGGTTGAGACTTTTGTGACAATGTGATACATGGTTTCAGACTTTTGTGACGATGTGCTACTTGGGGTTCAGACTTTTGTGACAATGTCATACATGGGTTTCAGACTTTTGTGACAATGTGATACATGGGTTCGAGACTTGTGACAAAATGCAACTTGGGGTTGAGACTTTTGTGACAATGTGATACATGGGTTTAGACTTTTGTGACAATGTGATACATGGGTTTCAGACTTTTGTGACGATGTGCTACTTGGGGTTCAGACTTTTGTGACAATGTGATACATGGGTTTAGACTTTTGTGACAATGTGATACATGGGTTTCAGACTTTTGTGACGATGTGCTACTTGGGGTTCAGACTTTTGTGACAATGTCATACATGGGTTTCAGACTTTTGTGACAATGTGATACATGGGTTCGAGACTTGTGACAAAGTGCAACTTGGGGTTCAGACTTTTGTGACAATGTGATACATGGGTTTCAGACTTTGTGATGATGTGCTACTTGGGGTTCATACTTTTGTGACAATGTCATACATGGGTTTCAGACTTTTGTGACAATGTGATACATGGGTTCGAGACTTGTGACAAAGTGCAACTTGGGGTTCAGACTTTTGTGACAATGTGATACATGGGTTTCAGACTTTTGTGACAATGTGATACATGGGTTTCAGACTTTTGTGACAATGTGATACATGGGTTTCAGACTTTTGTGACAATGTGATACATGGGTTTCAGACTTTTGTGACAATGTGATACATGGGTTTCAGACTTTTGTGACAATGTGATACATGGGTTTCAGACTTTTGTGACAATGTGATACATGGGTTCGAGACTTGTGACAAAGTGCAACTTGGGGTTCAGACTTTTGTGACAATGTGATACATGGGTTTCAGACTTTTGTGACAATGTGATACATGGGTTTCATATAATTTCAATGGAGAAAATTGTTTTGAGGTACAAATAATTTGACATACGAGTTAATGGAGCAAATTAACTTTGTATCACGAGGTACCACTGTGTGGGCGAGTATATAAATATAGAATGTTTCAGAAATAAGTTAGGTAAGCGCTATTAAATACCCCCCCCCCCCGATGCACAATCAGTTGCAACTTTTTTTTAGATGTTTCTTTTCCATGAACTATTAAGCCCACTAATCCAGTTACTCATATCTCAAATTTTGCATGTAGACTAGAATCTATGTCAAAGCAAATTTTAGCTTGCTCGTCAGCTCACTCCCAGGGGAACTAGTTATATTTATTTTTATATACATATGTGTACATACATATACAATATAATTAATATATATATTATATATATATATATATATATATATAAACATAGCCTTTATTACTTAATTACTAGACTATATTAAATATTTTAATATAGATACACAATATAATATTGAATAAGATCTAGATACTAGATCTATATACTGAGTAAATAGCTAGATCTATATAGTATTATGTTATTAGATCTATATATAACTATATTTAACTATATTACTATTTTTAATAGATCTAGATCTAGATCTAGAATCTAGATCTAGTAATAATAGGCTAATAGGTATTTAAAAATATTAACTATAAAAAATATGAGATGTAGTCTAACTAATTCTTTACTACTCTAACTAAATTCTAAAAGTGACTCTTACTCTCTCAGTAATTAGATCTAATCTAGATCTCTACTCGATTTCTTATTTCTTCTACTAGATCTAGATCTAGATCTAGGTCTATAACTTAAAACTTTATTAGGTAATCTATCGATTTAGGTGCGTAGTAAAAATCGGCCATGGCTAGATCTAGTAATGTACGAAAATCTATTTTAGGTTTGTTTCGTCAGGTTTTTATTTATAATATTTTAATTTTTCAAAATGTCAACAATGGGGCGGTAATCCGACTTTTAAAATTTAATTGTTGGCCTAGATCTAGATGTTCGAGTTCCTTCCCTGCGCCAATACAACTTAAAATGGCTTCAACCAAGTTCATTTAGTTCAACCTTGGCTTCTAGATGTGTTTATGTTATTAAAACGTGAAATTATAAAATTGCGACTAATTTTCACCTCAAAGTTGACTGATTTCCGCAATCCGTAAACCACTTAATTTTACTTATCTCCTAACTCCTAAGCCTATTACTATTACTATTACCATTATTTATTAGTATTCGATGTAGCCTAGTCACAAAAACAAAGTTTCGCCCCAGTACAAACTACAAACCTACCTCAAATAAACCCCTGTCCTTAAGTTTAAGATTTTAAGAATATCTTTATTATATTTGAATATTTTAAATTATTAAATTTAATACATTTTTTATCTAGCCTATCTCAGTATCAACGCAAAATATTCAATTTATCTTTCCATCACGTTGTCGCAAAACCAACTCTTACCTCTTTAAGTCTTTAGGCAAACCCTGAGACAAAAGCATAAAAAGCAATTCAACATTTTGGGGTTTTCGCGTCCATTTCTCAATAAAGTATGCAACAAAAAATATGTGCATTTCAGTGGCCTTATTATGTAAAAACTACACCTTTAATCTAACACTGTGCTGTATTAAAGCACAAGCCCATTCAAATTATGAAACAAAGCATTTTCCAAATGATTGTACATTATTTTAGTTGTAATTTTTGTTTAATTATAAGCTTTTATTTTGTGGCAAATCTTGTAGCTCAGTCTGACCCTCTTCTAATACATCATACCATCATCCTTTAACACTTATTGGGATCGTTTGGGCGCCGCAGTGGACCATATAAGTGGACGGGCAGCCCCATCCAAATCCTTGAAGTTGATGTGCTCAATTCAGTGATGGCTTTGCATTTCCCTTCTGTCCTAGCACTGCCATGCAATGTTTTGGACATGCCCATACCAACTCTATTTTCTTGATTTGACTGTGCTCAGCAGACTCTCAAAGGGACCAATCGCATTATTGATCCTTTCAGACTTCATTAGTTATGTGGAGTTGTTCTGCTGACCAAATTATAAAAACCGACTGCTATCGTTGGTTAGTGTGTCCAACAAGTTGAAATATTAAAACAAAAACCAATAATTTAATTTACATGTTTATTTATTGTTTACATTTCAGTAACTTTCAAATATACTTCATTTGAACATCTCACACAGAAACATTCTTTAAACAGAACAGTAACATAATGCAAGTTATTAATAGAATAACTACCAATAATCAGTGTTTAAAAATGACTATGGGAAATTTACTCATTAGAATACAACCCAGCCCAGCATCTAAATGTGTGAAACAAGTCAGCTAGGAAGACAAAATTTCATTTTTAACTTCATTTTTTATAGGGGGAACTTCACCTAAAACAGACATAAATGAAAAAATGATCTACTGTTTTAGCATATCACAGATTAGGGTCTACTAACAGTGTGCTTGTTTACTTATGTAATAAGCTACTTGTAAATAGCAAAGTGGACACTACCATACACGTATAAGTACCTAATATTACTGATCAAATAGGGTTCTTAATTATTTTAGTAACATTCTATTATATTCTAATTAAATGCATTTTATTAAAATTCAGTGTATTCAATTTGGTTCCTAAATAAAATTTTGACTAAATTTATTCATAATAATTGAATTTTTAGAGTTTTAAAGGGAAAAATGGAGCATATTGCCATTCTACAAGCCAGCTGGAGGCGCACAATGAACTTTAAAACTGATTTTTTTTATAGTAAGGGCAATTTACCAGGTAATAAATTCCCATCAATAATTGAGAGAACAGTTAACAAAAAAAATCATGGGAATGGGAAGAAAAGTGTTATCAACATTGAAGTACATGGTGGAAAACAGGAAAGTGTAATCATGAACATTATGTACAGTAACAACACCCAATAATAATAGCAAAAATGTCTTCTCTATTTACAATTTATGCTGTTATTTTACATGCCTTTTAAAAAACTTAGGATATTTACACTTAACTAGCAGACAACTAATGTGTACAGCTAGTTCTGGAGTTTCAATAACATAATTTTGATATAAACATACAGTGCAAATTATTCATAGAACAAAATTTATGTGACATTTGTTAACATCAACACTTGAACAAAAGCTTAAACTTGTTGCTAGTATTCATACATCCCTTAAAGAGCAGAGTAGAACAGACAGCTTCAATCTGATAATGTTGCAGCTATACAAGAGATATGGGTAGAAATTCCCTGACTGGAAAATTATGATATAAATATTTCAAGAATTAATATAAACAGTAAAAATTCTACTGAAGTTTTTAGTTGATTAAATTGCATTTTAGATCAACTATATTTTCTTATTTTTAAAATTTTTGCTAATATAGTAAAAAAAATAATTGTAATAATTCTATTTATTAATGGTGGAGGAAAGCAAATTATAGAAACTTACATTTCAGGGGCTTAACAATGTGAACATCTGCCTGACTAAAAACATTAATAATAAACTTAAAAGGCACAATACAAGATAATGGAAATGTAACATTTTGCCACCCATTACAAACAGAAAAGTATTTTTCTGAATTACATTGGTATTTATTTAGACTTACTACTCTTAAAACACTTAAATATTATATTGTGTTATTTAAACATCTGGCTTAACAAAAGAAAGTGAAAACAAAGGTACCAGTAATAATGAATCTGGTCGTCCACCATCTAGTAGAGATAAACATTTAATGTGGGGAAAGTAAGTGGAGAAGAATGTTTTAACAAAAAAAAAAAAAGAAAACCACCAAGTCAAACAAAAGTCAATCTAATTGAAATAAGAAATGTGATTTATGTTTGTAAAAGTGTTTTATTTTTAAAACATCTAAAAATGTTTCTCTTGTATTTAATACAATGGTTATACAGCAGGAAATGATGGACATGAAGTACTGATTGTAATAAATAAAAACTACATCTAGATTCATAAAATTTTAAATAATCCTGAAAATAAGAACATCCCTTTTTGGAAGTTTTAAGTCTTTATTTTCTTCCATCCTTAATTTGCAGATAAATGAGGGTTTTAAGCATTAATTTAAAAAAAAAATAACTAAATAAAATATGTGGTAGAAAAAGTTGACCTTTTGGAAATGTACACATTTAAAGCCCCTGGGTTTGACCTTTTGATTTTGGAATATTTAAAAATAAAAGGATAGCTATTTTCTAAATCACATAGTCATAGTATATAATGTTCCAATGGCAACCAGTACAAAACTGTTAACTGGCTGGTGTTGAAATGATTTACTTCTTGATTTTTCTTACTGCTTTTCTAATTTTGCGTGTAGGGTCACTAGATCTGGAAAATTAAAATATAAGCAAATGTAAAATATATAGAAGTGACATTGATACTACTACATTCATGGAGAAGAAAAATCACAAGGTACAAAAATCTTACATTATGCATAAAATAAAAACATCCCATGCTTCCTAGTTGGGCTACATTCATTTGTCAGCAACAACAGGACACACAAAAAAGTATGTCCAATTTGTTACAATTGACAATTTACCAGCCTGGGCATCAAAACTATTTTACTTGCCCTGCTGCCGGGCAAAAGGACAACGGGCAAAAGGATGATGCATTGTTCAACCAGGGCACTTTTTAAAAAAAAAATTTTTAAATTTAAAAATAAAAAAAAAAAAAAAGAAATATACACAAAACTGATCCACATATATTTACTGATAATTAATAAACATAACACTAACCCCAGAAAAAATTTAAACCAAAAACTACTATTATTTCTATAAATTTTGTTTTTGAAATCATTTTAAAAATAAGATTATTGCTTAATTATTAAAAAGTCACAGAATGTACTTTTTTAAGTTAAAAACTTTGACAATGACCAAGTGACCACTTCAGCGAAAAATGTGACCAGACTTGAATAATTTGCTACTAATGCCACAGAATACACACCCCTCACTACTAATGCGATACTAAGTGACTGAATTTAGTACAAAAACAAAAAGTTTCTAGCATTTAAAAAAAAAAATACTTTCTATGAAGATTTCTGACATTTTTACACTTGTTTTTGCTCATGCATCATTGTCGTTTTCAATTTGTTTGAACCAGATAGAAAAATAGATTTTATAGTATGTAAGATAATTATTAAGGTATTAGAATTAGCAATCAGAATCTATAGTAAAATTATCTTTCTTTAAATATTAGCAATGATACTGTGTCATCCATTTTTGGAGGTTACCCCCTTAAGCTTAGGGTACCATTTGAAATAAAATGCGAACGATCTCTCCGGAACTTTCTTGTATTCAACATTACGAGGCATCACACAGTGCAATCAGGCTATAGATTTGCTTTTTAAAAATACTTTTTAAAAAAATTAGAAAGAAAAGAGAACTGCGCCTAAATGAACACAAAACAATCTGGAAAATAAAGGAAACCATGATTCTTTTTAAAAGTTGATGAAACTGAAACATCTTATTAAAATAACATTTATATCATAATGCATTATCTTCAAGTCTTGACCTACATGAAATGTTTGATATAAATCGGTGCGGTAGAAGTGGGCGAAATATCACTATTAATTTTCAGCCCATGACCAATAATAGAATATTAAGTAAATTATTTTCCTGTTTAAAAAAAAAATTGTGGAGATCGCGTTATGGTCACCAGAAATCACTCAAAATTCAATAGAAACCAGAATAAGATCTTTTACTTGTATGTGAAATTGGCTTACTGGAAAAGTACTTAACTATAGGCTTTTGAGAAACCCCAAGTATAGTAAGTAAGAAAAATACTGTTGATAACACTTCATCAACTTAGCTGAAACAGTAAGCAATCGTGTTAAAATACACATAGACAAACAAGATAGCAAATATTTTTTTCAGACTCTGAGTAAAAAAATGTCCAGATTTGTGAAATTCTCAAATTGCAATTTTAGCACAATTACAATGCTCCCTCCATACTCCGTGTTATCTTAAGCATTCTTGTACCTTAATAAACTTAAATAGCATAGAATAGGTTTTTTTTAACATGACAATAATGTGATAGAAACATTATGTAAAAAATGACGGTCACATCAAATCACATAAATTGCAAATGAGTAAATGACTAGTATTTAAAAAAAAAATCCATCTTCTTTCATCCATAACTTACCCAATATTAAAGTTTGCTGTCATTGGAACACTTGGAGCAGCATTTGAAGCACCAAATGAAAACCCTGTCGTTGCTGAAGTGTTGTCACTCTGCCCAATTACATTTTAATAATTATGTGACTTTTATGGACCATTAGATTAAAAATTGAAAAAGGCTAAAAGAATTATGTTTGTGCTTAAGGTTTGAACTTGTGATTAGAAACAACTTTGTTTTATTTACACCTATATACGATTATTAACAAATGTAAGGAAAGCAACCATAAATATATTTATGGGGTTCACGGTTTACACTTTTTAATTCCTAGGTTAACTTTTGAATCAAACATTCTTGATTAAAACTTTTTTTAATGCTATTTTTTTACTTAAGTAAAGAATTAATAGGAATATGCTAACATCTATGCTTACAGAAACAGGTTTAGCACCAAATTGAAAAGGTGTGTTGGCAGGTTGCACAGTAGATCCAAAATTAAAATTTGGCGTAAGACTGAAAGAAGGTATGACTGAAACAAACAAAAAAAAAAATGCAATCAACACTTTGACCACAAACTGAGACATGTTTGTTTTTATATTATGGATGTGTCAACTGAAATAGCACATAATACATTTCCTAAGGGGTAAAGTCTGAAAAATATAAATCCTTATAAGTATGCTGAAAAATATAAATCCTCATATGCATAGCAGATGAAATTATTCAGATTTTTTTACAAATTAGTTGTGTAAATAAATCTTTTAATAAACCACTTTAACTTGACATTTGAAACAAAAAGACATACATATGCTTCTTTATTTCATCAAAAGTAACTTAGCAACAGTAGATTTTTAAATGCAATAACAGAAAAACAACTATGATTTACAACCGCTTCAAGATTTTGAGGATATCTGAAAGCACTGACCTTTATTTTGAGGTGGTGTTGCATGCTCTAGCACGGGTTTGGACATATCACTTCCTGATTTAAAAGCAAAGTTAACTGCAGGTACTGAGGGTGTTGGCCCAGCTGCAAACTGGAAACTAGCTCCCTGTGTCTGACCTCCCATAACACTATTTGATCCAAATAAACCCAGGCCACAAGCTGCAGGGCTGGGTGCTGTGCTAAGAGGAGCTGCCTTCTGTTGTGTAGACCCTACAGAAAAATGTATGGTTTACACATTATATATATTTACAGCTAGATTACTCAAACCAAAAATCAACCCCACCTCCCTCCACTGCTTTCCATGTTACTGTTTGATTTCAGCAGAAGCTCCAGACATTTCATTTTTAGCTTCTTTAGTTTTTTTGCATTATAATGATAACAGACTTTTCCAGACAATTACAATATGTTCAGCTTAAAAAAGTGCACAAGAACATGTAAATATATATATATTTATTGTATCAAATTAGCAAATAATTTTTTAAAAAATTAGTGTTTTTGGCAGATTTGACGTGCCTTTTAAGTATGATTTGCTGGATATCGTGGTATGGTAGTTATTTCTGGTACTATCATGTACACCAAGTTGCAAAACAGCACTGTATAAATCTTTAAAAACATACTTACCAAAAGTAAATAAACCATTAGTCGACTGGTCATTGCTAAATGATCCAAACTGAACAGTTTTTTTGGCACTTGAGGGATCTAAGGATATTTTTTTAAAATTAGTAATTGGTTTCATTATAACAAATGAAAATACACATCTGAAATTCATACAATGTAAAACCAAAGTTAAATCAACACAAAAATAAATAAAAATGAACAAATATTATAATCCAATTATACATACAATTTTAAAACAGACCTGAAATTCTTACTTCCAAACACAACTTTGGTCAAAATTGATAAAAGTATATTCCAAATGTATTCATCTAGCTAGATAAACTTATTTTCTTACCAACCCACAGAAAACTGATTTAAATAATAAAAAAATTAAAACTATTGGCAGTATGGTCGGGAAAGTGTTTTTTAATTTGCTTACTCGAAAGTTCAAAATACCAGCAGATGACCTGGGGATAGCAACCCATCTAGGAGAGGAAACTCCAAAATAAACTGCTGCATTAGTTTGTTATTGGGATGGACCAAGGCTATGGAAGTAAATCCAGGAAAAAGCTGGCCATATGGCACATAAAAATTCCGTTCAACAATATAATTAAGAACAAAAGTAAAGGCAATCTAGCAATTCTTTAGGACTGTACTGAGCATATTTTTAGTATCACTAATCTTAACAGTGATGCTACCAGGAGAAAAAACACATTACAACATTGCATTGCCACTGTTGGATGCAAGTTTTTAAATAAAAATACAACCGCCACCATATACAAATTTTTGACAATGAAATCCCATGTCAATTATCTAAGCCCAGTTTAATTGACTAAATATCCTTGATTTAAAATAGAGAAAAATAAATTCAAAGCACAATCTGCAATTGGCTACCACCTGGACAAAGCTGTGGATATTTCTCAAAATGCAAATACATTAAAATTGTTAATGTTGCTGTTTTGTTCAAATGAAAATAATACTTGAACTTTAAAATTGCAAGCGAGGATCTAAAGAAAATATGAATAAAGGAAATAATAACAATGCATTTTTCACATAAAAATCCATCATTGCATTAAATAAAATACAGATGTATTTGTTTGCCTGTCAAGCTTCTAGGACCAGCACAATGTGTACAGTATGAAATGATCACTAATTTAAACAAATAATTTGATGAACTTACCATTTGCACCAATTCCTTGAGTAATGCCTTTTAAAGGGGCTGAATCAAATCCTCCAAATAATCCATTAACAGTTGGCTTATTGTCCATTTTGTTCATGCCTAGGCCAACTGAAGTAGAGGCCAAACTTGAATTTGTCTGACCGAATTGGAACAAAGCATTTGTAGATTTCTGAGCAGATGGAAGTGTTGTAGTTGTAGATTGGCCCTCTGAGCTTAAAAAACTACCAAAACTGGGTTGAAGAGGCTTTGTGGCATTGTCATTTGATGCAAACTTCGTAAATGTAGCAGGTTCACTTGAAGAGAGGGCTGAATTAGCAGAACTGTTAAATTGAAATCCTGCAGATTGCGAAGCCACGTTAGATTTAGGTTCATTTGCCACTGAGCTACCATTGCTCAAAGGACTAGAACTATCCGTCACAGTAGTCAACACAAAATCAGTTTTATTTTGTAGTTTATTTGAAGCTCCAAACTGAAAACCAACACCAACAGAAGTAATAGATCCTGGTCCATTTAATGATTGGGTTTTACTGGATGTATTTCCAAAAACAAACCCACCAGTAGGAACTCCAGTGGACCCACTACCAATGCCACTATTTAATGATTCAAATTTGAAGCCACCTGTGTTAGCAGCGGTAGAAACAGGGTTCTGACAATCAGTTGTAGTGGCTATTGTGTCTTTATTTGCTAAGGTCTTTCCAAAGGTAAAACCTGTTGCAGGTGATGGTGAAATTGTAGAAATTGAAGTATTTGCATTTCCAAATTTAAATCCACCAGATCCCTCAGTTGTTGTAGTAGTGGGTGGAAGGTTAAAAACAAAACCCCCAGCAGGTGATATAGTAACAGCAGATGAAGTTGTGTTTGAAGCCGGTTTAGATACTGAAAAAATTGAAAGGAAAATTCTCAAAAGGTTATGCAATTGTGATATAAGTCACATTTAATGATTCTAAAAACAAATATTTAAAATTAGCCCACCTATCCTTGTATCTATAGTTGCAACAGAACTGAATGGAAAGACCTGCTTATGATTTGTTAATATCCTTATATAAACCTCATGGAGTTGAAAAACTGTCCAGCTTGTCTTTTACTAAAAATACCAAAGGCAGCTTACCAATGCCAGCAGATTGTAGTCCTGGCTTGGAGGAATCACATGCTATACATCTTAATGCTGTAGCTGAATTCTGAACCATGCATGTGTCACACTCCCAGTTACCTGGGGGTTTCTTGAATAGTTCACTCAAACTATTAGCACTGGAATCTAATTGAAGTCAAAAAAAAATAAGTAGTCTAATAATAGGGGGGAGGGTGGGGGAGAGAGAATATGATAAAATTATCTAGTATAAAATCAAAAACTTACTTGTGTTTCCAGATAAGGGTTTTGATCCAGGTTTAGTAGAGTCGCATGCAACACATTTAACAGCCTCTGGTTTATTAGATAGCATACATGAATCACACTCCCAGCTTCCAGGTGCTTTTTTAAACTTGGCCATTAAATCATCAGTTTTTGAAATTTGTTCTAGCAGGAAAATAAAAATACTACAATCAACCACCAAGGAACCAGGAAATTTATTATTTTAGATCAAGTACTGCAACCTGTCAGTAAAAGCTTTAGACATTACTGTTAGCTGATATGGTCCCCAAACCAGGGACAGTTATCCTATGTATAATGATAATGGAAGGTCGAGTACAAATGCAAACATCATCAGGTTTTATGATAATTTTTGTATGATCAGAGACAGGACAATTCAGTGAATTGTTGCGGAGTGCTATCTTATAGATATCTAATATTGTAACAAATCAATAAACCCAAGGGGCAAATAAAAAATAGAATTTCATCACGAAGCAAAGTAATAGAGTACCACTAAAAATTCATACACTTCAGTTTCAATGTATCATAATAATGGAAGGTTGGGTACACAAGTACACACCATCAGGTTTTATGATGTTATTGTATGCACTAGAAGTAATGATCAGTGACAGGACAATCAGTGAACAGTTGCAGAGTGCAATCTGATATACATCTGTTGGTATAAACATCTAATTAAATTCTATCAAGAATGTACATATTGTTTTAATGTACCATAATAATGGAAGGTTGGGTACACAAGTACACACCATCAGGTTTTATGATGTTATTGTATGCACTAGAAGTAATGATCAGTGACAGGACAATCAGTGAACAGTTGCAGAGTGCAATCTGATATACATCTGTTGGTATAAACATCTAATTAAATTCTATCAAGAATGTACATATTGTTTTAATGTACCATAATAATGGAAGGTTGGGTACACAAGTACACACCATCAGGTTTTATGATGTTATTGTATGCACTAGAAGTAATGATCAGTGACAGGACAATCAGTGAACAGTTGCAGAGTGCAATCTGATATACATCTGTTGGTATAAACATCTAATTAAATTCTATCAAGAATGTACATATCGATCGTTCAATGTACCATAATAATGGAAGGTTGGGTACACAAGTACACACCATCAGGTTTTATGATGTTATTGTATGCACTAGAAGTAATGATCAGTGACAGGACAATCAGTGAACAGTTGCAGAGTGCAATCTGATATACATCTGAAGGTATAAACATCTAATTTAATTCCATCAAGAATGTACATATCGATCGTTCAATGTACCATAATAATGGAAGGTTGGGTACACAAGTACACACCATCAGGTTTTATGATGTTATTGTATGCACTAGAAGTAATGATCAGTGACAGGACAATCAGTGAACAGTTGCAGAGTGCAATCTGATATACATCTGAAGGTATAAACATCTAATTTAATTCCATCAAGAATGTACATATTGTTTTAATGTACCATAATAATGGAAGGTTGGGTACACAAGTACACACCAGGTTTTATGATGTTATTGTATGCACTAGAAGTAATGATCAGTGACAGGACAATCAGTGAACAGTTGCAGAGTGCAATCAAATATTAAAATGTATAGAAAAAAAAATATCAAAATAAAGATTCTTTGATCAGCTTTGATTTCCATGTAGTAATGTAATCATAAATCAATATATATTGCAATACACTACAACTGGTATAATAGGCAAGAAAACTTTCCTAAATAACACCCCATTTAAACAACAGAGCACAATTTTTTTAGTTAATATATTAGAACAGGGGGTCTTTATAAACCAATAAAAAGTACCAAAATGATGTTTTAAATCACTGAATCACTACTGTTTAGTAAGATAATGACATAACAGATCTAAAAAGTGTAGCTACTGTTTCATATTTGTTCCTTACTTTGTCAGCACTATCGACCACAATATGCTTGTCAAATATATAAATAAGCTACACAAAACTAAAATGGACCATGCCTAATCACCTCATGGAAGTAACCTTTTCTTAAATACCTTAATATTGAAAATAATATTTTAATGTATCATTACATTGGAAAGTCAAGCACAAAAGTGCAAACCTTCAGGTGTGATGATAGTTAATGTATGCACAAGAAGTAATGATCGCTGACAAGGATAATCAGCAAACAGTTGCAATGTGCAGTTTAATAACAGTTGTACATATGTAAACTTGTAAAGTAATTCACATCTCATATGATAACACTGTTAAAATTTAGTATGTATTTGTGGGTAAACAATATTTTTAAACTGCATTAATCTTAAAATTATTCTATAACAACTCTCAACTGTAGGCAAAGAGTCTTAAAAAAAAAAATCTTAGAGACTAACTTGTACAATCAAAACTATTATTACCTGGCTGTTTTGGCTTAGCCCCAGGCTTTGATGCATCATCACAGGCAACACATTTACTTGCATCTGGCTTATTAGCAATCATACAAGTAGCACATTCCCATGTTCCAGCTGGTTTCTTAAATTTAGCCATAAAGTCATCTAAAACAGAGTATTAACATTTGTTACACTGCAGTAGACCAATAGCTGATGTATCAAAATTGTAAACAAGATTAATTTTGTTCATGATGAAATGTAAGTATTACCTTTCCCCAATACATCCATGACTGAACCTGTTTTAAGAGATTCAGCCGGGGCTAATGTAAAACCACAAGAAGCAACATCAGAAGCAGCTGAACTATCATTTTTGTCGTCATTCCACTTAAAAGTCTTAAAATTACTTGAAGTACCTTTAAATACAAGAGATACTGTGTAAGCAACATAAAAATCTTAGACTACAAAACAATTGCAAGAACAGTCTCATCAGTGGTTCCTTAGATGTGTGACATCAAAGAGAATTCAAACACAGAGTATCATCATTTGAAACTAACAGAGGCAACAACTGTATTCATGCTTGCTTCTTACCTCCAATATCAGGTGAAGCAACTTTAGGTTTGGGCTTAACTGGTTCCCATGGAGAAAGAGAATGGGAGAATGTTCCTGCAACTCCTGATGATGCACCAACCGCAGGTTCTGGGGAAGATTTAGATCCTTCTTCAGCCCCAGCCCCATTGATCTTTTGGCTGGAGGCCTTAATTGGAGAACTAAAGGTAAATCCCTTTAAAAAGAATGAAGACAGGTTAAAAAAAAGGCAAATGATGAAAACATGGGAAACAAATACACAAAAACCCAGATCATACCTTCTCAATGTTGGTAAGTACTGGACTATTTCCAGACCGGCTTTTTTCTTCAATAGGTGTTGAGAAAGTAAATTTTAAGGGTAAACTGTTGTCGAATGACTTTGTTGCAGCAACAGAGCTTGCAAAAGTATTGGTTAACAATGCAGGATTGATGCAAGATATAGGTAGAGTAAAGTCTGTTCTGAGAGTTGGAACTTCAACCTAAAACAAAAAAATAATAATCATGCCACTACAATTGGAGATATAACTAACTTTAATTTTGAAATACTCTAGCACCATGGTAAATGGTGGAGTAAGATTTAGTAAACTTGTTATGTATTTAAGGGGACCCACGGGTCACGAATATGATAGTTAAATAGTTAATTCATAAAAAAATAAAAAAATCGATTATTGCATATTCTGATAGATTATTACCTTATAAATCATTTGGTGATGTTATTTTTTATATAAAATAATGTTTTGAACATGAAAATATGTCAAGAAGGGGGTAGGGGTATTTGTTTTTTATTAAAAGTTGACCAAAATACGCTAATTTGTTGAGTTAATGGTTTCGTTTTACACAATACTATAGTATCGTGTTTGGTATCGCCGGATTGCTCTTTATTTGCTCTATAAGGATTTTCCGGTGTCACTCAGTTCTAAAAATAAGCATTGACCTAAAAAAGGCCTTCTATCACGCATCCCAAGCATGCACAACTATGTACTACTTCTCTCTGATTGGACAAACTGTTGTTAGAAGCTAAACCACGTCTTTTTATTGGCCGGCGTCGGCCATACTGCTGAGCGTCTATGTTACCTCGACCCAGAAAACACTGCGCGTACGTCCACAGTGATAGCGTCTCTCTGAGTGTTTACGTTTTTCACAGATCATTTTTAACATTAATACAGATTTATTCGACATCAAAGGTAAGCCAGTTATATTTTGTATACATATGCACTATCTGTTATATTGTTTTGTGAGTTTTCAATTAGACTCTAGTCTATTTCTTTATTATTATTACTTCAATACAGTCCGTTTCTAGATCTAGATCTAGACTAAATTCTACTTTCTAGGTCAGGTCAATCTAATTTAGATTCTAGATCTAGAGTCTAGATCTAGAAATTAGATCTAGAAGATAGATTCTAGATTTAGATCTAGTAAATCTTGATTCTGGATCTAGAATCTCGATATCTAGATCTAGTCTAGATCTAGATTTATTGTGGACTCTAGCTAGTGATTAGTTTTTAGATCTAAACCCGAAGCTAAAGTCTGCTAAAGTGAAAGTAAACAACACACACGAAAGTCTGTATTATTACTAATCTAGATTCTAGATCTACTTACTTAGTATAGATCTAGTACTTTTGTTGTGGGATAGCCCATGTCTATCTGCATTTCTCGTGATATGAATGATAACTGATGAGTTTTAATTACTAGATCTAGGTATTACTAGACATAAGAGTGTAGATTTGTTTCAATTTTATACTAATCATATGTATTATGTGCAAACAAAATTTATTTTTGAGATTATTATTCAGTCATCCATAATTGTATTGCTGGGTATTATTTAAAGTTAGCTGTTTGTAAGTCTTGTTCAGTTAGTAATTATCTGTCTTATTTCTTACTATTTCAGTGTCATGGCTCCATCTAAAGTTTCATCTAAAAACAGAGCGGCTAGGTCAAAGCTGAGGAGAAAGCGTCAGTCAGCCAAAGCGACAGAGGCCAGACAGAGAAGAAGAGAAGAATCCATGACTACGACCGTTGCTCAAAGTCCAAGTCACAGTGATTCCCCTCTTCTTACACAGGAAAGTACTGTCTTGCCTTCTGTCTCCCCTTCTATCTCAGCTTCTAAACGCAAACTTTCTTTTTTTGATGAAAGTGAGCAGTCTCTAAATTCTGATTTGCCATCCACATATGTCTGCCTGGAGACATTACAATCATTATTTACCAACCTGCAGTGCGCTATTTGCCAGACACAGTGTCTGCAGCTGCAGCAGGACACATCAAAAAACTGTGGCCTTGCAGTTTATCTGCAAGTATATTGCAGAACTTGTGAGGAGATTAGGTCAGAGACCATTACATCTCCTAAGAGTGAAAAAGTGCACTCTGTAAACAGACAGGCAGTTGCTGCCTCTCTGGCGACTGGAATGGGGTATGGTGGGCTTATGAAGTTTTCAGAGCTGATGAACACTCCGGTTCTCCATCCAAAAACTTACAATCAGCACACGCGAGTAATACATAAAATGGCACTGAGTTACTCTGACAAACTGATGTCAGACAGTGCAAACATTATTCGTGCTGCATACCCCGAACAGTCTGGCAAAGATTACTTTGATATTGATGTTTCGTATGATGGAACATGGCAGACTAGAGGCCACAAGTCAAAGTATGGTGTGGGCTGTGTGATAGAAAACAGAACTGGCCTTGTTGTTGATTATGAGGTAGTCAGCAAATACTGCCACACCTGCAGCACAACAGGTGCTAGACTCAGGGCAGAGAACCAAGCAAAATTTGATGCTTGGTATTTATCACACAAGGCCTCATGTGATATCAATCACTATGGCTCCAGTGGGAGCATGGAGCAACATGCCGCTGTGAAGATGTGGGCTCGGTCAGTGGAGAAGCATCAATTCAGATATCGCAGTGTTGTATCTGATGGTGATACTAACACTATAAAAGCGCTCCATGACTTGAGCCCATATAAGGACCTCACAGTAGAGAAAAGGGAGTGTCTCAATCATGTGGCCAAGCGACTAGGAACTGCTCTGAGGAATGTTGTGGAGACTAAAAGGAAGCAAAAGATAACACTTGGTGGTAATGGCAAGGGTAAGCTAACCCAGAGCAAGATTGCCAAGCTGCAAAAGTATTACACCAAGGCGTTGCGTTCCTGCTCCTCTATTCCTGAGATGCGAAAAGCTATTTGGGCCACACTCCTGCACTGCACTTCTACTGATGAGGAGCCTAAGCACCAGGACTGTCCTCAGGGAGTATCTTCCTGGTGCTTTTTTCAGCGTGCTGTTGCCAAGGGTCTTCCCACTGACAAGCATGACCTGATGCTTTCTTCGTACATTTGTCCTATGGTCGAGGAAAATATAAGACCTGTTTACGAGAAAATGTCGCAAGAGGACCTCTTAAGCAGATGCTTGGATGGAAAAACACAAAATACCAATGAATCCATCCATTCAGTCATATGGAGTCGTTGCCCAAAGCATCTGTTTGTTGGTAGGCAGAGGCTAGAAATAGCGGTGTGCCTAGGGGTGGGGGAATTCAATATGGGGTCAAAGGCCTCCCACAACTTTTTAAAACATATAAACCTGCAAGTTGGCAACAAAACCAAAGAAATAGGAGCTAAGAGGGACATTGTTAGGGTGGGCAAGGCTCAGAGGTCCCTTTATAATAATGAAAGTGCTAGGAGGAAAATTAGGCGCGTCGCAGAGGAGCGGGAGAATAAAAGAATAGAGTTTGAGGAGGGGGGGCCACAGTACATACCAGGAGGGGCTGACATTTAATTTTTTAATATACTGTTTTGTTACTTTCTTTTTTTCTAAATGGCATTTGTTTTTACTATTAGAATTAACTTTTATCTCAGTACTGTGGCAAAAATAAGTTTCGGTTAAGTTTCGGCTGATTTTTAATAGGGGGTAGGGCTTACATAAATATTTGTGAAAAATTTAATATTGTTCCATTTTAATTTTCATGTGACTTCATGAAGTCACTTATGAATAACCTACTTTATAAAAGTGTCATTTTTAGTTTTGTTATCATTTTGTTCTTTTACCATTGTAATCAATCTTATTTTGCTGTTTTTCTCAAAATAAATTTTTATTAAGCATACCTGTTGTTATGTTTCATTTTTTTCAAAATTCGTTTGTTGGATTGTTTTGAACTTTTGTATGTGTGTTTACAAATGGTGTATATACAGAATGAAGTAGCATTTATTGGTTAATAATACCACTGGACTGAGTTATGAGTTGTATAAGTGGACAACATAACAAAAAGTGTGTCATATCGAATGCGGCCTACAGTACCATCACATGGACAGGTACAGAGAAAAGACTATGCCTTATTCATCCAAACTCTATACGTCAGTGCATAAAATACATGTATGGGCACCAAAATGCAGAAGATGAGATGTGAAACCACTGTAGTTATTTAACAATTTGTGACAAGAGGTTGCTCATATTTTAGAACCTAGACCCCTAAACACATCCGGATTATGAGAAATAGGTGAACTAATTTGAAAAAATTAATAAATATAGCTTGTCTTAGCCTATCTTGATAAATTTAAAGTAGTTCAATAGTAAAACAACTGATTTTAGGCAAAGTAGATTCAAAAGCAGTTGACCCCCTTAATATGTCTCACCTCTTCTTCTGCAGCTTTGCTTTTTATATGTTGTGAAAACTTCTTTGTCTTAATCTTGCCAGTGTCTGTACTTAACTGTGGTACATTCTCACTCTTTTCTCTAGACACTGAGGGTTCCTACATGGAAAATGATAAAATATTAGGTGATACAGAAGATCAAGAAAAACTGCTGGTACTAGAATAGTGAGCATTCAATAATTAAAACATGTCTCATTAAACTATTCAACTAACTTGATCAGTGAATTTGTGTAATAAATATTAACCATTAATGTCCCATTCATTCTACCAAAACTCCACCCATGACGGCCCGATGTAAGGAGCATAACTCTGTATGATAAAGTGAATAGTTTCACAAAATATTTGTTTTTGTCTAAATGAAATTAAAAATTAAGATAAAAACTACTGCTTAATGTTGGGAATAAACCTGGCTTTCCAACAGTATTAAATAGAATATATTATATTTGGTAAAAGTACAGTATAAAAATAAAAAATGTCGGAGAAAATTCAAAACAGGTCATTTTCGGTAGTCAACTTTATTTATTTTTGTCTAAACAACTATGCATCGAATTTAACAGTTAAATATCAATTTGGTTATGTTTAAGATATATAATTCATAAAATACATGCCTAGATACGTTTAGAGGCATTACTTTATTTTATTTTTAATATTAAATCTACTAAAAATAGGACAGATGAGTCTAAAATTTCGAGATAGAAAGAAACTATTATTTTTTATCTTTCAAAAGCGCCATTGAAATTAGAAGACCGGAAAAGGATGCTGAAACAATCCGACTTCCTGTTTAGTTAAAAATTAGGATTTGTAGGCCAAATTTTAATAAAACAAATTTAATTTTTCTATGCGTATTGTAAGCGGGCGGCAGCGGGCGTTACGGGACATTAACGGTGTCGGGCGGCAGCGGGCGTTACGGGACATTAATGGTTAAGTTTGCTTCCCAAATAAATCAATGTACCACAGAAATAGGTAATGAATTCTCAGTAGTGCTTCCTAAATCGTGAGATCCACTCTGTTTACTTCTATTTTTAGCAATGACTGCTTGAGATACTGACTGGTGAATGTATTTTGGCGGACCCACTTGAGGTATCTGTGAACACAGAATACTTGTATAAAATGTAATGACAAACTGATGATAATACAAGTTTGTTTTTTTTTAATTAGAAAGCTTCATCAGAGGTTCAGACATTAACAAGTTTCAACAGCAATGTGTCTGTTAATGGTTTTTATCATCCTATGAAGCAGTTCATTCTTAAGCACAAACATTGTAACTACCTGCAAAGGTCTGGATGCTGGTTTACCTAATCCTAATATGCTAGTGCGTCTGTACGAAGATGGCTGTAAAAGTGAGAATACAATATCTTTATATTGTTTGAAGGAAAAAACAAACAAAATAAAATTGGACTTTTTCAGCTAATTAAGACATTAGCAGACTGAATAAGTAAATATTGCCATTTAAGCAAGAAAAAAGTTTTACTTACAGTAAACGACAAGACTGAATCATTAGATTTATCTACTTGTGTCATTTTTTTGGCATCCTGAAAATGTTTTGCAAAACAAAATTTAGCATGGAAAATGCTTTATAGTTTTAAAATGCTTTAAAATATTTAAAGCATAATTAACAGCAAATTCTTTAAATATTTATGCTAAATAATAATATGGGCACTTGTTCAATTAAATTAATTTCTTTCATCAATATTTGTAGGTCTTAAATTTAAAAAAAAAAAAAACTAAAATAACTTAGTAATAAAAATAGGTTATTAAAAAATTAAGTGCACTATTTAATTACTTCTATAATAAGTAAAATAGTAAATAACAGACTTACCCCTAAAGGTGTAGACATTTTATCCAAGGTTTCCAGTATTCTCTGAGCTGTAGCACTTGTCGTTGCATTAAAAGAGCTGTTTAAATTGGTAGCTTTCACTTGTTTTCGTAGGGGTAAGGATGACTGAGAAGGTAAAGACTAAAATTAAACAAACTGGATCAAAGAGGCTAATCGGTTAACCTATATATTAATGCTTCATCAGAGGTTCAGACATTAAGAGTATCTTCAGTTTAAAAATTGGATCATCTATGTATCATCATTCAAAGCAATAAATATCAGATGCTATTTTAAGCGTAAAGAACTCTATTCTCAACCTGGTATGGCAAAGATGAATTCAGAGACTTCCGTTTCTCTGCTGCAGCTCCTCCAAACCTCGTTTTTCCAGAATAAAAAGATGACTCGTGAAAATTCCCACCAAACATTGAAGAGTCATTCTGAAGATAAACAGTTTAGAATGCAAAATACTGTAGTGTGGCTAATTATTAATGTAAAGAGAATGAAATAATTTAAAGAATTCTTTACCTTTGTAGGTGTCCCAAATAAGAGCGAATTGAAAGCAGGTCTGTCAGTTACAGGTGCAACAAAAGGTTTCCCATGTCTTGCTTCTTGTGGGTTCCACAACTTTTGTCGCTTGGCAGCAGCTAATAAATAAATTTTTATTGAACAGTAATTTTAATGGCACAAATTAAATGACATATTTACAAAAGAGAAAAAGTAATATACTCTAACTTACATGCTTCAACACCTCTGCTAGGAGTTCCAGTTGACACCATTATAGGTCTGATCTTTACGGGTTCATCCTGGTCAGTTTCTTCTAAATATGAATCAGACATTCTTAATCTTACAGGATCATCAATTTTTCTGCAATGCACAGCACTGCTGCTTGAAGACCCTGCAAAAATGCATATAAATTTTAAAAAAAAAAAAAGCAAATTCTGGTAGTAAATTACTCTAATTAATAACTTTAAAAAGGGCTTCATCAGCAAATTAAAAAAAACGTCCTCATTTGATCAGAAGGTCTCCGAGACAACATCAACTGAAGCCTTTACAGTACATAGTTTTATAAAAAACTAATGAAATCAATTACAAAAATGCTTGAATGTAATTCGAAGTCTTATCCATAACACTTATAAACAAATGCCACGCGTTCCTGACCAACAAACAGCACATAAAATTTAATTAATTAAAACAATATAAGTAATTAACCAGCAAATGGTTAACAAAATAAGCACATGGCAAAGGGGAATGCAGGACTTTACTTAGAGACTGATATAGGTTACATTTTATTTGGTAAAATAAAAATTTCTACAAAAAAAAAAAAAAAAAAAAACACCAAAGGTCTAAATGAGACAGGTTTCATCAGATTGAGTATTTTTAATTGTCTTCATTCAATAATCAGTAGGTCTCCGAGAAAACATCACCTGAAACCTGTCACATTTCATGTAAAAAAATTTTTTTTCTAATTTATCAAGTTAAACATACAGCATGAGGGACAAAAACAGGATAATAACTACATACAGATATAATGACAAGTGCCGAATATATGAGGGGTGAGAAACAGTTTTAACAGTAATTAAGTGGTGATTATTCAAATGTTGATCTTACTACATCAAGATATTTAAAACAAGGATACATATAAATGAAAAAACTGAAGAGTGAATGCCTTTAAATTTATAACTTTAAAAAAGCACAAAGATTATTACAAGCTGCAGTTTGTTGTGCACAAAAAAAAATAAATGGAAATGACGCAATTATGAAAAATGAAACTTTTTTCGAAACATGTTTAAAAGCTATAGTATGAGGCTAACAAATAAAGTTATTTTTATAGGTGATTAGAAACCTCAGACAAGAGCATTTTATTAGACGGTGATCACGCAAAGTAAAATAATAACCACAACAGATTAAAGGGCCTCTTCAGTGGTTCCTTAGGAAACAGCATTAGGTTCAGAATCAAAATGTTCATCATGAGAGGCCACTTAATACAAAAGCAATATAAATAAAAAGTGAGCTTAATTAAGGACCACAACTATTATATACATTTAATGACAGGACATTAAAATTGAATAAAATAAATACTGCTATATCCAATGGATTCATTTTTGTCCAGCCAGTTTCTTCCAAACTGACTTAAATTGGCAATGTTAACATTTGGAGGTGCTCCACTTGAGTTTTCCAAGCAAGGTTCTCCTGAAACAAAATCATGTTTATTTTAGAAAGTGATCATTTATAAATTAGACAAACATGTTTCAAGTTGTCACATTAAACGGTCACATACCATAACTGCTAGACATCTGGCCATGAGATGAGGAACCAGATGCTCTATTTGAATCTAATCTTATTGGCTGCTCAGTAGCACTGAGACGTGAACCTCCTCCAACTTGAGCATTATTTGAATGCTGTGAGGCAACCAAATCATTACTAATCATACTCTGAACCAACTGAGGTTGTGTTACCTAAAAAAAAGTAGTGAATGATACATATTTTTAAGAGTAACTAGATAAATGAGAAAATGGTCAGAAAATAAAGGCTTTGCTAAACAGAGAAAATAATAGTTATGTATATTTTTGGGAGATTAAATCAGTAAATTAGTAAGCAACAGTGCTAAATCAGTAAGCTACTGTGCCAGGAGGTAATTTTAGCCAACCAAATTACAAATGAGTTGGTTTTATGGGATTTAAAACCAATTGCGCCAAACTTTTTAATTCTGCTGCAATAGCCTGGCTCAAAGTAAGATGCTTTGGAACTAAGTTTTGATGGGAATGCAACAAAGACACTAATATATTATACTTGTATAATTTTCATTTGTTTTAAAAATGTATGTATGCTGTTGATAGAAGTCTAATTTATTAATGAACTTCTTAAAAGGCCTGCCCTATAATAAAACTATATTTGTAAGAGCAATGCCAGTACAGTACTACTGTACACCTAGGCCAAATATCTAGCAACAATCAAGAACACAAGCTTTCCTGACTGATCAATACAGCTAGTTATCTAGATTAAAAATTACTTGATGGCGTCTTGAGTGATAAATATCTGCAAAGTTTAAAATAAATTAGCTCACACCATTGGTCCACAAACACACAGATATTTGCAAGATAGCAAAAACAAACCTGTTGGTCTTGGGCTGCTGAAGTGTTACTACTATTCAAAGGAGTACGCAACCATGAAGGTGTAAACAAATCCTTTACTGAGCTCTTTAGTTTACCAAGCAGCGACTGAAATTTTTTTTTTTTAAATCTGATTAATAATCAAAAGTAACATTAACAGTCAAGCACATGTAAATTGTTTTTTTTCAACTGAAGTATACAAAACTTTTAAAAATGCTAATTAAATGGAGTAAAATAATAAGAAAATACAGCCATTTTATAATTGCTTACAAATTTTCAATTTAAACTTTTTCCTTTTTTTTAAATGGTCAATTAAACGCAAGCTTCATCAGTGGTTCCTTAGAAAACATCAAAAGGTTCAGAAACATAGTTTACATCATGAGAAGCTAATAACTTTAAAAAACGCAAAAATCTACAGAGATCATCAGTAATCTACAGAGAGATCATCAGTAATATGTCTCGGAAAAATCATTATTTCCTTTCCCTCGTAATTCTTCTTGGATTGTGCTTTTTGGTTATTTTATTTAAACATCCCCTAGATTTGTTATATATTATTTATATACTTGCATACCAGGCACAATTTTTGCTGCAACCTGGCAATACACACCAAAATGACGCCTTTATTTTTGGGTTCATCAATACAACTATTTGACTTTTCAAAAATGTAAACAAGTTATGCATTATATTTCTTAGATGTTTTACTGGCACAGGCTTGTCTACTCTACCGCCTAGCATGTTGTATGAAAACTTTTGAGTGTGCATTGATCACAATCTGTGGTAGCCAGCAAATTTAGTGGCCCACCACACAACTGACTGTTGATTCTAATAGTAGCCTTGACCTCGCTGCATGACGCCTAATCAACATACACCAGATGCTAAGGTAGCAGTTAAGGAACTTGCGCCAACCCTTAGCAATTTTTTTATTGGCAGAAACCTTCCCATGAGTATCTACAGCAACTTTCCAAGATTTCATGGAGTAATTAAGCATTTAAGACATACTTTTGTTCATAAATACACATCAGTACATTTGCAATGAACGCAGTGCTTAGAATGTATTAGCAAGAAATAAAATAAGTCTAATAAAAGAAATATAAAAAAATTAATTAAAATAAAAAGGTTATAATACAATTTTTAAGACAAATTCCTTTGATGCCATAAAGATCTAAACTAGTTATTCTAAATAATATCTTGACCAGTTCCACAACGGAATAAAAAGAGAATTATTTTATTTTGCAGGTGTTAGCTATTTTTAAAACTATGCATCTTTTTTTTTAAATCACTAATTTGCATGCTGTATCATAACATTTTTTGCTTTATTTTATTTCACTGCTAAGTACAAGCATTACTTGTTAAAAAAAAAAAAAACCATTTATAAAGTCTGTTGCTGTCGTTGCGAAATTAGCTGTCCAATGAATTAAAAAAAATATATATTTTAATAGCTACAGCACATTTACAGGGTCTAATTTCATACTATAGACTTAACGACTCACTGCAGCCATGACAGTGTACAGGGATAGTTGTATGAAAGGTGCATGTAAACAAGAACAATTTAATACAGCTTGAATTGTAACTAGCTAAATGGAAACTCTGAACCAGGAAATGAAAATTATCATACAGCACACACACACATCTAGTCACCGCCAATAAATGCTGATGATTTTTACAGTAGACAAAAATATAGCATAATAATAACGTAACCTGGGTGTCCAAATCTTAAAATTAAAGGCAAAATCATACAAAGAGGCAACCTTAAGATAATTTTTAAAATATATATAGAGTATCTTACGGTTTGCGGACACATAGCGAAAAATCGGAACTTCCAACTTCCATGCGGTCTCATTCAGTAACTGCTTAACATAGTAAACCAAAAAAAGTATATCACTCCGCAACCATTCTACTTTAATAATGTGTTTGTCATTTTGTATTCATACGCATAGAACATTAGCTATTCTTGTTATAGTGACTTAGTGATCCTAACATGTCCAAACACATGTAAGAAAATTTTACATGTGTTCTGACACCTTTACCCGTCATTGAACAAAGCACATTTTGTTCATTTAGAATAATTTAAAGTCAATTTAATGAATAAAAACATATTATATGCATTTATATTTTGTTATTGATTGTGAGGTAATTTTTATAGTATAAAACCTTTTTCCCACACTCCCAAAGCTCATCCCATTCAGTCATTGCGGCTCGCGCAGTTCGCTGCTAAGCCAGCCAGGTCACATCATATCCCCCCTCTTTTGCCTTCCACTGCCTTCTTGACCCTTTCCCTTCAATAACCAGTCCCTTTTACGCTCTAAATTCTTATTTTATTATTTAATAATTTTTGTGTTGCCGTCCGCTCCAATGTAAGGCCCCTTTTTTATTGTTCAAGTACAAAAAAAAAACCATTAACCTTGACATTTACGATGTTCCATACATATAAAGAAGCTATTTATGGTGTAACCTTTTAGCTAAACGATTGGTTCAAGTTTTGCCCCTAAGTCCAACCCTAGGTCACTTCATCCGGCTGGTGTAAAAATAGAAATGTGCGTACCATGCAACGTTAAAAATATTTCTAAAAATAATTCTTGAGAGAGAAAACGGAAGTACTTGACGCTGAAGTGTTCATAAATGAACAGTTTACGTGCAGGCGCCATGGTTTTGCATGAGACATGCTAATTAAAGTTTCTAAAGCAAAAAACCGACAAAGTGTTCGCTCTCCAGTAGGGTGCTCTAAATAGCCCTAGACCTATATAATATGAATAAATGTATTAGGCCTAGTCTATTAAATTTATACATTAAAAAAGCTGTTTAAACAAAACAGTAAACTTATTCTTATTGCGGTCAACGATAGAGAATGAAACCTATTTAGCTAATAACCTTATAATTCATGATGGCAAATATCGCCAAAAGCCATTTTATACTTTGTGCCGTAGGCCTAGCTATTTATTACAATAAAAACTGTCCAGTTGAAAAAACAGAAAATTTTGTTCTAAAAACTTGTAAAATAATTTTGTGATGGGGCATGACTTAGATTCTATACATTTGCTTAAAGATGCCTTTGGACTAAATTATGAGGGGACATTTTCCTTCAAATAAATAGAGCCGATAAGAATTCGTGGTAATCTATCGTTTTGGGTACGTAAAATCGCCCGCGACTAGTAATGTGAAAAACAGGTGACTCCTTAAATTTTAATAATTATTTCACATTTTGAGGAGGATTTATGTTTTGAAAAATACAAAAATGTTTCCTTCTTTCATTTATGTACCTGTTTTTAAACAATTGAATTAAAACTTTTCAGTAATAAATGAAGACTAGCGATATTTCCAACAGATGCAACCATGCTCATTTACTATAGCAGCCATCTTGTTTAAGTTTTTTTTATAGCGGATATAGCGCGAGACAGGCGGAAGTCACTCTATTTTACAAATGGCTGCTGTTTATATAGCAAATCTTGCTCGCAAACACTGCTGTTTAAAGTTAATTTCTGGCATATATTGATATATTTAGCCATTGATTTAGGTTTATTATTCATTTATCTATAATATTTGACACAAATATATCACAATATACTTCTACTAAAGCCTTGACAATGAGGTAACTTTTTCGTACATTAATAGCCGCGGGCGATTTTACGTACCCAAAACGATAGATTACCGAATTCGTTTCTAAATGCAATAAAATTTTAAAAAGACTTCAACTTCATTGTAGGCCTACTATAAATTGTGTTGTTCTATGTTGAATCTATTGCAAACAAATCTAGAATGCTAGATTCCAGATCTAAAAGAAAAATCTAGATTTAGAATCAGTATAGATTCTAGATCTAGAATAATCTAGATCTAGAATCTAGATATCTAACTGGCCCTCTCCATCACTTACCACACACATACCATCCCATAGTCAAGACCTAGATTTCTAGATTTAAGATCTGTTAGTTTAGTAGAAATTAATAACCCGCTGAGTTAGTGGCGGCTTGTTATGGCAAATGTACTTATTAATTAGACAGTTAACTCGGATACAATTGTATTAAATATTTTATTCTCCAAAGTGACAATAAAAGTCATTTTTATTTATTATAATTCCTCACGTGGAGTAGAACAATCGATTTAAAAAATGTAGTGGCTCATTTCAGGATGTAATGCTTACCGGTTTCTTTTCGTAAGGTTTACTGGGGAGTTGGTTCCTTTTAGACTTGATTTTACCACCCCCTTCAGTAGCCATTTTTTAGAAATAACTTAATTTTAAACTAATAATGTAAATTCTTTTCGCTATCCATTGACTTCAGGACCAGACATTTTGATGATTCTTCCTAGGAAAGATGGCGGCAATAGAACTATTATCTGATTGGTGCATTAGAAGGTCACATGTGTTCGATAAGTCTCGTTAAGCTTTGACCTCTCGCTTAGTCAAAATTCCGAACAAAGCCGCAAATGTTAGGCACAAAAAATATTTAAATAAACTTGGTCGGTCGCTGAAAAAAAATCTATATTTTTAAAAGGAGTAGATCTAGAATCTAGATCTATGAAGATATTATCCTTAGCATTAATAAGTTACTATTGTGTAGATTTCTTTATAGAAGTTGATATTTGTATAACAAAACCGCAATATGTTAAGACCTACCGCCACCAGTTATCGAATTAACAACACGTTAAAATTAAATTCGAGATTTTTCAAGCAAACGACAAAATAATAATAAAGGTATTTAAAAATAAAATGCTTAAAAACGTGGTAAAATACTGATCCACGCTTTTCTTTATGGTTTTTAAATAGTAATGCATCTATATATTTAAAGCAAAGTGCTCGGGTGCCCGACAGGGCACTTCCCCGCGCCGCAGGCGCTTCAAATTTGGCAGACTCCTGCCTTGGGGCAATAGAACAACGGGGGACCGGTGCCGGTTGCCACAAAGTCCACGAAGAGGGGTCAAAACTGACCTCGACTGACCGGCACCTTTTATGAGTTATATATAATTAAAAAATTGCCCACGTAGGAATCTCTTCAAAACTCCTAACGTCGTAGACCGACTTTCGGGGTAGCCAAAAAAACTATGATATATTCGAGAAAATTCCGGACGAGCTTCAGAAGTGACCGGTCCGAATTTTCCCTATATAAACATTGTCAATTTTTGTTAAAAACTATGACTTTTTCAAAACAATGTTTTGGAACTTTGGCACTGTACATCTGACTCATTTTTCATAAACCTGGGTAAATGAATCGGCCTTATGGATAAACTATCGGTCAGCCTCTGTTCGCACGCGAGGGCTAAAAAGTGACCACGAGTGCAATTCTCCTTATACGAGCTATACATTGAAAAAAATTCCCATATATATATATATATATATATATATATATATATATATATATATATATATATATATATATATATATATATATATATATATATATATATATGCTAACCCGAAAGTCTAGAGTTCGAATCCGGGTTCACATCAGTGTAACGTCCCATGAATACAGAATGTTGGAAAATTGGATTATAAGTAAGTGATTCACAAAGCAAGAGAAGTCAGATGTTTTACCGTATTCAGATGTTGTACCGTGGTCAGATGTTTACCGAGATTGTATCGTTAGTTATGACAGCATTTCTGCGATAATGTAGTGGAGAAGAGCGGTTTTTGCTAAATAATAATGTCTTTTTCTCGAATTTTTTTTTTGGCGCAAGTTACGACACTAAACTAGAGACTCTAACTGGATAACTGACCTGGCCGCCCTTTAAAACAGTTTCCCGTCTCACCTGTCCCGTTCTTTAAACTGTTACCCGTCTCACCTGGCCTGTTCTTTAAAACAGTTTCCCGTCTCACCTGGCCCGCCCTTTAAAACATTTTCCCGTCTCACCTGGCCTGTTCTTTAAAACAGTTTCCCGTCTCACCTGACCGCCCATTAAAACAGTTTCCCGTCTCACCTGGCCCGTTCTTTAAAACAGTTTCCCGTCTCACCTGGCCGCCCATTAAAACAGTTTCCAGTCTCGCCTGTCCCGTTCTTTAAAACAGTTTCCCGTCTCACCTGTCCCGTTCTTTAAAACAGTTTCCCGTCTCACCTGTCCCGTTCTTTAAAACAGTTTCCCGTCTCACCTGGCCCGTTCTTTAAAACAGTTTCCCGTCTCACCTGTCCCGTTCTTTAAAACAGTTTCCCGTCTCAACTGGCCCGTTCTTTAAAACAGTTTCCCGTCTCAACTGGCCCGTTCTTTAAAACAGTTTCCCTTTAAAACAATGGATGTAGTCGGGTGAAACATAACTTTGAACCAGGTCGTATCATTTCACACCCCCCCCCCCCCTCCCCGCTGATGTACCGCAGTGTGTAAAACCTCCCACGTCTTGAGTAGCCTCCATGTTTTCCACAGCTAAGATGACATGACCGGGAGGGGCTACACTAAATACAAACAAACTGAGCCCATTGACAAGACCATCCATCATCACCCCCCCCCCCCTTTACAGACTGCTAGCTAAAATCTACAACTATCTAACCAGTTCCGGTGCAATTAGTCTCTGATTGACGTGCACGTTAATTGATTGCAGGAAAAGATGAAACGATATTATTTTGACAGGTGTGTACATTCAATTAGACAGAGCATAATTAATAAAGGCCCTATTTAAAAATATTATAATAACAAGATTTTTATTAACGTTCGAAAGAAAAAAAAATAGTTTCCTTTAAATAAAATAATACATAATTAACTACATAACTCTAAATTAAGCGTGTGTATTAAAATCCTAATTAGATTGTTTAATGGACAAATTTCCAGCTTTTCAGTGTAAAAACTTTTTTTTTAATCTTCAATGTTTAAGAATTTAAAATACGTTAAAACAGCGAGACAATATTTGTAGACTTCTAGTGTTTGATACAGCAACATTTGATTATTTATTCTTAATATACTATCAAAGGAGTTTAACAAACGCGTCAAGTTTTTATACAATCTTTTAGATTAAAGCTGCTAAAATTGTGATCGTAAGATCACACCCAGCATTCTTTCTTTCAGACTTTTTTCCACGGGGGGGGGGGGGGGGGGGGGGGGGGGGAGAGTGGGGGGGGGGGGGCGGGAGAGTGGGGGGGGGGGCGGGAGAGTGGGGGGGGGGGGAGAGTGGGGGGGGGGGGCGAGACTTGAAATTTGCTGGGGGGAGGGAGGGGTAGAGTTCCCACCCCCCTGAAGAGATGCCTAAAAGAAACTTTAACACCCAGACATACTCACACGAAGAAGAGTCGAGATTGGTAAAAGCTTGTAAAAATCGTTTCGTTTTTCTATTACAATTGCTCTTTAAAAATAAGATCCATTTAAAAGAGACCTATTTGTCCCTTTTTTAGCTGACACAGTTATGTACATTTTAAAGCTTCGTTGATGTCTGAAAATTATGACATAATGCTGAAAGCAAGGGACGGCGTCTTCTGGTGGTAGAGCACGAGTTCGTAGGACTACCTGAGTCTACTCAGCTTCGATGAGTACCTGACTAACAGTAGGGAAAGTAAAGGCGGATGGGTATAGTGTATAGTGCTTACCACACTATCCCATGCCGAGGTCACAGAAAAAGTGAACTCTACTTGGTCTGCCCACATGGAATTGTCATGTTTAGCTTCGATCAAAGATCATCACCGGTGTGATAAACGGATGTTAATGAACTGAATAGTACGAGCTGAGGTACATATTAGTACCATCCTTAGGGTTTCCGGTATGTTAATGAACTGAATAGTACGAGCTAAGGTACATATTAGTACCATCCTTAGGGTTTCAGAATGTTGATTAACTAAATAGTATCGGCTGAGGTACATATTAGTACCATCCTTAGGGTTTCCATTGAGGCTACATGCGCACTAGCACAGATTTCTACGTCATCAGCGCGCCACCCTCCCGCCAACTCAAGCCTGCGGACGGCTTTAATTAGGGCAGTGAGACGACTTGTCAAATTTAGACCTTTTGGTCGAGACAAGTTTGATTCGTTTACCATTCGCATAGGTTTTAAAAAAAATAGATTACCTTTCCTTCAAAGTAAAACCTAAATAGTTTGATAATCAGCAAATCGACTTTGTAACTTATTCACACAGTGTTTGAGATTTTGTAGACTTTGAGTTTTGTTACTTTGGTGATTTTTTTCCACTGGATTTCTCTATACAGAATTGAGTACTTTGGTAGACGTAGCAGTTTTTTTTAAAGGATTGAATTTACTTTTGGATTGTGTGATAGAGTGTTGACGTCAGTGTGATTGACGTTGGATTATAGGTTAGTGGCAGTTTGACTTCGTTAGCGACCTAACTCGATCATATGGTAACAGACTTAATTTAACAGGTGTTAGGTACATGACGAAATTCTATAAGTAACAGACTTCATATAAGATAGTTTTTATTTATTTTTTATTTAGTGAGAGGCCTAATTTAACTTGGGCCAAATGAACGAATTCTATAAGCGACAGACCAATTCTAAGTGTGCAGGATAAATCACTAAATTCTACCGGTGACAGACAAAATATAACTTCTAAGTGTGCCAAAGAAAGCATTCATTTCTACGAGTTACAGACCTAATTTAAATGTGCCAGATAAATCATTAAATTCTATCAGTGATTTGCCTACTTTAGCATGTGCAAGATAAATTATTGATTGTAGCAGTGACAGACAGAATCTTTATGTGCCAGATAAATCATTGAATTCTATCAGTGAAAGGCCTAATTCAACGTGTGCCAGATAAATCATCAAATTCTATTAGTGACAGACCAAATCTAAGTGTGCCAGATAAATCATTGAATTTTCTCAGCGGCAGGACTAATTTAACATGTGCCAGTTGAACGGTTACACAATTGTTTGGATGGTAACGTTGCTTTATACCTCTCAGTTACAGGTAAGTAAGAGTTCTAAACGAAAAATATCCAAAAACAATCAAGTCATATAACAAATATACTAATATCGATAACCATGCAAGTTTGACGCTGCAATATGTGCTTATTAGATTTAGAGTAAACTAAATAGTTACATTATCTCAGTTTGGTCGACATATCTATACGAGAAGACGAGTGCCCTGACTCATCTGTTTCAACTGATAAAGAAAAATCAATTAAAAACAAGATTTCCTCAGGGAGAAATTTATTTTTAAAAAAGTATATTGCTGTGCAGATAGATTTTTATTAAACTAAAATAAATGTATATATTTCTAAAAATATAAACTTTAAGAAAATCAATAGGCAACATGCAAAACAATAGAAAACGTAGAATCCACAATTATACATTTCCTTATTAAATGAGTATGGTTTTTGCCGATTCATTTACATTCCTGCTCGTATGCAACTACGGCGAAATCTGACGGCGATATAGATCATGTATTCTGTCGTCCCACACATGTTTACCTACTATGAATAGAGCAGAATGGGACACATGGCCCCTATACACCGCCATGTGCGCCCCTGTAAAAGATACGTTCACTTTAATTTTTGTTATCGTTGCTGTAACAGCGGGTCTTGGGTAAGGAACAGCCCGCAGTCAGCCATCATTTGAAAGGCAAAGTAGAAATGACAGACATCCACATCCAGAGAGAGGCTAAAAGATCAGAACATAGGACCAAAGGTAACTGATCCACGTTGACATACATATGACCTTTTGTTCGTCTACTTACCGAGAGGTAACTAGACCAAAGGACTAAAGGTCTGACATACCTACGACCTTTTGTTCTTCTACTTACCGAGAGGTAACTAGACCAAAGGACCAAAGGTAACTGATCCACTCAGACATACCTATGACCTTTGGTTCGTCTACTTACCAAGAGATGACTAACTCTTCTGTTCGCCATCTTACCATATCCTGTTGTATTCAGATCCTCCGACCCCCGCCATGGTTGAAGTTTACGGCAATCCCAAGCTGCACCATAAGGTCAAGCTCCGAGTGACCACCGCCTCTCACCTCTACAGCCTCGATCTGAAGAAAGTTCAGTCAGTTCTACACAGCAATGTCAAGGTCATAACTGTAGGAGCAACACCAGACGGTCGTCCTGACTTCGTTGTGGGGGACATGGAGGCAAGTCACTGACATTCTAAATCACTGACATTCTAAATCACTGACATTCTAAGTCACTGACATTCTAAATCACTGACATTCTAAGTCACTGACATTCTAAGTCACTGACATTCTAAATCACTGAAATTCTAAAGTGTCTTACTGTCCTGTGTGTGTGGGGGGGGGGGGGGGGGGAGCCACGAGCAACTGACATTCTAAAGTTGCTGGTCAGGTGTTAGAGCACATGATTACTAACCAAAAATCTGGAGTTCAGTTTCTGGGTTTGAGTGAGTAGAACACTCCTGAGTTACAACCAGCTGTAATCAGTACCTGGCTGTAGTTGGGGAAAGTAAATAATACTAGATCTTGACCGTTTGCTCAGGTCACAGAAATAGAAACTACTCCATATGCATAGAAGTTTTGTATTATATAATTAACATAAATAATTCGTATGCTAATTGTTCGGGTCAATGGGTCAATATTGTTGTGGTGATCTGTTTCAGCCGGACATAGTGGAGCAGTCTAAGATGTTTTTTCACAACCCGGACACGGGGACTGTGGTCAGCCTGAGGATCCAGGGGGACGGGCACTATCACGTGGTACGTAGACCTGGCCTACACCTCTCACCTTGTCCAGTCCACCTCTACCCTCCCCTCTATTTACTGCAACTTATTCTTATTGTTCAACTGTATCGGCATACGAAACAATTCACTACTATATTTTTGTAACACGTAAAAAGTAAAGTTTCACTTTCAAACCTGACGGTCTATGGGGCAAGTGAAGTAGAGTTTACTTGTTTCTGTGACCTCAGCATATGAAGAGAGTGTGGTCAGCACTATGCCCAGCTTTGTAAGACGTGTTTACTTTTAAAAAAGCTGAGTCAGCAAAATCTTCTGGGTGTGGTACAGGAGTTACATAGTAAATGCATGGGTGGGGTGCAAGAATTACATAGTAAATGCATGGGTGGGGTGCAAGAATTACATAGTAAATGCATGGGTGGGGTGCAAGAATTACATAGTAAATGCATGGGTGGGGTGCAAGAATTACATGGTAAATGCATGGGTGGGGTGCAAGAATTACATGATAAATGCGTGGGTGGGGTGCAAGAATTACATGATAAATGCATGGGTGGGGTGCAAGAATTACATGATAAATGCGTGGGTGGGGTGCAAGAATTACATAGTAAATGCTTGGGTGGGGTGCAAGAATTACATAGTAAATGCATGGGTGGGGTGCAAGAATTACATAGTAAATGCATGGGTGGGGTGCAAGAATTACATAGTAAATGCATGGGTGGGGTGCAAGAATTACATAGTAAATGCATGGGTGGGGTGCAAGAATTACATGGTAAATGTGTGGGTGGGGTGCAAGAATTACATGATAAATGCGTGGGTGGGGTGCAAGAATTACATAGTAAATGCATGGGTGGGGTGCAAGAATTACATAGTAAATGCATGGGTGGGGTGCAAGAATTACATGGTAAATGTGTGGGTGGGGTGCAAGAATTACATGGTAAATGTGTGGGTGGGGTGCAAGAATTACATGGTAAATGTGTGGGTGGGGTGCAAGAATTACATGATAAATGTGTGGGTGGGGTGCAAGAATTACATGATAAATGCGTGGGTGGGGTGCAAGAATTACATGATAAATGCATGGGTGGGGTGCAAGAATTACATGATAAATGCGTGGGTGGGGTGCAAGAATTACATGATAAATGCGTGGGTGGGGTGCAAGAATTACATGATAAATGCATGGGTGGGGTGCAAGAATTACATGATAAATGCGTGGGTGGGGTGCAAGAATTACATAGTAAATGCATGGGTGGGGTGCAAGAATTACATAGTAAATGCATGGGTGGGGTGCAAGAATTACATAGTAAATGCTTGGGTGGGGTGCAAGAATTACATGGTAAATGCATGGGTGGGGTGCAAGAATTACATGATAAATGCGTGGGTGGGGTGCAAGAATTACATGATAAATGCATGGGTGGGGTGCAAGAATTACATGGTAAATGCATGGGTGGGGTGCAAGAATTACATGATAAATGCGTGGGTGGGGTGCAAGAATTACATAGTAAATGCATGGGTGGGGTGCAAGAATTACATAGTAAATGCATGGGTGGGGTGCAAGAATTACATGATAAATGCGTGGGTGGGGTGCAAGAATTACATGATAAATGCGTGGGTGGGGTGCAAGAATTACATAGTAAATGCATGGGTGGGGTGCAAGAATTACATAGTAAATGCATGGGTGGGGTGCAAGAATTACATAGTAAATGCATGGGTGGGGTGCAAGAATTACATAGTAAATGCATGGGTGGGGTGCAAGAATTACATGGTAAATGCATGGGTGGGGTGCAGGAATTACAAAAGTAAATGCGTGGGTGGGTGCAAGAATTATATGGTATACTGAGCTGAGGTTTGGGCGCTTGAGCTCAGTTATGAGCTTCGTTAATCTGAGCTCATTTGCGATTACAGTAACGTAATTAGAAGCTGGGGTTGACAAAGGCTAAGCTGCAGGCGATGAGATTAACCGACTTAAATGTAGATCATCTCCACGTGTCTCAAATAACGAACCAGCTGCCCTAGCGTTGTTTGGTTGCTCTGTTGCTGTAGGCCTGCAGGCTTGTTATCAAATGTTTCAAAGTTGTGGTAGTTTGTTGTCATCGTCAGTGTACAGGGTTAGTGCAACACCATTGTTGACAAGGTTAGACTGACACCATTGTTGACAAGGTTAGACTGACACCATTGTTGAACAAGGTTAGACTGACACCATTGTCCCACCACAGGAGGGCCATTTAGACCATGTTAGGATCATAGCTCCGCCCCATTCAAGGGCCCGTCACCCTCGTACAACAGACAGCAGAAGTCACTTTGTTTACAAATCAGTCGACAACTTGGATATCGACACCGGCCATTTTGATGACGTCAGCAGCGGTACCTACAGGATTATCAGCAGGTGGGTGGTTACCTGTGTCCATCACAAACATATATTTGTGCCAATGTTTTTTTTTTTTTTACTGAGTCCATTAAAAAAATAATGCCTGTTCGATTCATTTGATGGGAGGAGACGAATGATGAAAGCAAATCTTCCACAGTCCATCAAACAAGCAGACGGATAGCAGCCACGGAGCGAATGGGGGCGACGACGAGAAGTTTCTAATGAAATCAAAACGGGAAGAGATACAGCGGATCTTGAAGACCAACAGACACATAGACAAGCAGGCGGCAATGAGATGGGCCAGGGCGCGGGGCTATGAAATGGATGACGATGATGACGATGATGAGGGGGATGACTATATGGAAGGTTTGACCTGATTGTGTTGTTGTAATGACGTTGAATATTTGAGATACTTTTAACTTCGGCAAAAAAACTAGTGTGTATGCGTTGGGGGGGGGGGGGGGTGCTACAAAAAGAACTTTGTGCTGGTGCTACAAAACATGTTGTCTTGTTGGAATCCTGAATTCTGTTCTTAGTGTTAATTAAACTACACACGTGCTTCCTGTTCAATGGCTCTGTGGGTTGAGACTCCTGATTTAATAAATAATTAGTTAATTATATTTTTAAATGATGAGATTTTTAAAAGGTTTCCTTAAAAATGATAACCGAAAAAAAATGTAATGTCTTCTAATATATCCACGCTACAACAACATGACCATTGTACCTTTTTTGTGCAGTTCCAAAATCATTCGACGACCAGAAGTTGTGGAGCCCAAGAAATGGTCAAAAAGAAAAGTTAGCAAACGGTCTTCCATACCCAGACGAAAAAAATAAGGGAAATGACATGAATAGCCTTCCATATCCAATCGATAAACACAACGGAAAGGGGGATACTGAAACAACCAACCGACCATTACCGGAAGAGAGAAATAAAGGTCATAACGCAACCAATGGCATTTCATACTTAGACAACAACGAGAGAAATGGACAAAATTCAACAAATTACTTGCCAAACAAGGACGATAGAGGAAAAACCCACAGTACAACAAATGATCCACATTCAAATGGCCTTCCATACCATAAGGAGATCGAGAAAAACAATTATAATTCACAAAATGGTCTTCCATATCAAAAGGAAAACGAGAAAAGCAATCATAATTCGGCAAATGGTCTTCCATACCAAGATGAGAAAGAAATAAAAGAAAACCACGCAAATGCCGCTGCTTACAAAAATGACAAAAGAAAAAGCCAGGAAGAACACCAAGTACCAGACGAGAGGCAGCCCCAGCAGACGAGAGCAAAGGTCAGACGCAGGAAGAGACAGAGTGCAACTGAGTGGCTGACCAGTGACATCCCGGCATTCTTCGATCCCCGTCAGGACAGCCCCACAGTCAAGACAGCGGGACCTTACGTTGTTGAGGTAAGTAGACAGGTGACCCCCACAGTGAAGTCAGCTGGACCTTACATAGTTGAGGTAAGTAGACAGGTGACCCCCCCCCCCCCCATTCTATCCCCACAGTGAAGTTAGCTGGACCTTACGTTGTTGAGGTAAGTAGACATGTGACCCCCACAGTGAAGTCAGCTGGACCTTACATAGTTGAGGTAAGTAGACAGGTGACCCCCACAGTGAAGTCAGCTGGACCTTACATAGTTGAGGTAAGTAGACATGTGACCCCCACAGTGAAGTCAGCGGGACCTTACATAGTTGAGGTAAGTAGACAGGTGACCCCCACAGTGAAGTTAGCTGGACCTTACGTTGTTGAGGTAAGTAGACATGTGACCCCCACAGTGAAGTCAGCTGGACCTTACGTTGTTGAGGTAAGTAGACATGTGACCCCCACAGTGAAGTCAGCTGGACCTTACGTTGTTGAGGTAAGTAGACATGTGACCCCCACAGTGAAGTCAGCTGGACCTTACATAGTTGAGGTAAGTAGACATGTGACCCCCACAGTGAAGTCAGCGGGACCTTACATAGTTGAGGTAAGTAGACATGTGACCCCCACAGTGAAGTCAGCGGGACCTTACATAGTTGAGGTAAGTAGACAGGTGACCCCCACAGTGAAGTCAGCGGGACCTTACATAGTTGAGGTAAGTAGACAGGTGACCCCCACAGTGAAGTCAGCGGGACCTTACATAGTTGAGGTAAGTAGACAGGTGACCCCCACAGTGAAGTCAGCTGGACCTTACATAGTTGAGGTAAGTAGACATGTGACCCCCACAGTGAAGTCAGCGGGACCTTACATAGTTGAGGTAAGTAGACATGTGACCCCCACAGTGAAGTCAGCTGTCGCTAAATTGTCCAGACAATGTTGACGATAATATCCATTGACCTCTCGCATTATGTGTCCAGGTGATGTCTATGATTGACGCTAAAGCCTACGAAGAATTCAACTACGACTGGAAGGCTCTACAGATTTACCTCCTCCATTTTTGGCAGTCTGTAGGTGGCTTTGTCTGTCATACTGTGGCGTATTGTAGACCCCATGTTCTGTTAATCTGTGTGTCGTACTGCATACCGTCTCTTCTGTAAATCTGAAATATCTGAGTGTTGTCCTACTGTAAACCTTTTATTCTGCTAATCCCTAAAGCTGAAATATCTGAATGTTGTACAACTGTAAACCTTTTATTATGTTAATCTCTAAAGCTGAAATATGTGTACGTTGTCCTACTCTTAACCTTTTATTATGTTAATCTCTAAAGCTGAAATATGTGTATTTTGTACTGTAAATATTCTGTTCTGTTAATCTCTAAAGCTGAAATATGTGTATGTTGTCCTACTGTAAACCTTTTATTCTGCTAATCTCTAAAGCTGACACTGTTACTTACACCCAGGTCAACGCCAGATTTCAAGCCATGATAGAACCTAAAATTAGCATACGTGTCAAGTCTATTGCCAAAGTGATGGTAAGCAGTCCTTTATATATCATTGGACAGGTTGTTTTCTTTTGTGTGGTGGGACTGTGAGGTGGTCGTGTGACATAGGCTTGTGCTGTAGTTGTGTGATATGGGCTTATGACATGGGATTTTGCTGTAGTTGTGTGATATAGGCTTATGACATGGGATTTTGCTGTAGTTGTGTGATATAGGCTTATGACATGGGATTTTGCTGTAGTTGTGTGATATAGGCTTATGACATGGGATTTTGCTGTAGTTGTGTGATATAGGCTTATGACATGGGATTTTGCTGTAGTTGTGTGATATAGGCTTATGACATGGGATTTTGCTGTAGTTGTGTGATATAGGCTTATGACATGGGATTTTGCTGTAGTTGTGTGATATGGGCTTATGACATGGGATTTTGCTGTAGTTGTGTGATATGGGCTTATGACATGGGATTTTGCTGTAGTTGTGTGATATAGGCTTATGACATGGGATTTTGCTGTAGTTGTGTGATATAGGCTTATGACATGGGATTTTGCTGTAGTTGTGTGATATGGGCTAATGACATGGGCTTATGCTGTATGCATGTGCTGTGGGCTTGTGACATTGGCAAGTGACGACGTCTTGCAGCCAGAGCTCGTGGTTTATGCAGTGATGCCCCTATTACAGACTTGATTTATTCCTGCCCCAGTTTTCAGGGTTCCAGCCCTTCATTGAGAACAACCGAATCGAGGCTGGCACGGAGCTGGTTGACGTCACCGGAGTTCTGACGGAGTTCAGGAACTTCATCCGAGAGAACTACGAGTCAAATCCGGCACTACCGGACCATGACGTCGCCATCTTGTTGACCGGGTGAGTCCATGGGTTTTTGTTTGATGACCATGACGTCGCCATCTTGTTGACCGGGTGAGTCCATGGGTTTTTGTTTGATGACCATGACGTCGCCATCTTGTTGACCGGGTGAGTCCATGGGTTTTTGTTTGAGTAAATCTGTTTCACTAGACTCTATGGCTAGACATCTAACAACGTTGCTAGGTCTACACCGGCTTCAATTCGTGGCACGCTAAAACAAGCACAAAGCGATAAGACACAAAGCTCTCAATACAACTTCCAGTTTTTTGTTCAACCAGTCAAATATGATGCGGAGATTTTTAAAAACAGATCTCTGTCAGAGAAGGTAGCTCAGTAAAGCTAAACCCAATACATGCAGCACTGACTATATAGTCTGCACACGGGCGTGTTTTGGGACGATTTCGCGTGTTCTCCAAAACTAGTTAAGAGATCAATACGAAAAAGATCAATCGCTTGTAATAAAAACCTTAAATTTCGCCTTTTGCTCTTCCAGAGAAGATCTGTGCAAGAAAAAATTAGACGGGACTTGGTCTCTAGGATCTAAAGGTAATTTGTGGATGTTTGGCTCATAGTTTTAAAATGGCGATATTAAATGAAACAATAAAAAGATTAAAGTATGATAAATATTTGTTATTTTTAAAATGCTACAAACTATTAAATTTTTAATGCATGAAAATAGTCGAAAATTTAACTACAAATATTACATCCGTTGTGACATCATTGACAGGAATAGCGTTTGTCCGAGGGGGATGTATTTCTTCCAGAAGGTTCGCCAATCAGAGCTACGACGTGGGCGTGGCCGAAGTGGGTCGCAGTTTTAGAGGCGTGTTGACCACAGCCCACGAAGTTGGACATCTGTAAGCAAAAGTTGACGCCAATGTTGATGCTTCTTTTAAAAATCTCGATTACAAAAACTATTAAAACTAAATGTATGTATGCGCATGTTGCGGCAGTTAGAAAGCGCAACAACTAAGTCCTTTAATGTGAACAATACAGTGATAAAATAAAACCACTAAGTTTCCCTGTTGTTACGTTTGACCTCTCATCCAACAAACCCTTTTGTAGGCAATGTTCCACCTTTATTTCGCTTGTCCTTTTTATCTTTACACAACACTCATGCCTAACCGCTACCAACTAACCGCGTTAACATTAATTCACTCCAGCTTTTATACCGCATTCGACCTTGGGATAACAATACATAAACACACCAGGGTTAACTACACACTAGGGTAAACTCAACACACACACGCACTCTCCCCTAAATTCAAGACTATTCTAGTCTATCTATATAACTTACAACTAACCAGTAACATCGTCACGGTTGCAGGATCGGCGCCTTCCACGACGGCGAGAAGAACTCCTCCCTGTGCCCACCGTCCAGCGGGTTCATCATGTCCAGCGACTGGACGGACCCGCTGCTCTACAACAGGTTCTCCAACTGTTCCAGGCAGAACTTCAGGCACTTTCTAGAGAAGTACGTGCACTTTAGAGGTTTTAGGCACTTTCTAGAGAAGTACTTGTACTTTAGAGGCTTTAGGCACTTTCTAGAGAAGTACTTATACATTAGCTGCTTTAGGCACTTTCTAGATGAGTATTTGTACTTTAGCAACCTTAGGCACTTTGTAAAGAAGTATTGACACTTTAACGTTTTTATGTACTTTCTACATACTTATAACAATGTTCTTACATTTGATTTTTTCAATCAAAACGTCTTTGTTTCTTGGATATTGATTTACATTTAATGAAATTTAACATTAAGCTTATGCTGTTTATTGATTGATATAACATGTCACCGTTACATGACAAATTAACTTGACCCCCTCCCCCCGTGCCCCCAGCACGTGGTACTCTCAGTGTCTCGTCAATTCTGACTCCAACTACACCACGGGCTACGACCTACCCAATCAACTTCCGGGTCAGGTTTTTACACTGACCGAGCAGTGTCTGCAGTACATCGATGGCGTCCCTTGCAGTGTAAGTTTGTACATTCCTCGATTATCTCCCTTCTTTACATTTTAAACATAATTTACTTCCCTTGGTTGCTCCTATAGTTTAAGTAGACACACTATTCAGACAAAAAACTTCAGAACTAATAATTATTAAGTCATTACGATTAGCGCAGCAGTTCAGAAGCGCCAAAGCTAGATTCTATTGTAATTTTTGTTTCCTGACTCTAATATTAGTGTAATACTAAAGTTCGGTTCCATTGTTTAGTAATCCGAATTTCTATTGTATTGTAGTCTCTGACCAAAGTAACATTCTATTGTAGTCTCTAACCAAAGTAACATTCTATTGTAGTCTCTGACCAAAGTAACATTCTATTGTAGTCTCTGACCAAAGTAACATTCTATTGTAGTCTCTGACCAAAGTAACATTCTATTGTAGTCTCTGACCAAAGTAACATTCTATTGTAGTCTCTGACCAAAGTAACATTCTATTGTAGTCTCTGACCAAAGTAACATTCTATTGTAGTCTCTGACCAAAGTAACATTCTATTGTAGTCTCTGACCAAAGTAACATTCTATTGTAGTCTCTGACCAAAGTAACATTCTACAAAGTAACATTCTATTGTAGTCTCTGACCAAAGTAACATTCTATTGTAGTCTCTAACCAAAGTAACATTCTATTGTAGTCTCTGACCAAAGTAACATTCTATTGTAGTCTGACCACTGACCACTATCGCCCGTCCACAGACCGTCGCTCTGGAATCACAGTGTGGTCAGCTGTGCTGTGAGAAGTGGTCCCAGCCCTTCCCCAGCAAGGAGCCAGCAGCCGACGGGACCTTCTGCGGACCTGGCAAGGTCAGGGTCACATCTCTTCACCCATTGGAAACCTAATGTCGGTCGTGTTTAGTCAGTTATAAGTTTTGTGAGAACAGATCAAGACGTACACTGTCTAACACCAGATTAAAACATACATTGTCTAACAACAGATTTGAACACACTGTCTAACAACAGATTAAAACATACACTGTCTAACACCAGATTAAAACATACATTGTCTAACAACAGATTTAAACACACTGTCTAACAACACATTAAAACATACACTGTCTAACACCAGATTAAAACATACATTGTCTAACAACAGATTAAAACATACACTGTCTAACAACAGATTAAAACATACACTGTCTAACAACAGATTTAAACACACTGTCTAACAACAGATTAAAACATACACTGTCTAACACCAGATTAAAACATACACTGTCTAACAACAGATTTAAACACACTGTCTAACAACAGATTAAAACATACACTGTCTAACAACAGATTAAAACATACACTGTCTAACAACAGATTAAAACATACACTGTCTAACAACAGATTTAAACACACTGTCTAACAACAGATTAAAACATACACTGTCTAACAACAGATTTAAACACACTGTCTAACAACAGATTAAAACACACACTGTCTAACACCAGATTAAAACATACACTGTCTAACAACAGATTAAAACACACACTGTCTAACAACAGATTAAAACATACACTGTCTAACAACAGATTAAAACATACACTGTCTAACAACAGATTAAAACACACACTGTCTAACACCAGATTAAAACATACACTGTCTAACAACAGATTAAAACACACACTGTCTAACAACAGATTAAAACATACACTGTCTAACAACAGATTAAAACATACACTGTCTAACAACAGATTAAAACACACACTGTCTAACACCAGATTAAAACATACACTGTCTAACAACAGATTTAAACACACTGTCTAACACCAGATTAAAACATACACTGTCTAACAACAGATTTAAACACACTGTCTAACACCAGATTAAAACATACACTGTCTAACAACAGATTTAAACACACTGTCTAACACCAGATTAAAACGTACACTGTCTAACAACAGATTAAAACATACACTGTCTAACAACAGATTAAAACATACACTGTCTAACACCACATTAAAACATACACTGTCTAACAACAGATTTAAACATACACTGTCTAACAACAGATTAAAACATACACTGTCTAACACCACATTAAAACATACACTGTCTAACAACAGATTAAAACATACACTGTCTAACAACAGATTAAAACACACACTGTCTAACAACATATTAAAACACACACTGTCTAACAACAGATTTAAACACACTGTCTAACACCAGATTAAAACATACACTGTCTAACACCAGATTAAAACATACACTGTCTAACAACAGATTAAAACATACACTGTCTAACACCAGATTAAAACATACACTGTCTAACAACAGATTTAAACACACTGTCTAACAACAGATTAAAACATACACTGTCTAACAACAGATTAAAACATACACTGTCTAACAACAGATTAAAACATACACTGTCTAACAACAGATTTAAACACACTGTCTAACAACAGATTAAAACATACACTGTCTAACAACAGATTTAAACACACTGTCTAACAACAGATTAAAACACACACTGTCTAACACCAGATTAAAACATACACTGTCTAACAACAGATTAAAACACACACTGTCTAACAACAGATTAAAACATACACTGTCTAACAACAGATTAAAACATACACTGTCTAACAACAGATTAAAACACACACTGTCTAACACCAGATTAAAACATACACTGTCTAACAACAGATTAAAACACACACTGTCTAACAACAGATTAAAACATACACTGTCTAACAACAGATTAAAACATACACTGTCTAACAACAGATTAAAACACACACTGTCTAACAACAGATTTAAACACACTGTCTAACACCAGATTAAAACATACACTGTCTAACAACAGATTTAAACACACTGTCTAACACCAGATTAAAACGTACACTGTCTAACAACAGATTAAAACATACACTGTCTAACAACAGATTAAAACATACACTGTCTAACACCACATTAAAACATACACTGTCTAACAACAGATTTAAACATACACTGTCTAACAACAGATTAAAACATACACTGTCTAACACCACATTAAAACATACACTGTCTAACAACAGATTAAAACATACACTGTCTAACAACAGATTAAAACACACACTGTCTAACAACATATTAAAACACACACTGTCTAACAACAGATTTAAACACACTGTCTAACACCAGATTAAAACATACACTGTCTAACACCAGATTAAAACATACACTGTCTAACAACAGATTAAAACATACACTGTCTAACACCAGATTAAAACATACACTGTCTAACAACAGATTTAAACACACTGTCTAACAACAGATTAAAACATACACTGTCTAACAACAGATTAAAACATACACTGTCTAACAACAGATTAAAACATACACTGTCTAACAACAGATTTAAACACACTGTCTAACAACAGATTAAAACATACACTGTCTAACAACAGATTTAAACACACTGTCTAACAACAGATTAAAACACACACTGTCTAACACCAGATTAAAACATACACTGTCTAACAACAGATTAAAACACACACTGTCTAACAACAGATTAAAACATACACTGTCTAACAACAGATTAAAACATACACTGTCTAACAACAGATTAAAACACACACTGTCTAACACCAGATTAAAACATACACTGTCTAACAACAGATTAAAACACACACTGTCTAACAACAGATTAAAACATACACTGTCTAACAACAGATTAAAACATACACTGTCTAACAACAGATTAAAACACACACTGTCTAACAACAGATTTAAACACACTGTCTAACACCAGATTAAAACATACACTGTCTAACAACAGATTTAAACACACTGTCTAACACCAGATTAAAACGTACACTGTCTAACAACAGATTAAAACATACACTGTCTAACAACAGATTAAAACATACACTGTCTAACACCACATTAAAACATACACTGTCTAACAACAGATTTAAACATACACTGTCTAACAACAGATTAAAACATACACTGTCTAACACCACATTAAAACATACACTGTCTAACAACAGATTTAAACATACACTGTCTAACAACAGATTAAAACATACACTGTCTAACACCACATTAAAACATACACTGTCTAACAACAGATTAAAACATACACTGTCTAACAACAGATTAAAACACACACTGTCTAACAACAGATTAAAACACACACTGTCTAACAACAGATTTAAACACACTGTCTAACACCAGATTAAAACATACACTGTCTAACAACAGATTAAAACATACACTGTCTAACAACAGATTAAAACATACACTGTCTAACAACAGATTAAAACATACACTGTCTAACAACAGATTAAAACACACACTGTCTAACACCACATTAAAACATACACTGTCTAACAACAGATTAAAACATACACTGTCTAACAACAGATTAAAACATACACTGTCTAACAACAGATTAAAACATACACTGTCTAACAACAGATTAAAACATACACTGTCTAACAACAGATTAAAACATACACTGTCTAACAACAGATTAAAACATACACTGTCTAACAACAGATTAAAACATACACTGTCTACCAACAGATTTAAACACACTGTCTAACAACAGATTAAAACATACACTGTCTAACAACAGATTTAAACACACTGTCTAACAACAGATTTAAACACACTGTCTAACAACAGATTAAAACATACACTGTCTAACAACAGATTAAAACATACACTGTCTAACAACAGATTAAAACACACACTGTCTAACACCACATTAAAACATACACTGTCTAACAACAGATTAAAACATACACTGTCTAACAACAGATTAAAACATACACTGTCTAACAACAGATTAAAACATACACTGTCTAACAACAGATTAAAACATACACTGTCTAACAACAGATTAAAACATACACTGTCTAACAACAGATTAAAACATACACTGTCTAACAACAGATTAAAACATACACTGTCTAACAACAGATTAAAACATACACTGTCTAACAACAGATTTAAACACACTGTCTAACAACAGATTAAAACATACACTGTCTAACAACAGATTTAAACACACTGTCTAACAACAGATTTAAACACACTGTCTAACAACAGATTAAAACATACACTGTCTAACAACAGATTAAAACATACACTGTCTAACAACAGATTAAAACATACACTGTCTAACAACAGATTAAAACATACACTAACAACACAGTTTGCCTATTTCAGGTGTGTTACAACGGCGCATGTCTTCAACAAGAGCTCGTGTCATTCCAGATCTAAAACCCATCTCATCTATTTATAGAAGCAACTGTTTAAAAAAAAATTAACCTTTTAATAAATACTATATGTATTAGGAAAGTGAATCTAAATCGTCTTGTTATAATTTACATATATATCTTCTGTTATTTTCTAACTTAGATGTCTGTTTTTAACTACTACATCATCCTGTTATAACTTCATTATTATGTCATTATTCATTTGATAACCCTGATTATTGTAACGTCTATTACTAAAACTGAGTAGATCTATAAGATAGCCAAGAGAAAATGAGTGTTGGTTGATCGCTTCTCGATATAATATAAACTATTCTCATTGTTAGCTCCCTTGGTTTTGGATATTTAAGCAGTGATTTACTTCCCTTGTTTGTTATATATGTTCAGCAATCCAATCATCACTCTGGATATTTAACTATATTTTAATAACTTTAATAAAGTGACATCTCATAAAATTATTTGAAAAACTTAAAATACATAAAGTAGTTTTCACTGTATATGGTTTAAAGAATATGTGGCGACAAGCAAAGTTCTGGGAAGTCGAAGGGGATTAGAACTAGTAACACATGTTCGTTGTCTATTTTACACACACACACACATAATTTTTCTCTCTCTCTCTCTCTCTCTCTGCTTATATATATATATATATATATATATATATATATATATATACATATAGATATATATATATATATATATATATATATATATATATATATATATATATATATATATATATATATATAAGAAAAGAAGGGATGCTTGTTTGTTATTCATAGTTATTAGATCGGGAGCTTGCAGGCAAGTTGCATGGAAATTGTTCTTGACAAAGTTTGTTGTTCACTCTCTTTTTACTGTGAGGAATGTTTCTTTAAGAAACCCATCATCAACATGTTATCCCAGCCAAACATCTCCCACAAAGGTGGGCCAGGTGAGGTCTATGCAAATCCCCTCCCTCCCTCTCAAGGTCACCCCGACAAGTACAGGGGCGCTGATTACACCCCTGACACCCCAGCTCCTGCACTTTGTAAGGGCTGGTCATGATCTGACACACCTTACACCGCTGACCGTATTCCGCCTGAAACTAAAATAAATGGTACAATTAGATCAAATATTAAACAACAAATTAATGAACGGTTTGAAAAAGTTTACATCCAAAAAAATTGAGATTAAGCACAATACACATATTTTTGAAGTGGGTTTATACTTGAATGTTTTAGTGAAGGCTATCCTTAGATTTGTTCAATTACATTTTTACTTTCTCGTATATACGAAGTATAGAGAAAGTCTTGTAATCGTGCAAAAAAAAAAAAAAAAAAAAACCGAGATTTTTACAAATCTCGATGTTTTACACCTCACTGATACGGAGAAACATAATTTTGCAATCTTGTCCGTATGTCTGTCTGTCTGTCTGTCTGTCTGTCTGTCTGTCTGTCTGTCTGTGTGTCCGTGTGTAAACACGATAACTTGAGTACCGTTACAGCTAGGTTGATGAAATTTCATATATAAGTATTTTATCAAAATCGTAGATCCGTATCAACTTTTGAGCGATTTCCGATAACCGGAAGTGGTACTTTTTCTACTTTGAATTTTTCAAAAGCCTATAATTTGAGTACTATTTCAGATAGATAAATGAAATTTCACATGTAAGTAAAAGATCTAATTCTCTACCTTCTGTTAAATTTTGAGTAATTTCTGTTGACTGGAAGTAGTAATTTACGCTACTTCCGATTTCTCAAAAAACTAATGTAAATTTTAAAAGTACTAATAATATTGCGCACTATTATGCGCTTTTTTATTTGGCGTTCACTTGGTGTGCAATTAATTTGTCTACGAGATTTTATTCTATTTTTAAAACTTTAAGTATTTAAAATGGATTAAAAATCATGTCTATAGCCCGAGTTCCCATCCCCTGTTATTTTATATAAGAGTATTCGAGAAAGTTTAGGGGAGATCACTCCCGGTTTATTTTAACACGCAATTAATTTTTTTTTACAATTGTGAAACAAATTTCTAAGATTTGCCTAAATTGTCACCGCCTTGGATGCTATGGTAAAATTGTAAGGATTATCCAACCACTTTTAGATGTTACATTTAATATGACTAAGTTGTGGAGCGATATTTAAATCTACGAGCTGACCCGCGGCATATCATACGCCTCTATTTAGTTGTTTTATTTTCTACTTTTCAGTAATTCATAATTTGTGAATTCGACAGTACCAATGCTGCCACTGAAAATAGTTGCTTTAAAACACAATCAGTAGGTCGTTAAGGACGATACTACCCCCCCCACCCCCTCCTTTCCCCCAACCCCTACCCTACCCCCCCCCCCCCCCCCCCCGTGAAAGCAGCCTCCTCTTAGTTACCTCCCCTAAGTTTAAAATCGTTTCAAACTAAATTATCTGCCCCTAATAGCCGTCACTAAACCCGGCTCCACGAATGTAAACATTTAGTGTGAACCACAGCTCACCAGACCATGTTGGGGTGGGGTGGTAGGGAGCGCGCTTACAGCTTGTTTTCTAGAGTCTCCAAGAAGAGAATTATATATATAGATATTGCACATTCGATCAGAGGCATATTAAAAAATACCACTTACCTCCCCTGTATTGGTCTCAACACAGTAGACCCGAGCACTGCGCCAAGTGTTGCCACACTTCGAACATCTAAAGAATCCAAACATTCTCCTGGACATGTCTGCGTCGGAAATACTGTCAACACACATCAACTTAAATATTAACTACATACAATTTACGATACTGACATCAATGCTAATATTTCCGAGAAAATGTATTCTATACATACATCGACTTCAATATTTACGACTTAAAATATCTACACATGCAGTAACTTTAGTATTTACACACAAAAAATATTTTAGACAAACATACAATTTAATTTTAATAATTAAAATATATTTGCATATACTTCAATTGGTTAAACTAAAGTCTTTTAAAAATATTTTTTTACTTCTTCTTCTTCTTCTTCGTTCTTAATTATGAATATGGTGGAGGATTCAGACAACAAGTCCAACTTCGTGGACAAACCGGACTGTGGTCTCCAGTTTGTCATATAATTTTTCCCTATATAATTATCGCATCAGATTTTATTATAACAGTAGTAGTACACAAACCAAGCTATAAGGTGCTAGCCCCACGAATGTAATTTTTATTTATTCTTGTCATTAAGGAAATTATGTCATTATGTACTCATGTCATTAATGTATTCATGCCATGTAAGTGCTTAAAAATTATATACTCATTTCATTAATGTACTTATATAATTAATATACCTATGTCATTAACTTACTTAAATAATTATATACTCACATAATTAATGGACTGATGAAATTAATATTCGTTTCATTAAATAATAAGAAATTAGTCTGGTTGCAGAGGATTATACAAAATAACTTCATTACCCCACTTCACTATACTAAGTCCTCTCCACTCCCCCACCCTATTCCAAAATACCATCACAATCACAATCTAATACCATCACAATCACAATCTAATACCATGACAAACACAATCTAATACCATCACAATCACAATCTAATACCATCACAAACACAATCTAATACCATCACAATCACAATCTAATACCATCACAATCACAATCTAATACCATCACAATCTAATACCATCACAATCACAATCTAATACCATCACAATCACAATCTAATACCATCACAATCACAATCTAATACCATCACAATCACAATCTAATACCATCACAATCACAATCTAATACCATCACAATCACAATCTAATACCATCACAATCACAATCTAATACCATCACAATCACAATCTAATACCATCACAATCACAATCTAATACCATCACAATCACAATCTAATACCATCACAGTCACAATCTAATACCATCACAATCACAATCTAATACCATCACAATCTAATACCATCACAATCACAGTCTAATACCATCACAATCACAATCTAATACCATCACAATCACAATCTAATACCATCACAATCACAATCTAATACCATCACAATCACAATCAAATACCATCACAATCACAATCAAATACCATCACAATCACAATCAAATACCATCACAATCACAATCAAATACCATCACAATCACAATCAAATACCATCACAATCACAATCAAATACCATCACAATCACAATCTAATACCATCACAATCACAATCAAATACCATCACAACCCCCCTCCTCACACAGCTACACCCACATTTTAAAAATATACAGGGTAAATATTGAAACATGAAACAAACAAGATCAAGAAACTCCAGTAACTTGCCTGAATTCTTTTTCCGCAAGTTAAGACTGCCAAGTTGTTTTAAGTTCCAAAACAAAACAAATCACCACAACACTCTCAAGGTCAGCTGTTGTCAGACTGGTCAGTGTTTTATGTCACACGATATTGTTGTGTCAGTTTTATACCCTCAGTCTACTTTCAGTTTACTTTTCTATGCACCAATCAAGCCAAACTTTCACGGATGTATCAGCGTTAATTATAGACTCGATAAAACAGATCAAAATAATACATCTCTTTCTTTACTACTCAAATTAAATACGCGATTTATTCGCATTGGATCCAGAGGCGCCTCGTGATAACTATACTAGGTTGAAATGATGACCCCCCCACCTTACATAATCACCGATATTACTGTTTATAAAAAAGTCCCAACTGCACTACAAAAGAAGTAAAAAATAAATAAAACGAGAGGTGTTTCTTTCATGGATTTTTCTCCTGGGGGAGGAAAAGAAGGCAATTGAAACTGTCGGTGGTTAAAGTATATATTTCCTACATAAAATAAATATTTTTCTAATTCGTCAGGGGGCGGTCGAAGTGCTCCGGGGTGGGGGGGGGGGGGGGAAAGGGAGGTATCTATCCCACCCCACCAAATAGATAGAAACTCTGAATGTTATGTTGTGTTTTTATCAGTTTTAAAGTAGTAGCCATAGGTTAACAAAAGCTCAACATTGCAAAAAGTCTAAACGGTAGCCATGGCAACAAGAGCAATGGTAACCATAGCAACAATAGCGCAACATTGCCAAGAGCTGTAACTCTAGGTGAGACGACTTACAATTTTGGAGGGGGGGGGGCTGTAAGACCCTTACACCCCTTTACCTACGCCACTGGTTGAAAAATTGAAACCAATACACTGCACACAAGTCTGTATTGTAGTCTGTATTGATAAGACTAGCATGACGTTTACCATATCGCTGACAACTGATTAGGCTAATTAGGATAATCAGCTGGCGGGTAGAAACCAACGCTATTGAAGTATTAAAGTATTAAAGTATTATAACTTACATACTTTTGAAAAGCTCATTACGTTTGTCACGTAGTAAAACAATAATAAAAATAAAGTGGAACTTGCGAGGATATTCTATAGCAGGGGAGCCATTGAAACAACAACAACTGGAAATCGATAATGATTTATAAGATTAGGATTAAAATGTTCTATTTAAAGGATGGATACATGTAACCATCTAGTCTACTTCGGGTTGGCTTGACTTCTATGGTTCAAATTGGTTTTATTGTTGATACATAAATGTTGTTAGTTTGTCGGCAAGTAAGTCTTTGCTCGTGTTTGGCATCTGACATCTATCTGCCGTCATCAAACATCATCTATTAGCGAGTAATAACAAGCTTTCAGCCGTTATCTACGCGTTTAAAATATCCCCACTTACTGTAATTTTAGCTGGATTAAATTGCCCCCCCTCCCCCCCCAAAAAAAAGCTAACTACACCCCGAAAACCTGCATCCGCTCCCGTCAAAATATTTGTTCACATACGCTGTAGTAAAGTATTGTATAAAGAAGGGGCCGGACAAAGGAAAAGTTCACTCCAAATAAAGCCTTCTAAACAGCTAGGAGAGAATTAGGGGAAATACGACGTGGTCCAAGTGAAATTCGGAGCTCAAGACGCCACTGTGGTTATCTTGTCGCCTGACAGTGCTAATTCTCTCTGTCTTCCATGCCCCTAATGGAGCTAACAAGTGTTGCTGATTCTGATCTGACTGAAGTGGGACCAGCGACAACCGTTAGAATGTCACAGTAACCTGCGCCATCTTATAGTGTGCTACACTTTTTGTTCATACATTACCTGCCGTGTTTACTCCTCGTGCGGTGAACTGTGTCGTCATGTTGTGCGGTTTAACTTTTTGCTCATTCATTACCTGCCGTGTTCACTCCTCGAGTTCACTTAACTGTGTCGTCATGTTGTCCGGTTTGTACTTGCTTTTTGTACGGACATTAAAGGCGTGACATCTTCAAAGGCTCAATACCTCAGTCCGGTACTTTAAACCCACCAGACTAGTGTAGTTTGGTTATGTGTATAGTTTAGTTCTGTGTATAGTTTAGTTGTGTGTATAGTTTAGTTCTGTAGCCACTGTATCCTAGATTTGCGTTTACTTGTGACGTTTATTTAGGATAGAATGTATTTATCTGTGTGTAGAGTGTAGATAGTGACAGTGTAGATAGATATTAAACTCTTTAGTATTATTATCGTAACGAGCTTTTGTTTAATTTAGTCTTGTGTTTTGTAACCGATTTGTGGGTTTGTCTTACATATTGGGCGACTCCCTTGATAGCCACCCGTATCTGCGTGTCAGTGTGTTCCCAACAGTTGTTTCATACAGAAGTATGATGACTGTGGAGATGGTTTCATGAACTCTTAATAAACTCAATGTTAAAATTCATTGTAAACAAAATTAGCGTATACATTTGACAGATTCGAAGTAAATATTTAATAAAAGAATCACTCGCAAAAAAAAAAAAAAAAAACTGCGACTTTAATTTCTGTATATGTGTCAAAACGTTTGAAACAAATTTTGGAGGGGGTGAATTAAGCTGCCTCCAAAGTAATCACAAAATAAAATCAAGATAAGGTCTTAAAGTTTATTTACTCTTTGTTTAATAATCATTTTTTTATTACAATGATCGATCCTAATTATAAAAGCAATGTTCGCATTTCTCTCTATCTCTGTCCGTCACATATTTTCCGAGCCTATAAGAAAAGTATCTTCAGCATATGAATATCTTAAAGATACGGATTTTTTTGAAAATAGTATGTTGTGTATATTAAATGTATACGCTAAATTTTATTTAACGACGGAAACTAGAAATAAAGGAATATTCGAATGTAGAAACACAACTTTAATTATGCGATCGGAGAAGTGTTTATGGTTGTGAAAACAACCCTCTAGAGAACATTTAGTAGCACAAAAACTATCACTGGCAAAAAGAATGACGTCACATAAAACAAATAGAAAAATATCATTATGAAACAATGTGAATAAAACGTTTATGGAAAGTACACAACACTAATGGCGTCATTAATTATACGATAAAAAATAGAGTTAAAAATCGAATGTCGAAAATGATACACAATACTAATGACGTCATCTTCAATAAGATTCAGTTCCAGCATTTTCTAATTTTAGAATTTAAAGAAATGAACTAGTCCATTCAAATTGATTTAGATCTATAGATCTAGTTATCAAGACTAACGCTATGAGATACAATTTTCTCGGCATAAACATATTTAAAAATGTCACTTTATCAGTGTGGGCAAGTAATATGGTTTTGTGTTGACTAATAACGTATATAATTTGGTTTTAATTAATCTAATAGGTATTGGTAGCCTATTATTAAATATGTCGGATTTTTAGCTGTTTAGTTATTTCTTTTCTTTGTCAATAATATCGTTCAGCGTGTAGTAAAGCACATTGCGTTTTGACCAATAACTATTTTATAAAATAAATTTCTCAAACAAGTATAACATTTAAAAAAATACAGGCCTATAAGTCACGTGTAACGGGTACCAATGTCTAGTTCAAAGATATTCTAAGATATAAGTATACCACATTGAGGTTTAATGAAAATCGTAATTTAAATACAAATATAGAGTATTCCACAAAATAACAAGAAAACTTGATATAAATAGTCACGTATTGTTAAACATAAAATTCTGAACGTCGTTGTTGTCAGTGTAGATGTGTTGATGTTTTGATGTGTTGATGTTTTGATGTGTTGATGTGTTGATGTGTTTATATATTGATGTGTTGATGTGTTGATGTGGAAGGTTTTCAGAGCTTGAACTTAAAACTTCAGTGTGTCTTTCAACGTATACATCATGTATTATGAGTAATTATATATAAATAAAGTATTTTTTTAGTAATTTGAGCGGATTTTTAACCTCGGTTAAAAAAAGGTTATTTAAAAATATTCGTGAGCTAACCGATCGCTAGAACCTTGCTATTTCACCTTAGTTTTGTTGTAATAAGTAACCTAACCTTTCATTATTTTAAATAATTTATTATCTGAGAAAACAGGGAAGACCAAGGGAGACGTGGAGACACACAGCGGGGAAGCAACTGACAAAGGCAGGGGTATCTTGGGGAACTGTCAAACATTCTAGTAGAAATATATGAAAACTTACAAGATTTGACCAAGCATTTACAAATAAACAATTAATGTGACTTATTAAAAGGATAGCAAAAACGTAATAATTTATGTTTTCTATAGGTTACAAACTTTAACATATAAAGTTAAATCAATGTCAAATAATAGTATGCGACAATATAGTAGCCATGCCATTAAATGTGTTAACTTATTGCTTGCATTTGAATAATCTCTGAATGTGCTGAGTTACACAGGCCATTTTGTTCTCAATGCACGTAAACATGTCAAATAATTGTATATTTTTCACACTTAACAAATTAATGTTACTAACACATTTAATCTAAAATATATTGCGTCTTTTGGCCGTGGCACTTAATTTCCTCTCTCCATATAGCTGGCTAACCTGGCCTCTACATAAAGCTGTTCTTATTAGGGTAGCGGAACTCATCGGGATACCTTGACCTTCAGGGGATGGTATTTACTCAACTCTTTAAGTTGCTTCGTGAGCACACAGCGAGAGCACTTCTGCGTCTGAAACTACAACAATTGCTCTATTACAGTACACACAAAGTCCTAAGGATGAATTCACATGACATGACTCAAATATTGGCCAACCATACACGTTGCATAAGCCCTACAAATACTCTAACCTTGACCCAACCTTGACCCAACAATGTCCAGGTCTAGGACAGTGTCCTCTGTCAATTACCCCCCCCCCCCCCAAGCATTACACCCTAGTGAACTAATTTTGGTTATTACACACTTGTGGATCCCCCTTTTAGTAATTACACCCTTTCGTAAATATATATTACAGGCTAAGTGAAAAACCCAACATTCTCTACAATGCCTAGCCCTAGAGGATGCCTGAAATGTACCGACATATTATAAATCAAATCAGATTTGTGATTAGCTAGTGGAATACCAAGCAGAAGATGGGGGCAAATGTAGGAAATGTCCTTATCCTAACCCTGACATTAGCGGTTAGGATTAGGTTTAGTGTTAGGTCAGTTGGTAATATTTACTCGTCTTTGTCACCTTTTAAATTTGAAGTGAATGCATGCTAAGTAAATAATTGTATTGTGTATCGGTTATGTTTAGGATATTTATGTGTGGTGGCTGTATTTTACGGCAATATTTGGATAGGGAACGAATGTCCGAATCAAGTGAGCTTATAGTTGGGGGGGTGGGGGGTGGGGGGGAGGTACCGTGTCGACGTCCGTCCTTACTCTTACGCTGAAACAGTAATATTCTTACAAATCATAAAACCGAATTTCATTTTCGCTACACGCATGATGTTAAACTTGTTAAACTAGTACATTTGAAGAACGTATTAAGAGAAGCTTTTTATTTGGTGTAGTCGACTAATCGAGGGTGGGGATGTTAATCAGTTTTGTCCACGTCATAAATGGATGATAACCAAGAGCAATATTTACACATTTTAAATACCTTCTGTGTCTCTTTAATGACGTCTTTATTGACGTCTTCAATGACGTCTTTAATGACGTAAACATACGAAAATCTCCAAATATTTTTTTGACATTTTGGGCATTTAAATAATCCAAATATCAGTTCGGAATAGTCTGTATCTGAAATATATTATTCATTCACAAACTTCAAGATTTACAAGTGAATGTTTTTAAAAAATCCAAATAATTAATGTAATATAATTAATAAATATAATTAAAGACATTTTCCGTTAACTGATTAAAGAAGTCGATATTTGTCCCAAAAAATTGTCCACAACAAATATTGAGACTTGAAACAAACTAGATCAAACTCGCGTAACTTACCTGGATCCATGTGTTGCACGTTAAATCTGCCAAGTTATCTCACGCTGAGCCAAAACAAACCTGATTATAACTTCACCACAACACTCTCAAGTTGGTCTGCTGTTCTCAGACTGGCCAGTGTTTTATATCACACGATATTGTTGTGTCAGTTTTATACCCTCAGTCTACTTTCAGTTTACCTTTTTAAACACAATTTAAATCGAACTTTCACGGAAGTATAAGCGTTAATTATAGAAGATCGATAAAAAATGGCTTACTATTGCTATCAAAGGAATAAACACCAATGTGTTGCCATATCGTTTTGGGTCCATTGCTGTCACTCTGGTCGATGTCACACCCGACCTGCCAACGACCATGGACCAGATACGTCATGGGGGGGGGGGGGGGGGCTGACACCACTATGCCCCCCCCCCCCCAATATTATTCTTTGCAAATAAAAAAAAATTGACATCCATGAAAAACAAACACATAAACCACAGTATTAGAAATTAAAAATCTGATCCCGATCGTTAACTATAATATCGCTGTCATAGATTTATTATAGTAGTAATATGTCTATGGCGAACAGACTTTAAAAAAAAATTTAATATACAAATTTGAAAAGTTCGCAGCAAATATACCTTTAAAAAATATAATAGGAATGTGTTCACAGATCACTAGCTATGTTAGTAATTGACACCAATGTAATCGAATGATATATAGGCCCTACTCATATTTTTAATTTTACTTCTTTTAATAAATAGTAATTTTGTTGATATAATGTGGAACCACATGACCCCGTCTGGCCTAATGCCTAAAAGCTGGTGTCTCACCCCTCTAATCTGCGAGTGTGTTTTGTATTCATAAAATGACGTCAAAGATTTACCCTTTTAAATTTACCTTTACTTGTTCCTGGTATTCTAAATTTAACCTTCGTTTGTATAAGCCAATATCTGAAGTCGCGATTGCATTTAGCACGAAACTAATCAACCGTATTAAAGTCGGTCACAGTACCAATGGACACTATCTGATCTAGGGGTTGGAGTACCTGACCCCACTGGTCCAGGGGGTTGGAGTACCTGACCCCACTGGTATATATATATATATATATATATATATATATATATATATATATATATATATATATATATATATATGTTACCGAGTGTATTGACAACGCCAACTGTTACCGAGTCTATTTACTTGTAGTGCCAAATGTTACCGAATGTATTTACTCGTGCTATCTTTGACCAGCACACAACATCGACCACAATACAGATACTCGGAAGTACAGGTTTACATTGATCTCTTTATTACATGAATCAATAGAAATGCTCCACATAACAATGCATCAATGTTCCACAAGAATACAATGAACAAACTGACCCCCACTGTCCTCACTAGTCCTCACATATCAGAATGCACGTGTCCATCGTTCCTATCCTCACAAACCACAACACGTCCTCACAGTTCAGTCTTCAACTCGGTTCTGCCGTTCTCTACCAGTCGTGCCGTCCTATTATATTCCACGTATTCGTAATACTTCCTATTCGTTGCATCAGACTATGAACTACGCAGCGGCTTTGTGTTCGTTAACAATCCACACCCTGTATCAGTTGCATCAGCCCAGTTTGGCCTTGATCGTGTCTTTAGTTGACAGACTGTATTGCGTTCTTATCGTCTCTAGTAACTACACTAGTTACATCCACCCCCGCCTTTTTTTGTGTGTTTTCAACCACAAACAACGCTTGGCAGGTGCACTCCTTCAATGTCAAACGCAACACCGTAAAAAAAATCGTAAAAATTTTTTTAACAACATTTATCACTATGTAATCAGCTTAAAATTTATTTATTCTTATAATAAGTTACATTTATGTGCAATATATGAAGAAAAAAATGCTTCATTTCAAATGGATAAAAAATCAATAACAAAATTTGACCACAAAAACACACACAAGTAGAAAAATTTGGTGTTTTAAAAATTAATGTGAAAACTGGTGAGCAGGGGCGTAGCGGGGGGGGGGGGGGGGCGGGGGGGCGGACCGCACCGGGTGACACCATTTAGGGGGATGACACCAAGCCAAAAAAATAGCAAAATATATATAGAAAAACTTGAGGGGGGGTGCAAATCGAAAGTTTAAAGGGGGTGCAAATCGAAAACTTGAGGGGGGGTGCAAATCTAAAATTTGTCCCCTGGAAGGGTCGCTACGCCTCTGGGGGGTGACACCATTAAGTGCCGCACTGGGCACACCCGACCTCGCTACGCCACTGCTGGTGAGATTTCAAATTTAACTTACATTTTAATACGAATCAATATTAAGTAATTGTATGCTGTTTTAGAGTTGGGATAATTAAAAAAAAACTTATTGGTTACTTATAAATAAGCTGTGTACACGCTGAAAGTAATAATTTTTCTCATTGTATGTAAACATGTTGTTTTGGTTTATCTTTATTTCCAGTGTTTCTTCCAGACTTTTTTCTCCGGAGGGGGGGGGGGGGAGGGGGGCACTTGAAATTTTCGGGGGGGGGGAGGGGGCAGTAGACTTTCTTCTTGCGAACACTGTTAAAAGTATATATTTTCTATATAAATTATATAAATTTCATTTCGTTCGGGTGGGGGGGGGCGGTAGAATTTTTTCGTGGGGGGGGGGGGGCTCTCCCGAAGAGATGCCTGGAAGAAACTCTATTTATTTCATACTCAATAAAACAAGCTTATTTATCTCGATAAAAATTTTTAATTTATTTCCCGCGGCGTTTCCTCCTTAATTTTCTTCCCCCGTCAAACCTATCATCGTCCAGATAGGCGTCTTCGTCAGGAAAGTTTATCTTATGGGGATGGCGCTTCTTATGAGAATCACGCTTCTCTTCCCGATAATTCTTTACATACAAAGAGCTATCCTCAACGGGATAGCTGTATCCCTTAGGACAACGGCAGGGCTTGCAAAGGCAATCCAAACATATAAGTTATTCCACCTTGTGAGGTTTGACCATGGTTCCGCAGCCTCGGCACTTCTGCGCCTGAAACTAGAAACGATTTCCTATTGCAGGATTAAGTACGTAGGTCAACAGGGTGACGGGATCATGGTCAGCATAGCGGTGAATTCCTGGCTGACCCCACTCCCACACAAATATGACCCAACACTCAATTACGCTACTTTCACTTGGACTCAACATTGGTCTCACATTGACATCTCACAAACCATTTCATACACCATCCTACAATTTTTTTAAAACACTTCATAAATCATCCTATAAGCCATTTCATGCACCATCCTATAAAATGGTTTTAAACCACTTCATAAATCATCATATAAACAATTTCGTACACCATCCTATAAAAAACAACTTTTTAAACCACTTCTTAAATCATCATATAAAACATTTCATACACTATCCTATAAAAAAAACAACTTTGTAATACACTTCATAAATCATCTTATAAACCATTTCATTCACCATCCTATAAAATAAAAACCTTTTTAAACCACTTCATAAATCATCATATAAACCATTTCATACACCATCCTATAATCAATTTACTTCAATATAATGACCGTAAAAATAATTATTGTAATATAATTTAACGTTGTGATTTACATCTTGTTATCAATATGCCTATGTTTTTGACCAAAACTAGGTCTCATTTCTGTTGAGACGTAATTTTTAATAGCAGTCTTCTCATTCTTTCTTAATTTTAGTTTTGGAAGGGGTCCCCTTCAACACAATTAAGTATACGTCTCAACTGGTTATGCGCGATTGAGGCCATTGACTCCGACTTCAGCCTGCTTTTCTTTTTGGATTCCATAGCTTTTGTCCAACCAAGAACAAACTACAAGACAGCAGTTGTTTGATTTTGGAGTTGTCTCCCCTAGAAGAGTGGCTGTCCCCAGCTAACGAGCCTCATCTGTCCTAGGGTTCGAACTCGAGACTTTTAGGTTTAGCTTTACCGAATCGACCATGCCGAACCCCGGAGTTCAATGAATTATTTTGGACGTCATAGCAGGATGATAACTCTGGGCAACATTAAAAAAATAATTCAATTACCTCCCCTGTCGCTTTACTAAAATAGACACTTGCACTACAATTTGGGCATGTAAAGAATCCAAACATTCGTCTAGACATGCCTGCACCTGGAAGATATGTCATACCATTATAAGCATCAACAATATAATTACAGATACAATCTTTTAAAAATATTTTTAACACTTGACATTCGATTTTAACATGAAGCTTTGGCACTTTTTCCAAGGCCCGAAGGTCTTGTCCAAATATTGTACATTTCTCAGGCGCGTATACTGCTCACTATTTTCAACAAAAAACAAATCCGTATCGTTGATTTACAATACATTACATGTTTGGGTCATCGTAATTTTTTATTGAAAGAATAATGCACGTTTGAGATCGAATAATCATTATTAAATTATTATAAAATTACTATTAAAAACATTTCGCCCAATTAAAAAAAATAATTAAAGAAGTTAAAAGAGCTTATTAAAACTCGGCAAATATTGCGATATGAAATGTAGAAGAAAAAACTCTAGTAGCTTACCTGAATCCATTATGTAACAGGTTAATTAATCAATTAAGTCCCCCAGATTGTCGTAATTACCACGAGAAAACAAAACTGATGGAAATTTTAAACGCCACCACAACACTCTGGAGTAGGTCAGCTGTTCGCAGACTGGTCAGTGTTTCAATACATGACAATCTAGTACATTCTGCAACATCTAAACAGTCTACTTTCAGTTTTATTCAACTATGAAATTAATCATCTACAAAAGTTCAGCGTTAATTTTAGCAGACTGATAAAACAGTTTAAATTGTATCGCGGGGTCGTTCAATATATCGCTTTCAAATAATTATTACGTTAGTGGCATACCAATTGCGGATATAAATAGTTTGATTTAAATGACAGATGTGAAAATGTCATATCAAGTACAATAATATTATATAAGACCATCTATCTATCTATATTTATAATTCTCTTCATGGGAACCATGCGAGACACCACGTAAACGCACGCCGTTACTCCCTCGCTCTCTAGGCATATAACTACCACCCTCGACCCCTCCCGGTCTGGTGAACTGTGGTTCACGCAGAATGTTGGGACGGCTATTCGGGGCAAATAATTTAGTTTTTTTTAACGATTTGAAACTAAGGGGAGGTAACAAGTTCTGCTTGATCTTTTCGTTGTCGTCTGTAAACTGTTGCCACGGGTAGTGTCGAATTCACAAATTATGAATTACTGAACAGTAGAAAATAAAACAACTAAATAGTGGTTTATGCTAAGTCTCGGGTCGGCTTGTAAGTACTATTCAGATAAAATAAGTTTAGAACTAATACTAATTCAGTCATTACGATTAGCGCAGCAGTTCAGAAGCGCCTAAGTTAGATTCTATTGTAATTTTTGTTTCTTGACTCTAAGTTACATTCGGTGTAATACTTTTAAGTTCCAATCCATTGTTTAGTAATCCGAATGTCTATTGTATTTTAGGCTGTGACCACTACCGCTCGTCTCGGGAATCTCAGTGTGGTCAGCTGTGCTGTGAGAAGTGGTCCCAGCCCTTCCCCAGCAAGGAGCCAGCAGCCGACGGGACGTTCTGCGGACCTGGCAAGGTCAGGGTCACATCTCTTCACCCATTGGAAACCTAAAGTCGGTCGTGTTAAGTCAGTTATAAGTTTTGTGAGAACATTAAAACATACACTGTCTAACAACAGATTAAAACATACACTGTCTAACAACAGATTAAAACATACACTGTCTAACAACAGATTAAAACCGTTGACCCAGTGTACGATCCAGTGTATGACATCACATCAGTGTCGTGTTGTAATGACCATTTGCTAGGAACAGACCGATGGTGCTTTAGGCACTAGGAGCCACACACTTGGAGCCACACACTGTGAGCCGCACACTGGGAGCCACACACTTGGAGCCACACACTGGGAGTCACACACTGGGAGCCACACACTTGGAGCCACACACTGGGAGTCACACACTGGGAGCCACACACTGGGAGTCACACACTGGGAGCCACACACTGGGAGCCACACACTGGGAGTCACACACTGGGAGCCACTGGGAGCCACTGGGAGCCACACACTGGGAGCCACACACTGGGAGCCACTGGGAGCCACTGGGAGCCACTGGGAGTCACACACTGGGAGTCACACACTGGGAGTCACACACTGGGAGCCACACACTGGGAGTCACACACTGGGAGCCACACACTGGGAGCCACACACTGGGAGTCACACACTGGGAGCCACACACTGGGAGTCACACACTGGGAGCCACACACTGGGAGTCACACACTGGGAGCCACACACTGGGAGTCACACACTGGGAGCCACTGGGAGCCACTGGGAGCCACACACTGGGAGTCACACACTGGGAGCCACACACTGGGAGCCACTGGGAGCCACACACTGGGAGCCACACACTGGGAGTCACACACTGGGAGCCACACACTGGGAGTCACACACTGGGAGCCACTGGGAGCCACTGGGAGCCACACACTGGGAGTCACACACTGGGAGCCACACACTGGGAGCCACTGGGAGCCACACACTGGGAGCCACACACTGGGAGTCACACACTGGGAGCCACTGGGAGCCACACACTGGGAGCCACACACTGGGAGTCACACACTGGGAGTCACACACTGGGAGTCACACACTGGGAGTCACACACTGGGAGCCACACACTGGGAGTCACACACTGGGAGTCACACACTGGGAGCCACTGGGAGCCACACACTGGGAGTCACACACTGGGAGTCACACACTGGGAGCCACACACTGGGAGCCACTGGGAGCCACACACTGGGAGTCACACACTGGGAGTCACACACTGGGAGCCACACACTGGGAGCCACACACTTGGAGCCACACACTGGGAGTCACACACTGGGAGTCACACACTGGGAGTCACACACTGGGAGTCACACACTGGGAGCCACACACTGGGAGTCACACACTGGGAGCCACTGGGAGCCACTGGGAGCCACTGGGAGCCACACACTTGGAGCCACACACTGGGAGTCACACACTGGGAGTCACACACTTGGAGCCACACACTGGGAGCCACACACTGGGAGCCACACACTGGGAGCCACACACTGGGAGTCACACACTGGGAGCCACACACTGGGAGTCACACACTGGGAGCCACACACTGGGAGTCACACACTGGGAGCCACTGGGAGCCACTGGGAGCCACACACTGGGAGTCACACACTGGGAGCCACACACTGGGAGCCACTGGGAGCCACACACTGGGAGCCACACACTGGGAGTCACACACTGGGAGTCACACACTTGGAGCCACACACTGGGAGCCACACACTGGGAGCCACACACTGGGAGCCACACACTGGGAGTCACACACTGGGAGTCACACACTGGGAGTCACACACTGGGAGTCACACACTGGGAGTCACACACTGGGAGTCACTGGGAGCCACTGGGAGCCACTGGGAGTCACACACTGGGAGCCACTGGGAGTCACACACTTGGAGCCACACACTGGGAGTCACACACTGGGAGTCACACACTTGGAGCCACACACTGGGAGCCACACACTGGGAGCCACACACTGGGAGCCACACACTGGGAGTCACACACTGGGAGCCACTGGGAGCCACACACTGGGAGCCACACACTGGGAGTCACACACTTGGAGCCACACACTGGGAGTCACACACTGGGAGCCACACACTGGGAGTCACACACTGGGAGCCACTGGGAGCCACTGGGAGCCACACACTGGGAGCCACTGGGAGCCACACACTGGGAGCCACACACTGGGAGCCACACACTGGGAGCCACACACTGGGAGTCACACACTGGGAGCCACACACTGGGAGCCACACACTGGGAGTCACACACTGGGAGCCACACACTGGGAGCCACTGGGAGCCACACACTGGGAGCCACACACTGGGAGTCACACACTGGGAGCCACTGGGAGCCACACACTGGGAGCCACACACTGGGAGTCACACACTGGGAGTCACACACTGGGAGTCACACACTGGGAGCCACTGGGAGCCACACACTGGGAGCCACACACTGGGAGTCACACACTGGGAGTCACACACTGGGAGCCACTGGGAGCCACACACTGGGAGTCACACACTGGGAGCCACTGGGAGTCACACACTGGGAGTCACACACTGGGAGTCACTGGGAGCCACACACTGGGAGCCACACACTGGGAGTCACACACTGGGAGCCACACACTGGGAGCCACTGGGAGCCACACACTGGGAGTCACTGGGAGCCACACACTGGGAGTCACACACTGGGAGCCACACACTGGGAGTCACACACTGGGAGTCACACACTGGGAGCCACACACTGGGAGCCACTGGGAGCCACACACTGGGAGTCACACACTTGGAGCCACTGGGAGCCACACACTGGGAGCCACACACTGGGAGCCACACAGCGGGAGCCACACAGTGGGAGCCACACACTGGGAGTCACACACTGGGAGTCACACACTGGGAGTCACACACTGGGAGCCACTGGGAGCCACACACTGGGAGCCACACACTGGGAGTCACACACTGGGAGCCACACACTGGGAGCCACACACTGGGAGCCACTGGGAGCCACACACTGGGAGTCACACACTGGGAGCCACACACTGGGAGCCACACACTGGGAGCCACTGGGAGCCACACACTGGGAGTCACACACTGGGAGCCACACACTGGGAGCCACACACTGGGAGCCACTGGGAGCCACACACTGGGAGTCACACACTTGGAGCCACTGGGAGCCACACACTGGGAGTCACACACTGGGAGTCACACACTGGGAGCCACACACTGGGAGCCACTGGGAGCCACACACTGGGAGTCACACACTGGGAGCCACACACTGGGAGCCACACACTGGGAGCCACTGGGAGCCACACACTGGGAGTCACACACTGGGAGCCACACACTGGGAGCCACACACTGGGAGCCACTGGGAGCCACACACTGGGAGTCACACACTTGGAGCCACTGGGAGCCACACACTGGGAGCCACACACTGGGAGCCACACAGCGGGAGCCACACAGTGGGAGCCACACACTGGGAGTCACACACTGGGAGTCACACACTGGGAGTCACACACTGGGAGCCACTGGGAGCCACACACTGGGAGCCACACACTGGGAGTCACACACTGGGAGCCACTGGGAGTCACACACTGGGAGTCACACACTGGGAGTCACACACTGGGAGCCACACACTGGGAGTCACACACTGGGAGCCACACAGCGGGAGTCACACACTGGGAGCCACACACTGGGAGTCACACACTGGGAGTCACACACTGGGAGCCACACACTGGGAGTCACACACTGGGAGCCACACACTGGGAGCCACTGGGAGCCACACACTGGGAGCCACTGGGAGCCACACACTGGGAGCCACTGGGAGCCACACACTGGGAGCCACTGGGAGCCACACACTGGGATCCACACACTGGGAGTACACACTGGGAGACACACACTGGGAGCCACACACTGGGAGTCACACACAGGGAGCCACACAGTGGGAGCCACACACTGCCACACAATGAGAGCCACATATGGGAGCCACACACCATAAACGGATATGCTGCTGATATTATGTCAGGGCTTTGAAGTTGAAGATGGTATCCTTTAGAGAAAATGGATTGGGTAAACACTCAGGAAGTGTGTATCCAGTACAACAAGACAGGCCCTCACCCCAACAGAGCAAAAGGAAAAGAGGCTAACCAAGGAAGACCTGGAGGCATGACCTGGAAGAAGACACTAAGAAGATGGGATACACCTGGGGACAGTTGGAGACTAGCCCAGGACAGAGATGCCTGGAAAGTTCTGGAAATGTCCCAGAAGGGGCGACAGGTTTACCTAACCCAACCGATGTTTTTGTTTTGCTTGAAGACGACTGACGATAAACATTTACCAGCATTAGACCGGCATTAGACCGGCGTAAAACCGGTACTTTCTTTAATAACTAGCTACTGAAATTAAAAACTAAAACTCGAATAATTTCGGTTTTCGAAGGTACAGGGCTAAATTGGTCATGAAGAAATAGCTTAAAAAAGAATCACAAAAAAAATATAATAAACTCGTTGAAAATCAAACTATAACAAATTATTTAATTTTTAAAAATGCAAAAAAAAAAAAAAATGCTTCAAGAATTACAAGAATTACAAGAATTTCAAACAAATGCAGAATTTGTGGGTGCTGACTAGCAACACAAAAAACGTGTTCAACACAGTTACAAACGATGGTGTTCAGACACACGGCAAACACACGACAGACACACGGCAGGCCGGCTTTAGAGACACAGTTACAAACGATGGTGTTCAGACACACGGCAGGCCGGCTTTAGAGACACAGAAACGATGGTGTTCAGACACACGGCAGGCCGGCTTTAGAGACACAGAAACGATGGTGTTCAGACACACGGCAGGCACACGGCAGACACACGACAGACACACGGCAGGCCGGCTTTAGAGACACAGAAACGATGGTGTTCAGACACACGGCAGACACACGACAGACACACGGCAGGCCGGCTTTAGAGACACAGAAACGATGGTGTTCAGACACACGGCAGACACACGACAGACACACGGCAGGCCGGCTTTAGAGACACAGAAACGATGGTGTTCAGACACACGGCAGGCACACGGCAGACACACGGCAGGCCGGCTTTAGAGACACAGAAACGATGGTGTTCAGACACACGGCAGACACACGGCAGACACACGGCAGACACACGGCAGGCCGGCTTTAGAGACACAGAAACGATGGTGTTCAGACACACGGCAGACACACGGCAGACACACGGCAGACACACGGCAGGCCGGCTTTAGAGACACAGAAACGATGGTGTTCAGACACACGGCAGGCCGGCCTTACACTTGAGACACAGGTCCGAGCGATGGTGTTTAGTTTTGTCCACGTGTCTCTCCTTGAACAGACATACACACTCCACTGAGTGACAGACGGAGCAGATGAGCTTCTCCACTTTGTACGGCCGACACTCCACTCGACACTCTTTACACTCCTGCCCGTACACCGCCTGTAAGTAAAGAAATGACACACTAAACACCCTGCCAGTACACCACCTGTAAGTAAAGAAATGACACACTAAACACTCCTGTCCGTACACCGCCTGTAAGTAAAGAAATGACACACTAAACACTCCTGTCCGTACACCGCCTGTAAGTAAAGAAATGACACACTAAACACTCCTGTCAGTACACCACCTGTAAGTAAAGAAACGACACACTTAACACCCTGCCCGTATACTGCCTGTAAGTAAAGAAACGACACATTTAACACCCTGCCCGTATACTGCCTGTAAGTAAAGAAATGACACACTAAACACCCTGCCAGTACACTGCCTGTAAGTAAAGAAATGACACACTAAACACCCTGCCAGTACACTGCCTGTAAGTATAGAAATGACACACTAAACACCACCTGTAAGTAAAGAATCAAGTTTGAGGTCTACATCCAAGTCAGCCAACAAGTCAGATATCTAAAGATGGTTTAGAAACCGGACGGTACTTGTCAATCAAACAACACAATCACTGATTAACGACTCGGGTGAGGAGAGATTTAACAGGAATTTTTGTAAGATTGGATTGTTCTAATTCTAAGGAAGTTGAATAGATTAATTTCCGGGTATGATTGGATAACCCCTCATTCAACTCATGTAAATAAAAAAACATTTTCTCACTTGTAGAACCATGCTGAATTTTTAAAAAAAACTATGCATTGATCTGAAACGCTACAGTAATAATCCGATACGCATTATTAATAGAAAGATAATATCTAGTTTCTAATTATAATTTCTTTAATAATTTTTGTATTGTCTTGTTATAACTTCAATATTGTCTTCTTATACATTTGATAATTTTGTTATAATGTATTATAAAATAAAGAATAACAACATCACAAGAAAATTCGTGCGATGATGGGTTTGGTGTCCATAAGCGGCACACAAAAAATAGACTTCAAAAGAAAATTGTTTGATTGCTCGGCAGTAGATTTAAATTATTCTCATGGTTAGCTCCCTTGCGTTGATATTTGATACTGAAAACTTATAGGCCTAGTAAACTTGACTTACCGTAAGTGTTCTTGGCTTACAGTATACGTGTGTGCTCTCCCACGTTTTCCTGCACTTGGGGCACCGAAAAAAACCGTAGAATCTTTCTAAAGTTTGACGTCGCCTACCAGTTTGTGTAGCCGCGCGGGGTGAATGTGAGTTGTTTAGCGCTTTTATACTGCTGGCACTGTTGTTAGTTTTTATACTGCTGGGCGTAGAGTAGGTTTTTATACTGCTGGATGTAGAGTTGGTTTTTATACTGCTAGCTGAACTGTATCCTGACGGTCTAAGAATAACGTTGGCGTTTCTAGTAGGTGCTTTGGGTTCGGTTGTTCCATAAAGTAAGTTCCCCATTCTGAAAAACGTCAAAAGTTAAAAGAAATTTGTTCTTAGAAAAGGTCATGTTCTATTCTCTTTCTAATGGGAAAACCCTCGTATAGGTTTATCTAGCACTTGTCACACGACCTTCAAATGACCCAGTTTATGCTGTGTGGTCATGTGATCGAGGTCACATAGACCCCACTTTATCATCATACACGGGCCAGATTACACAGACCAATACAATACAGTATAGATCTGCATGATTAACGAAACAAGGCCAGCAAACAAGTTACAGATGTTATATATATATATATATATATATATATATATATATATATATATATATATATATATATATTTATATATATATATATATACGCAGTGGCGTAGCGAGGTCGGGTGTCACCCGGTGCGGCACTTAATGGTGTCACCCCACAGAGGCGTAGCGACCCTTCTCGGGGACACACTTTCAACTTTCGATTTGCACCCCCCCCCTTCAAACTATCGATTTGCACCCCCCCCCCCTCCCACCCCCTCAAACTTTCGATTTGCACCTTTTAAAACACTATTTAACATTCGAATTAATCACTTAATGAAGTGGAATTATCATTTTTCTCTGTATATTTTGCTATTTTTTGCCTTGGTGTCACCCCCTAAATGGTGTCACCCGGTGCGGTCCGAACCCCCCGCCCACACCCCCCACTCCTCGCTCCGCCTCTGTGCATACGCAGGACCAAGTAATCAAGCCTGTTCCTTCCTCCGACATGAACATACTGAAATTCACAAACTGACTGCTAGGTGTTGGTGGGTCCTTAATAAACAGGATCAATCCAGCATCACGTGATTTGTGTTGATTGTATTGGTTGACTGACATGCAGGGACAACAACAACAACAACAACAACAACAGCAACAATATCAACAACAGCAACAACAGCAACAACAACATCAACAACAGCAACAACAACAACATCAACAACAACAACAATAACAACAACAACAATAACAACAACAACAACAACAATAACAACAACAAACGGGTCAATGCTCAGCCGCCAGTGTCAGTAGTACAGACACATCATCATGGTGTGTAACGGCTGACACACCTACTTGTTACATCATAAATAGGCCTAGGCCCTACCGTGTTAGCCGATAACTAAATACACTGTACTCACCTGGTCAGATTGAGTTGAAGTTTTAGGTCAGCCCGTCACATCCAATAACAGAACCGACGGTCGCAGATACGAAAACATTCACACCAACACTGTTTTTTTTAGACTTCCAGGAAATGATGTCTGTGCTAATAATAACTATTCGTTTTGATATGCTATGCACATATGTTTTAAACTCTGAGACCACTTTTTGTATAGTGAAACTAAGAACTTTACAGACATTTTTTTTTTACTGCGGGATGGATGTTAACATTTTTATCCCCTAATGGCAGTTATTATTGTGAATAGTGCGCTCAAGTAATAGTAATGTATTCGTAGAATAGAATATGTATATTAAAAGTATCAACATTTGCTACATGTACATATAAATAATGTATTTACTAGAGCATAAAGCATTTTACAAATATTCTAAAAAATCTCACCCTCCCATCCCCACCCCAAACTACATGGTATTATTCCTAACCGCCTTTTCTTTCTATAAAATATCTTGAGTTTTATTGCTTACGAAAAGGGACATAACCAAATTATTTCCAAGATGATGACAAAAACATCGATCTTCGCTATTTAGATATAGTACTGAGAATTTTAGTAAATCGGATCATTTAGGTACACTGTTCAACTTGTATTATAATTTATTAAACTGAAGTTAACAAATACAAAATTAATGCTAAAATTAATTTTAAAATAACTTTTTATACAGTATAGTTGTAACAGTGTTACAAGAACATACAATATTGTAACTGTATAGCAAGAAAGTTCCTATGATAAAAGTATAGCTTGAACATACCATATACATACCATATACATATATATATATATATATGTGTGTATATATATGTATATATATATATATATAAATATATATATATATATATATATATATATATATATATATATATATATATATATATATATATATATATATATATATATATATATATATATATATATATATATATATGGCACCCCGTCAAAAGAGCTCACGACAAAAGAGCCCCGACATAAGATTCTAAATTTTACGTAAAATTTAATCCAAATTATACATATAATTTAATCAAGATAAATTTTGTGGCTTCTTTTTCCATGACGTTTTTTTCCCGTGACTTAATTTTCTGTCATCGTCCTTATAGAAGACTAAACTGTTATTGTCGTGGAAGTTGTATTCAGTGGCATCGCTGTGTGACCTACTTAGGTCCAGTAATGTTTTATTTTGACATTGTATAATACCTTATATGGATTGATGGTGCAACTACCGGGGTTTTTCCACTGTCTTATTAAGGGTGTCTAAGACTAAGAAATTTTCCATCAAGATCTGATTGATTGATTCGGATCAGATGACTACCCCAACCAATGGCTACATGAGTTGAGGATAACCTCCCCTGTGGCCTAAGTCTTTAACTAGATTGCACACACGCGACACGGGGCAGTCTACCTTGATCAAACGGTCCATTAAGACCAGGCCGTCCATTTTGTCCGGCAATAGATTCTGACCATTTGAACGTGAGAGAACTTAAGTCCTGAGTGTGCTATGCTTTCTTAAGTTGTTTTAGTCTTCTAGTATAATATTACTTGTCGCCAAGTGATTCTTTGAAGCTATAGCAGTGTTGTGTGACCTGTGGCTATTTTAATTTTTATACAGTGTTAAAATCTGTGATAGTATTTTTTCTTACGCTTTGTAAGTTGGGTTTTGTTATTTTCTAAATTAAATATTTTATCTCGTTTAACCTAGTGTTCTGCCACAACTGTGTTCGCTTATTAAAGGTTGTATGCAGATTGGATGAGTGTTAACTTCAATAGTATCACTAGTTTTCCCTAGACATCAAAATCGAGCCCTAGTATGTTGTTGAGTTAGTGTTCATTCATTTAGGCTGTAAGTCATTTGCATATAACCCCAAAAAAAAAGAATCCGGGGACGTTCACCCTCTATCTGGCTGGTAGATAGGTAAACGTTACAGCTGCTCCTAGAGGGACAGCTATAATTATAGGGATTATTGTAGCTGTCGGGATCGGTGAAGGAACGGCAGGGACCCTCAGAGCTCCAAGAACGACCAAGTCCGTTTTCCTCGCGCGGCGGGGTCATGAGTACACAGCGCATACAGACTTGGGTCTGAAACTACAAACGTTCTGCTGTTGCAGGATTTAAAACATATAGCCTGTTTCACGTTCAGTATCTTTCTGTGAAGCAATCAACGAAACCATCCCACATACCAGCGTATACACTGTCACATATACCACACTATGAACCATCCCATATACCATCTAATAAACCATCCCATGGACCGTAACATATCACTAAATGACCTATCTTCATGTGGTAGATACAGTGTACCTCTTTCATTCACCTCGGCACTAGAAAGGACAGTGTGATCTGAACCATTCCCATCCACCTTTAGCTTCCCCGACCAGAGTCAACGACCAAGAGGAGTTCTTTCGGCAATTTTCTAATCCTAAAAACGCCGTCACACTTTAGGTCTTCTTTTATTTTAGGGGGGGGGGGTGCAACATTTTTGTTTTAGGAACTAAAAAAAAAAATCAATTACCTTCACTGTCTGTTGACTGCTGTGTACGCCGCTGGTGCTCCAAGTATTACAGCATTTAGGGCACTTAAAGAATCCACATTTTTCATTGGACTTCTCTGTAGATAAAACATTTACAGCATTTAGGGCACTTAAAGAATCCACATTTTTCATTGGACTTCTCTGTAGATAAAACATTTACAGCATTTAGGGCACTTAAAGAATCCACATTTTTCATTGGACTTCTCTCTATCTAAAACATTGTATACATACAAAAACCTCAAAATTTACACTTTCAATTTAATTAAAATAAAACAACTGAACCCTTCCCATTAGATTCTTACAAAAACTGTAGCATAGTCTAAAGGGACTCATCTCAATAGTGAATTTCCCTCGAGCACGTAAACATCTCATTATATTAAACATTAGTAGAATTGAATTTTGGATAAATTAAGTTCTACGAAAAATGCATACTGAAAAAGAAATAAAAATGGTACCTGCAGTGAGGTTAATGCAATTAGATGTAAAACAGATAGTGTTAGTTACCTCACAAGTTAAAGACAGTTACAACTGTAACTTTCTTTATCTAACACTATATGTTTTATTACTAATTACTGAAAGAGAACGAGTCAATAGCTTCAATCTCTTCAAACTTAGCCATTTTAAAAATGGTCTTGGAATCATCCATGTAAATATCTGGTACTGGTTCAACATGTTATATTGTATCAAACCCTTTTTAAGTGTTGTTTCAAGAATTCAACAAGACGGTATTTAAAAAGGATTTTTCTACACTGCATAAGTTTTTACATTAAAGTAACAAGACAAAACACCCTTGCCTGAATCCATCTTGCATCACGTTCCCTAACTGTCCCAAATGCAAAAAAATAAAACTGGGTGAAAGTTTTTAGCTTGACCGAAACTCTCTGCAGGGTCAGCTCTTGTTGGCCTGGTCAGTCTTTGATCACATGACAATCTGAAGTCAAATTTATACCCTCAATCTGTTTCAGTTTACAGTTCTACACCAAATTAAACCAAACTTTCACAGAAAGATCAGACGTAGTTATAGAGAAGATCGACAATACAGTCCTAAATGGCTGACTATTATTTGAAAGTAAGAAACATAAATCTATTGCCAAAATATTTTGGCTCTTTGCCGTCACTTTAGGGTTGTGTCACCCCCCCACCTTGCTAACAACCATGGACCAGGTAGCGTCACAGGGGAGCCTGACACCCCCCCCCCCCCCGATTACTATTATGAATATGCTTGAGTTCTATTGTAATGTGTCCTAAAAATAACACCAATATAATTTTTTAAATAAAAGTCCTAAAAATTCATAAACCAGAACTAATGAACTTCTTCTTCGTCGTTCTTATTTATATTTATATCGGAGGATTCAGACAAGAAATCCAATGTCGTGGTCTCCAGTGTCGATGAACCTGACGCCTCTGATCTAGGGGTGTTTGGACCCGACCCCTCTGATCTAGGGGTATATGGATCTGACCCCTCTGATATAGGAGTGTTTGGACCCGACCCCTCTGATATAGGGGTGTATGAACCTGACCCCTCTGATCTAGGGGTGTATGGACCTGACCCCTCTGATCTAGGGGTATATGGATCTGACCCCTCTGATATAGGAGTGTTTGGACCCGACCCCTCTGATCTAGGGGTGTATGAACCTGACCCCTCTGATCTAGGGGTGTATGGACCTGACCCCTCTGATCTAGGGGTATATGGATCTGACCCCTCTGATATAGGAGTGTTTGGACCCGACCCCTCTGATATAGGGGTGTATGGACCCGACCCCTCTGATATAGGGGTGTATGGACCCGACCCCTCTGATCTAGGGGTTTATGGACCTGATCTCTATGAATTTGGCCTAATGCTGAGTATACGCAACCCCTCTACGCTGTTTATGGGTGTGTTTTTAATTCTGAAAATGACGTCAACATTTTACCCTTTTAAATGTGAAGTATTTCAGTGTGCCTTTAACTGTTCTTGGTATTCTAAATTTAAACCTCGTTTGTAAAAGCCACTCTTTGAATCGCGGCCTATTTAGCGCAAAACCAATCAACCGTGGAGATTCGAATTGGTAGAAAGCAGATCTAAAATCTTTTAAAGGAACTGGAAGTAAGAAAATAAAAAAGCACTTTCTCTAATAAAATATATAAATATATCTCTGGAGCGACGAAAACATTAATTTGAGTAAGCAAATATATATATATATATATATATATATATATATATATATATATATATATATATATATATATATATATATACTGGGATATGTCATATCTTTACTGGATATGTCAGTACCAATGACCATAATATGTGCTCCCTATTTCTCAATTATCAACACGGAGAACTATGTCGTGTACTGCGAGAATTGAAACTTGCAGCTCTGCACCAACACAAAGTCACCAACCCTTTGCCAACCATCCTCACCCACCAACTCTCTGCCTCCGACCCTCAGCTAACCACCTCAGCCAACCACCTCAACCAACCACCTCAGCTACCAACCCTCAGCCAACCACCTCAACCAACCACCTCAACCAACCACCTCAGCTACCAACCACCTCAACCAACCACCTCAGCTACCAACCACCTCAGCTACCAACCACCTCAACCAACCACCTCAACCAACCACCTCAGCTACCAACCACCTCAACCAACCACCTCAACCAACCACCTCAGCTACCAACCACCCTCAGCCAACCACCTCAGCCAACTACCTCAGCCAACCACCTCAGCCCACCACCTCATCCAACCACCTCATCTACCAACCCTCAGTGATACACATGTGATGTAATTCTCTCAATCAAATAGAAATTAGACAACACAAATTTCTTTTTAAAAATGTATTGCGATGATAAATGTAATGTTTTTCCAACATTCTCACAATACCATAAAATATTTTTCAAACTTTCTCGCAATACCATAAATTATTTAGCAAACAATATCAAAACACCATAAAATATTTTCAAACAATCTCACAAAACCATAAAATACTTTTCAAACAATCTCACAATACCATAAATTATTTAGCAAACAATATCAAAACACCATAAAATATCTTTCAAACAATATCAAAACACCATAAAATATTTTACAAAAAATCTCACAAAACCATAAAATATTTTTCAAATATTCTCACAATACCACAAAAAATTTTTCAAATAATCTCACAATACCATAACATATTATTCAAACAATCTCACAATACCATAAATTATCTAGCAAACAATCTCACAACACCATAAAATATTTTTTCAAACATTCCCACAACATCACAACACATTTAGCAATAACTTGCACGTTTGCTCTCGTATAACATTGAAAAACGTGATTAAAAAGACACGGTTTAGAAAAGACTAATTATACTAAAAGACCCAAGCTGATTTGGCCCATATAGAAATGACCAAAAGAAAAATATCACAGATGATGGAGCTAGGACTCTGGACTTCCTGTTCAAAATTGGCAATAAACGATTTGAATGGCTTAAAGCAGGAGCTAAAATATAAGGTTATGCAACTAGTGGGAGCTAATCAAACTTGTCCTACTGAAATTCAGAGCAAAAATATATTGATATCTGATGAAAGTTTGAGTTACACAATTTTGATGTTCTGCTTTTTGATGGAGCAGAAATATTTTGATGTCATTTAAATGCCTGAGCTAAAATTTTGATATCCCACTGAATGATGGAGCTAAAATGTTGATGTCCTGCTCAATATTTGAGCTAAAATGTTGATGTCCAGCTCAATATTTGAGCTAAAATGTTGATGTCCTGATCAATATTTGAGCTAAAATGTTGATGTCCTGATCAATATTTGAGCTAAAATGTTGATGTCCTGATCAATATTTGAGCTAAAATGTTGATGTCCAGCTCAATATTTGAGCTAAAATGTTGATGTCAAGCAAAAGATTTGAGCTAAAGTGTTGATGTCCAGCTCAATATTTGAGCTAAAATGTTGATGTCTAGCTCAATATTTGAGCTAAAATGTTGATGTCCTGTCTACTATTGACACGGGAAGCCAGCGCGACACTTGGCACAAAGATCCGATCTGTGAGCTTTGTTGGGGTCCACGTGACGATCCCTGATACAGTTACAGTCTTTTTGTCCACATAATGAGCAGGTCAGTCTCTCAACACGGTACGGCATACACATCACTGCACAATCCTTGCACTCCTGCCCGTACTCCGCCTGGGAAAGTAAACAACACATTAAAATATTTCAATCGAAAATTGTGTGTGTGTGCTTAGTGTTGACAGTTTCTTAGGGGAGTAGAAAACCGACGTCATTTTCTACGTGTTTACTGGGACGGTATCTAGTAGTTTATCATTACAGATTCACTTGATTTTTATCACTGTAGACCATAATGTTAAAAATTTAATTGTAAAATATTGAATTTTAATTAGTTTAATTATACATGGATTTTGATTTAAATTCAAAGAAGATTTCTAAAAACAGGACCAAGTTTTATTTCGAGGGTGAGTATACAGTTTATCTACAATAACTGTGAGGTGAGGTCCCCAGTTATACATACACGCAAATGAAAACTGAAACTGCATGTTAGCTAGAAAGACATGTTAACACAGCAAATCTAACCTGCTCCGTTCTTTTGTGACAATACACATGGGAACTTTCCCAAACTTTGTTGCACTTTGAACAACGGAAAAACCCGTACATTCGTCGGAGGTTGTTGTTTCTGTTTCTTCCATACATTCTGGCTGGGTTATGGCAGCTCAATAGCTGATACCTGAACAATATATATATATATATATATATATATATATATATATATATATATATATATATATATATATATATATATATATATATATATATATGTATGCCTATATATGAATAAATAAGTAAATAAATGATGTATGTATGTATGCCTATAAATAAATAAATAAATATTATATATATATATATATATATATATATATATATATATAATATACATATGTGTGTGTGTACGAGGATGTAAATGTGTGTCGGTGTGTATCTAGTAAGTACTGAGAGTCTGAAAGAAATATTTCTTAAAATAAACAAAAGCTAAAGACTCTACAATTGCCGTTTGTTTGAGTGTGCCCAAATAATCAAAGACTTACAGTATCGTCTAGAAGAATAAAGAAGTTGTTCCTCACTGTAAACTCACGATCGTTCTCAAATGCCTGCCCACAAGTTAACTGTCCACTATTTGACACCGAGGCCTATTTTATACCATGTAAACAACCTGTTCCACGTACTAGCCTTAAATAGACATTCAAATCGAAAGTAGACATGACGAAACTGAAACATCCCAGAACTGATGTCAATCAATAACTGGATTAACCGCGCAGGCGGATGACGTCATCACAGTGCACCGTCTACCAAGCCTGACAGATCATCAACTGTCCTCGGTTAATTAGAGAAGGGAACCACTTTGAAATCAATTTCAAATTTAAGTTTTTAATGTTTTACTAATTTTCGTTTTAACTGTTAACTCGTAAGTTGCGACAAACAAAATAAAACAATACACCTAAAATTAGGTAGGCAAAGCGAAGACACACATACACACACACAGATATATATATATATATATATATATATATAAGTATACACAAAAATATATGTGTATAACAAGTACACAAGTATTATTAACACAATTATTATTATACACACATATATACATATAAATATTTATATATATTTTATATATATATATATATATATATATATATATATATATATATATATATATATATATATATATATATATATATTTATTTATTTATATATGTGTGTGTGTGTATGTAAGTATTATCTGAATATGGCACACACACATGCATACTATTTGTTGTTAACATTTACTACGAAAAATGTCATTAAACAGAAATCATGTATGTGTGTTGTTATAAATTCAGTTCCAACTATCGGGAGTTTCGTTTTCTGAAAATGACGTCAACTGTTTACTTTCCAACAGCTAACGGTAACTTCACTAGTTCCTGGTATTCTAAATTTAACTCGCATTAATTGGGTCAACATTTGGAGTGGTGCAAGTATTTCATGGGCAGTCAGTCAATAGTGTTGCATGGGGTCATAAAATCAGTGGACACACGAGTAGAGGGCTGGTAGGCCTACTTCGTATGTGTGTGTGTGTGTGTGGGGGGGGGGGGTTGTGTGTGTGTGGGGGGGGGGGTGCGGTGTCAACCTAAAGTACCTTTTCAAACATAGCGGTCCATCGGGTAGGTAAAGTATTTCTGTTTCAGTTCTGTCAGCACTATGACTAGCCGCCTTTACTTTCCCTGACATGTCAGGTACCCATTAGAGCTGGGTGGGCTCAGGGGGACGTCCTAGGGACTCGAGCTCATGTTCACCAAACGTTGTTTGGATACATAAATCTTGACTCACTGAAAACATTGTACCACGTGACAGCACCACGTGACAGCACCACGTGACAGCACCACGTGACTGCCTGTAGGGTTTGAAGCTCACAATAAAAGTATGCTATATTTAGATCCCATTAATACAAAAGATGGAGACTAGAAAACTTTATGCAAACAAAAATTTACAATTTATTTACTAATTAATTACAATATACAGATATACAAGATAAAAAAATACTAAGTACCTTATAAGTCTGACAACAACATAAATTAATATCCAAAAACAATTTGATCGTATCACCTAGAAATATTGACTTCTAATGTCATATTTACTCTCTGCTTTGAACTCTAATTATCAAGCCTATAAATCACCTTAAGTTAATGAACATTGCATACCCAGTGTTTATTTCAGACGATTTTCTACTGGGGGGGGGGGAGCCTTGTGGTGGTAGGGCTACTTTATTTGTTTGAAAAATGCATCCATTAGTATCTAGATTAGCGCTTTAGTCATCTGTTTGAAATACCACAATTTTAATTAGTGTACATTCAAGGAATACCAGTTTAATGCAGCATGTCATTTATCAACAGAAGGTCTAAAGTTTAAAAAGTGGAAAGTCCATGTTCATGTCTTTGCAATCCCCGTCAATCCTCGTCAATCGTCGTCAATCTCCGTCAATCGTCGTCAATCGTCGTCAATCTCCGTCAATCGTCGTCAATCGTCGTCAATCTCCGTCAATCCCCGTCAATCGTCGTCAATCTCCGTCAATCCTCGTGTGATTGGGGCCTCTCGTGCCTAGTTGCCGGTACACTTTTTCCCCTTCAAACACCTTTCACAGAGGTCACTTCGGTGTGGCTTCAGCTCCACAGGTCCTTCGTCGTCGTCTGATGAGCTCCATCTGTCAAGGTCAGATCGAGACCTGTCGTCGTCATCATCGGAACAGCTGTCGTCGTCCGAGTCGTCATAACAGCGGCAGGGACGATGAAAGCAGGACGGACACTCAAGGTTCTGGACCCTGTAGGGCTTGTTCATCGTCTGGCAGTTCCGGCACTTCTGTCCATACTGGGCCTGGGACTGGAACAAGTAGGTCAAGGTACAGGTGTGATGTCGGTGGGGATTGGTATAACATGGCATGATATGGCATAGCTTTGGTATAACCTTGGCATGACATGGCATAACTTTGGTATAACTGTGGTATAACCTTGGCATGACATGGCATAACTGTGGTATAACATTGGCATGATATGGCATAGCTTTGGTATAACATTGGCATGACATGGCATAGCTTTGGTATAACATCGACATGGCATGGCATAGCTTTGGTATAACTGGTATAACGTGGTATAACATTGCATAATATAACATAACTTAGGCATAACGGTAAAACAAAGTATGTCCCATATCAATGCAACAATAGTCCAAAATAAACCCAACAAAACACTGGCCCCAAATTGAGCAGGTTAGGACCCTCCCTGTAGTGGTAGTTGGCCGGTCCTTTCTTTAGGTCATCAACCTGGCTGGAACCTTGTGCTTGGACTACCCCATCGTTGACCCGACATTAACAAACTATTGACCCGACATTAACAAACTATTGACCCGACATTAACAAACTATTGACCCGACATTAACAAACTATTGACCCGACATTAACAAACTATTGACCCGACATTAACAAACTATTGACCCGACATTAACAAACTATTGACCCGACATTAACAAACTATTGACCCGACATTAACAAACTATTGACCCGACATTAACAAACTATTGACCCGACATTAACAAACTATTGACCCGACATTAACAAACTATTGACCCGACATTAACAAACTATTGACCCGACATTAACAAACTATTGACCCGACATTAACAAACTATTGACCCGACATTAACAAACTATTGACCCGACATTAACAAACTATTGACCCGACATTAACAAACTATTGACCCGACATTAACAAACTATTGACCCGACATTAACAAACTATTGACCCGACATTAACAAACTATTGACCCGACATTAACAAACTATTGACCCGACATTAACAAACTATTGACCCGACATTAACAAACTATTGACCCGACATTAACCCATTATTGACCCGACATTAACCCATTATTGACCCGACATTAACCCATTATTGACCCGACATTAACCTATTATTGACCCGACATTAACCCATTATTGACCCGACATTAACCCATTATTGACCCGACATTAACCCATTATTGACCCGACATTAACCCATTATTGACCCGAAATTGTCAGTTACATGTTCCTATACGAAGTTCTAGTCTATGAGCGTATCAAGACTTACCCCCCATGTTGTGAGAACTATAGTTTTATAACTTGCACAAAGAGAAGTTACAAAATGTCCCTACCTCTCCTGCGTTTGTTTTGATACAATAGACATGCGCACTGCTCCAAGTGTTCTCACATTTGCTGCATCTAAAGTGTCCAAACATTCGCTCGCAGTCGTCTTAAAGAAAAATAATAATTAAAATAATATCAAATTAAAGGTAAATAAATGTAGTTTTAAATTGTTTAAGTCATCTTGAACAATAATGAAGTTTAAAATCTTAGTCAACACCCTACTGAAAACGACCAAGTTTTAGTCAACACCCTACTGAAAACGACCAAATTTTAGTCAACACACTACTGATAACGACCAAAGTTAGAGGCTTAACTGATGACGCTTTCCGAGTGTCCATCGTGTCGTCTGTTTATACAGCCGTTTACATCTTCCAACAGGCACATTTAGCCGTTTTAAATGTAGAGAAACATGTCCCGTATTGAAAAGATTGAATTTTTTTTTTTAAGTTTAGCACCTACCTGAACTCATCCCTGTGTGATTCAAATAACACACGCGATAAATAACTCACACAAATGACGGATCACTCAAACTTTGCTAGTACAACAGAGGGAGCTGTTTTTATACTGCTGCTGCTGCTTTCACTTCATTTACCAAGAACTCTCAGAGTTATTTATAGCACACGGGGTCACTACATTCAAACAATAAAACAAAAGCCAGTTCTCCATACGACCGGTGTACTTGTACAATAGTTACATATGTTCGCCTTGAATGCCGCCATTTGTCCTGATATATCTAATGGTGGCACTGTTCCATATTTCCCCACCAAATGTCTAATGGCACCAATGTTGTCCATGAATTGATTCATAGCAGACAAGTTCCTGTAACTGCCGTAATTCCAGACGTAAAGTTGTGGCTACTTTCGGTTTCTAAAACACTTTTCATGGGTAAGATCTAAGACGTGAAATATTTTTAAAAATATTTTCTAAAATATTTCCCACTGTTTCCCATCAATCGGATGCGGGTTTGCTTAGTATGTCAACAACCGCAGTTTTAGGCCCTCAAATAAATATCCTCAAAATAGTTGGAGGGTATGTATGTGTGCTGAACACATTGGGGAGTGTGGGGGTGACACAAATATACGTTGAATGAAAAAATGAACAAGGGAATTTTTATCAGTTGAGTCACTAATGAATCAGATTTAAATAGGGGTGTAAAATTGATTTTTTAAAACGGTCCTAGAGCTTTTTTTAAAATTTGGCATGTCAAGAACTTACGATTCTAAAAACTTTTGTGCACACATATCAAGTAGTAAAAAAACAACTATGACAGTTTAAAAAGTTGGTTTTTAACTTTTTTCAACACCCTAAATTGTTCCATGTTTGAGAGGTTATATCTGTAAAAGTATATGTCTCAAACACAATCTTTTGAATTCAACACAAACACAGTGGCGTAGCTACCGTAAAGCTAGCGTAAGAAAGGCATAGGGGCCCAAGGCAAATAGGGGCCCTTTTTCGAAAGTTTGAGGGGGGGGGGGGGTGGAAATCGAAAGTCTGAGGAGGGGGAGGGTGCAAATCGAAAGAAAGTTTGAGGGGGGGGGGTGCAAATCGATAGTCTGAGGGGGGGGGGTGCAAATCGTCGAAAGTTTGTCCACGGTCGCCGGTAAGGGTCGCTACGCCTCTGAGGGGCCCACTAACACTTTTTGCATAGGGGGCCCAAAAATCCTAGCTACGCCACTGCACAAACACACATATATAGAAAACAGAAACAATTAAGTACGTCATATAAATTTATTGCAATGAAATTGGCTTTTCTCACTTTTTGATGAAATTAGAAAGGGAAGTAAAAGAACACACATTTTGTGCATTTAAAAAATTCACCAAAAATGTTCGGATGCAAGAACATACTTGATAAGTATATTATGTCAAAATGTAGGGGACCAACGCTTCTTTGAATTTAAGTTACATGTATGCCTATAACAAGTACGTTTGAAACATAGGTTTGATCAGAAGAGTGCAAGGGTTCACACTCGGTCGAAAATGCATCTTTTTAAAAAATAAATTTAAAAATAAATTATGACACCTACTGTAGATCTAAGTAAATAGAAATAAAGAATAACCATAGCTCGTAACAGTTAAGCAGTCTTTGTGTCTGTAACTTATTTATATGCGATCCAATGGTGGCAAGGGTCCCATAAAGAAAATATTTTTTTTTGTCCAAATAATTATTAGTCTCTAGAGCAAGAAGTGCATTTAAAAGTAAGAACATTTATTTAGAATGCCTCAGTCGATGTATCTTTATGTTATAAATATGTATTTATACATAGCTGGTTCTATGGTTGGGCTACACCAAAATACAATGGCTTATTAAATAAAACTACGTAGGCTAAATAGATAATAATGCTAGTCATGAATTCTCTTGAAGTTTCTCCACCCTGTAAGGTTTGTTCATGGTCTTACAACTCGCACACATCTGTCCGTACTTTGCCTGAAACTAAAACAAATTAGAATAATGAATGGACATTACAAAGTTCACGAGAATCTTTTCATTATCATTGTTGACGTTGATAAAAATCATTTTTTTTTAGATTTTACAATCAAAGCGGCAATTTAAAATAACAACTAAAACTTAAGTCTGAAAATAATTCAGAAATTTAATATTTTTAGAATCCAGAGAACTTTAAAATATTTTTTTAGGTTTAGGCTATATTACTATTTATTTTAATCAAGCCTAAGTTATCAACTGAAGTTTCACTTTCGTAAGATAATTATTGATTGACTGTTCAGGAATTCCGTGAACGATATTCTGAAAACCCCACTTCATAGTGTTCTCAAAATCTTTCCGATAAAATTTTAAATAAAATTATTGTTTTTTAAACCAAAGAACATATTTCTACAATTTTTGTTTACATTTTCTGTGATAAAAATATAAACAAAATAATGTTTTTTTGCTTTTTAAAATCTTTGGTCAGTTACTAAAAATACTAAAAACACTAAATACGTCCAATCTTTAGAAAAGTCCAACAAAAATCAAACGGTCCTATTTTTATTACCATATTTATTTTAATAACATTGTACATGATTTTGTAAATATTTAATATGCCTTTTGAATAATTTTGAAGCTGATCTCGGTTGTGTCCATTAAACAAGTAGTACACGACAATGGCTTCAAGTAAAGAAATTGGTTTAATAGAGTCCAAAATGAATTGAACACGGTATTAACCAAAATGTATACACCGCTTATAACGACAAAATATTAACAGAGCATCGTGTTAGCAAGGATCCAACACTGACCCGACTATGAGATTATGACGATACATTGACCCAACCCATGAGCCATTCGTACAGCACCAAGTATCTGTAAGTAAAAGCGTTAGCATTCTAGCCCATAAACCAGAACATATACCATCCCATGAACAGCCATCTAAACGCTTTCTGTATGAACTCAATCTAACAAACGCATAGCCAAAGTGTACCTAGCTATACATTTGCACACACCATGTTTGGGCAGGTTTTCACAAGTAGTGAGTTGGTAAAGACTTGAAATATTCTTTCCAAGCAGTGATGGAACCTTTTATTCGACTCTATAGAAAAAAAAATTATTTACCTCCTCTGTATTTGTTTTACTGCAATAGACATGCGCACTGCTCCATTTGTTCTCACACTGGGTGCATCGAAAGTGGCCAAACATTCTCACGCAGTCGACTTCGCCTACATTTAAAATAGAATTTTTAAACAGAAAACTTGCTCATTTCAAACAATGATTGTACAACTATATCTGCAAGTAATAACGTAAAAGATATACATATAAACAGGTACCGAAAAGCTAACATAATCACCGTATCGGCCTATGCACCAACCAAAAAAATAGTTTTCTTTTTTAATGAAGTTTTGGTTTGGCTTAGATTTACAGTTAGATTTATAATTTGGGTGGAAGTTGATTGGCGGATATCTAAGTACCGAAGTAGTTGTGTGAATCTGTGAGCGAGATATGCGGGAGAGACCAGAGATTTTAGTAACCATTGTAAATTATTTGTAAATTTTGCTAAACTTTACCCGAGCTCAAGCATTTTGTCCCGAGCAAACATCTTTCACAGAGATCCGCTCTATGTGGCTTGGCGTCTTCCTGTCCTGAGTCGTCGGCTGCAAACTGAAATCCTTCTTCATCGGCATATCTGTCATCATCGTGATATAGGTCCTCGTCGCTATATGTGTCCTCATCGTGATATAGGTCCTCATGCTAATATATGTCCTCATCTTGATATTGGTCCTCATCCTGATGTTGGTCCTCATGCTGATATATGTCCTCATCGTGATATTGGTCCTCATCCTGATATAGGTCCTCATAATGATATAGGTCCTCATCAGGATAGTCGTCCTCATCGGGATCGCTACATTCCCTTTGATCACAATGGCAGGATCTTGCAAGACACTGCGAACATCCAAGTAGTTCTTCCACTTTGTGAGGTTTGACCATGGTCTTACAGCTTCGACATTCCTGCGCCTGAAACTAGAAACGATTTTCTACTGCAGGTCCTGAAAAAATTATACCTGAGGACGGGTTTCATAAACCCGGACTTTCACTCGATTGCTTTTTACAAGGGAGACAATACAGTTCAATGGGAAGGTAATTATTTTAAATAATATTAATTTTATTTTGTTAAAGTCTTTATCGGAGCCTGTTATTTTAACATAACGTATTCGTATAAAATTATTAAAATATTTAGATAATATTTTAAGCAATTATTTTGCCTTATTTTAGACATTGTTTATTTGGTGTTAGCCGGGAAGTGGGGTGGGGGAGGGTTTCTGCCTTAATGACGGGATAAAGTGGGGCTGCATGTCAAGCAAAAACAAATTGCTAATTAACTGGTCTTTTGAAAATAAGCTTGAAGACAACCTTCAAATATATTTTTCAAACACAGATATAGGGGAAGTTAAAAGGGCGTGCAATTTTTTTTTGGTTTTGTGGACGTCATACATGGAGGACAACTAAGAGCGTTTTTTTTCTAAAAAGTATTTACCTCCCCTTTCTCTTTAGAGCAGCAGTAGACATGGGCACTCTTCCAAGTTTGATGACACTGCGAGCATTCGAAATGTCCAAACTTCCTTTTTGAGTTGTCAATATCTGCTGGTCATACACAAAATTAGTCTCTTAATGCAGACGAACTTAGATATAGAGACTTGGCTTTGGTGGAAGTTGCATGAGGACAGACTTTAGGATAGGCTGGAAGAAAATCAATTATTACAGGCGAGGATCTCTCAATGTCTCAGCCAAATGTCTCAGCCAAATGTCTCAGCCAAATGTCACAGCGAAATGTCTCAGCCAAATGTCTCAGCCAAATGTCTCAGCCAAATGTCTCAGCCAAATGTCTCAGCCAAATGTCTCAGCCAAATGTCTCAGCCAAATGTCTCAGCCAAATGTCTCAGCCAAATGTCACAGCGAAATGTCTCAGCCAAATGTCACAGCGAAATGTCTCAGCCAAATGTCTCAGCCAAATGTCACAGCGAAATGTCTCAGCCAAATGTCACAGCGAAATGTCTCAGCCAAATGTCTCAGCCAAATGTCTCAGCCAAATGTCTCAGCCAAATGTCTCAGCCAAATGTCTCAGCCAAATGTCTCAGCCAAATGTCACTGCCAAATGTCACAGATGTTATCAAGACCATTACAATCTGATGCTAAATTGATTAGCTTTTACTAACTAAATGTTAAATAATGTTAAGACGAGTCCTGGTAGGCTCCCTTCACTGTGAGTATTGAGCACAGACTAGCAAGTTTGTACCGTGGCACTTAGTTTGTCATCAAGTTATCTTTAAAAACTTAACATAGATCTTGTCCAATGCGAATTGAGTATTTTAAAGGTATAACAAATTTAGCTGGTTTAAAAGATTGAAAATAGTTTGTAAACAAAAGTTTAGTATATACCTGAACTCATTCCTGAGATAATCAACTGAATAAACTTTTTTGTAAACGTGGAACGACTTCAAACTTTATTTCATTCGAGGAGGAAATAGGTTCATATTTTATACTACTACGACTCTCACTTGAGACTTCTTGGAACTATCAGCACTATTTATAGCACTCTAAATAACATCATGACGTCGGTAAAAGACTCGACAGTTAACTAAACTCTTTTCACTTTACTAACTTGTGTACAAGTGCAATGGTTCCATTTGAATGCACCCGACTCCCCCTTTTTACCTGACAGCTCCATGATGGCACCGTTCCATATTACTTCACCCAGTGTTAAGCTGAACCACCGTTTGTTAGAGGCTTATTACACCAGTGGCAAGTTGCAAATAAATAGTGTCAGTCCCGACCGTAGGCTACTTTCACTTTGTAAGCTCTAAAGTCTTTCTTTTTTTTTAGTTCTCAACTGTTTTTTAAAAAACTAACACCAATTAAAGTTATATCGAAAACAGTTTTCATTTATATTAAAGATTTAAACCATTTCAATATTACTACCATCAACTTTTTACAAGTCAGATGTGTAAAGGCTATTCAATATATTTTATTCCTCTGTCAAACCTAGCTGACTGAGTCTAGACATTTGACATGATGGCATGTGGTTCACTTAAACAAACTCTACTTCACCTATACGGCTATAGCCAGGTTCCCATCACACCAATCTCTTCCACTGACCAAACTCTACTTCACCTATACGGCTATGGCCGGGTTCCCATCACACCAATCTCTTCCACTGACCAAACTCTACTTCACCTATACGGCTATAGCCAGGTTCTCTTCACACCAATCTCTTCCACTGACCAAACTCTACTTCACCTATACGGCTATAGCCAGGTTCTCTTCACACCAATCTCTTCCACTGACCAAACTCTACTTCACCTATACGGCTATAGCCAGGTTCCCATCACACAAATCTCTTCCACTGACCAAACTCTACTTCACCTATACGGCTATAGCCAGGTTCCCATCACACCAATCTCTTCCACTGACAAAACTCTACTTCACCTATACTGCTATAGCCAGGTTCCCATCACACAAATCTCTTCCACTTACAAAACTCTACTTCACCTATACGGCTATAGCCAGGTTCCCATCACACCAATCTCTTCCACTGACCAAACTCTACTTCACCTATACGGCTATAGCCAGGTTCTCTTCACACCAATCTCTTCCACTGACCAAACTCTACTTCACCTATACGGCTATAGCCAGGTTCCCATCACACAAATCTCTTCCACTGACCAAACTCTACTTCACCTATACGTCTATAGCCAGGTTCCCATCACACAAATCTCTTCCACTTACAAAACTCTACTTCACCTATACGTCTATAGCCAGGTTCCCATCACACCAATCTCTTCCACTTACAAAACTCTACTTCACCTATACGTCTATAGCCAGGTTCCCATCACACCAATCTCTTCCACTGACAAAACTCTACTTCACCTATACGTCTATAGCCAGGTTACCATCACACCAATCTCTTCCACTTACCAAACTCTACTTCACCTATACGTCTATAGCCAGGTTCCCATCACACCAATCTCTTCCACTGACCAAACTCTACTTCACCTATACGGCTATAACCAGGTTCCCATCACACCAATCTCTTCCACTGACCAAACTCTACTTCACCTATACGGCTATAGCCAGGTTCCCATCACACCAATCTCTTCCACTGACCAAACTCTACTTCACCTATACGGCTATAACCAGGTTCCCATCACACCAATCTCTTCCACTGACCAAACTCTACTTCACCTATACGGCTATAGCCAGGTTCCCATCACACCAATCTCTTCCACTTACAAAACTCTACTTCACCTATACGGCTATAGCCAGGTTCCCATCACACCAATCTCTTCCACTGACCAAACTCTACTTCACCTATACGGCTATAGCCAGGTTCCCATCACACCAATCTCTTTATCTGACGTTTGTCCAAACCCTACTGACCCACGTCTCACGAGCACCCTGATTTAGTGAAAGATTTAAACGATTATATACAACAATCACGATGTTGAACTTCTTTGGTATTTATTTTTATTTTTAAAAAATTATAAATAACTCTAGGCATACTGCCTAGTAAATAACGTTCTCTAGTGTAGTTTGGGGACGGCGCGATGGTGGTAAAGCTCATTGTTGCCATGTTGTTGAACCAATAAGTCACGATTTCAGTCGTTTCAATGACCAGATGAAATAAATTAGTCAAAGCAATGCATTGTCTTGCTGAAATTTTATGCTAAAATTTTTTGTGGCCTGCTGAATATTGGCGCTAAAATGTTGATGTCCTGCCTAAATATGTACATGTCCTTTGATTTCCTGCCTAAATATGTACATGTCCTTTGATGTCCTGCCTAAATATGTACATGTCCTTTGATGTCCTGCCTAAATATGTAAATGTCCTTTGATATCCTGCCTATTGCTGACACGGGTAGCCAGCGCGACATTTGCCACAAAGATCCGACCTGTGGGATTTGTTAGGGTCCACGTGACGGTCACTGTCACAAGCACATTCTTGAAGTCCGCACTGCGAGCAGGTCAGTCTAGCAATACGGTACGGCATGCACATCACTTTACAATCCTTGCACTCCTGTCCGTACGCAGCCTGTGTACATAGACAAATTAAATTGTTAGAAACACTAGCGTGGTAAAATAAAAATCACAAACAAAAAGTGCTGACGTAACAACACTACTTAATTTTTTTTACATTGATAAACATTTGAACTATTTCTAAGTGACCAATGTGAAAATAATAAACACACGTAAAATTGGAAAAACCCAAAACTAAAAAAAGTCCTTACCCCGCGGTCTCCCTTCCTACTATACACTTGGGCACTTTCCCAACCTTTCTTGCAATCGGTACATCGGAAATACCCGTACATTCGCTTAAGGTTGTTGTTTCTGTTAAGGTCAGACATTCTGGTGATGGTGTGGTCAAGTCTAGAGTTGGAATGTGAGGGCTGAGGGTCAAGTTTAAGTAAGGGTCCATAAATATAGCTGGCTGATTACTTTCTTACTTAAGAGTAACACACACACACATACACACACACACACACACAAATAGATACATTTAAAAAATACATTCTTATACATTTTTACATACTCATACACACATATGTAATAAGTACATACACACACATGTTATTTATCCGTGTGTATGTATTTTATACACCATGAGTTTATATATATATATATATATATATATACTAGCTGCATCCCGTGCTCCGCATCGGTAAATCTTTTTTAAATGTACCAACTTTGGAACAGAACAAAACAAACAAAAACAACACAAAAAACACAACCACAAACGCAACACAACCACAACCACAATACAACCACAACACAACCACAACACAACCACAACACAACTTGCAACACAACCACAACCACAACACAACCACAACACAACCACAACACAACCACAACACAACCACAACACAACACAACCACAACACAACCACAACACAACCACAACACAACCACAACAAAACTACAACACATCCACAACACAGCCACAACACAACCAAAAAACAACCACAACACAACCACAACACAACCAAAAACAACCACAACACAACCACAACACAACCACAACACAACCACAACACAACCACAACACAACCACAACACAACCACAACACAACCACAACACAACCACAACACAACCACAACACAACCACAACACAACCACAACACAACCACAACACAACCACAACACAACTACAACACAACCACAACAAAAACACAACTACAACACAGCCACAACACAACCACAACACAACCACAACGCAACCAAAAATCAACCACAACACAACCACAACACAACCAAAAAACAACCACAATACAACCACAACACAACCACAACACAACCAAAAAACAACCACAACACAAACACAACACAACCAAAAAAAAACACAACCACAACATTAGAATCACCACCAAACCGTTTTTTTTTTAGTCGTCCGCGCCCAAAGAGAGCCTTTCCAACATTAAAAATTTAAGTCACATAAATAGATCCTACTCCATAACTTACAATAAAACAATGCGATGCAAATGAATGTACGGCAAGTGGTGTTTACTTTTATGGTTCTAAGAAAACACATTGGCAATGTAATTAGAATTACCACCGAAAAACACGCTTTTCCCTGGCGTCCGCGCCCAGAGAGAGTCTTTCCAGCATTCTCTATACTATAATTATAAAATTTCACCATCTGTTAACACCAAAAAACAAAAACAAAAAATAGTGATTTTGAGAAATCATAGACTAATTAGAAAATAATATAAATAATCTTAACATTTTTCTCTTTTAATTATGAACCTTAACATAGACTAATCAATGCGGTAGTAATAAAAAAAAAGATTAACTTAAATTATTGTTGAGTTAAATATATTTATATATTTTCGAATTACCTCCCTTGAAAAAATTACCACAAAAAAAAGTTGAATTAATTAGCTTTTTCGACCTACTTTTATGGAAATGTATCCATTTTTTCTAAGAATACAAACTAAACTGATATTTGACATTGATCTTTTTAATATGTTTTAGCAATGTGCAAATATTTAATATTTTCATAACGTTATGCAAAAAAATAAACACAGTGGCATTTATAAAATAGCTCTATGCCGTTATATAAACGAATCCTACTCTATTACTTATAATAAGACACTGCGGTGCACTGAAAAGCACAGCATGGTGCGAATGATTACTTTTATCGTTCCAAAAGCTATAGCGATGACGGACGGAAGGAAGGAAGGAAGGACAGACACAGCCCGCTTATATTATATACTAGCTGCATCCCGTGCTCCGCCACGGTAAATCTTTTTTAAATGTACCAACTTGGGAACAGAACAAAACTAAACACAACATAAACGAACGCAAAAAAAAAAAAAAAACGAAAAAACAAACACAACACTCATAACATAAACACAATTTAAATGCAATCATAAAGGCATATTGCTCACAGTCTAGCCCGTAGCGCCAAATCGCGCCCTTTCCAGTGATTTGCACCCCCCTCAAACTTTCGATTTGCACCCCTTTCCCCCCCGCCCTAAAACTTTCGATTTCCACCCCCCCCCCCTCGTAAATTTTTTCCAACCCACTTTGGCGCCCCCTAAGGGATATTTTAAATACTGCCTATTATTTATACTGTTTTACCTACAATATTTCACTTTATCCATTCACGCATCTTTTTTCCAGTACTTTAAATTTTTAAAAATTACTATTGAGTTTCATAACTAAAACCATTGCGCACCTAATGAACGTGATGACGCGCCTATAATAGTGCTGAATAATTGATTAAAAATTATAAGTAATAAACAGTAGGGCCTACATTCAGTGAATAAAATAAATAAAAGATTGCCTTTTATCAATCCATGCTAATTATAATTTTTTAACAATAATTTCCTCTTACACATCCGAATAATTTGCATTCACATTTCGCTAATTATATTATTGCAACACTAATTCCTTCTATGACGAACGTATACTTGCATTCACATTTTTTATTAGCGTGAGTTTAATGTATTTTTAAATTACCTCCTTTGTCAAAATTAGAAAAGAGTTAAATTAATTTGATTTTTCTACCCTACTGTTATTATGTTATTAAAATGTATCCACTTTTTCTGGGAGCCTAAACGAAAATGATATTTGACATTAATCTTTTTAATACGTTTTAGCAGTTTGCGTGTATTTAATATTTTCTTGACGTTATGCGAAAGAGTAAAAACCGTGGCAATTATAAAATAGCTCTATGCCGCTATATAAACAAACCCTACTCTATTACTTATAATAAGACACTGCGGTGCACTGAAAAGCACAGCATGGTGCGAATGTTTACTTTTATAGTCCCAAAATCTATATTGATGACGGAAGGAAGGAAGGAAGGACTGACACACTACCAGCAGCGTTATATTATAGATATATATATATATATATATATATATATATATATATATATATATATATATATATATATATATATATATATATATATATATCTAATATATAAAGCTCAATTCTGTAACGCATATGTTTGTCGTTGGCATTTCTACGGATTTAAGTGTTAGATCAATTATCGTGCGCGTTTGTCTAAATTTATGAGTTAAAAAATTACTATTAAAAGTGTTGGGAAATCATTTTCATTTTTCAAATTATAGTAATAATTGTCGGCATGTTCATTAAACACAAGTTTTAAAAAAAATATCATCTTTTACAAAAATTCTAATTATGTTTTTATTTAGTCCTATAGCGCTTACTTCCCTTTGATAAATTAGGCAAAACACAATTACTTCCCTTTATGAAACCCATTGCATTAGTTGAAAAGCATTTACTTTTTAATTACTTTGTTTTGGTGTTGGGAAAAAAAATAATTACATAATTAGCGGGGATTGATCAAGTGCAAATGTTTTAGGTATTTTACGGATAAGCTTGGAGTATTATAATTGTTCATTAAATTGAAACAGGCGCGTTCGTTTAAGTGAGTGCAAAAACTATGAATAAGTTGGGGTACTATAGTCGTTTATTAAGCTAAAACAGGCGATTCTGCCCCGGGCGTTTATGTTCGCGTTAGTGTTTTCTTTGTGTTTAGGTGGGTTTGCGTTAGTGGTTGCGTTTTGATTTGGTTCGTTTTTGTTCTTTCTTTTTTCGTTTTTGTTTTTTTTTTGTTTGGGTTTGTATTTGTGTTTTTGGTTGGTTTTGCGTTTGGATTTGGTTTGTTTTCGTTCTTTCTTTTTTCGTTTTTGTTTGTGTTTTTTTGTTTGGGTTTGTATTTGTGTTTTTGGTTGGTTTTGCGTTTGGATTTGGTTTGTTTTCGTTTGCTTTTTCGTTTTTTTTTTTTTGTTGGTATTGGTGTTTGTGGTTGGGTTTGTTGTTAGGTTTTTGTTTTCGTTTGCTTTTTTGTTTGTTTTTTCTTTGTGTTTGTATTGGTGTTTGTGGTTGTGGTTGGGTTTGTTGCTAGGTTTTTGTTTTCGTTTGTATTTGTAATTGTGTTAGCGTTATGTTTGCGTTTTGTTGTTTTGGTTTTGGTTGGTCGTGGTTTGGGTGAGCAATGCCGGGTTTATGATGATTACTAAACACACAGGTAATGGTCTTTAACAGAAAGGTTTTTCACAGAAGCCAGAGCAGGGCCTGGCCGGGACGGCTAGTATATATATATGTGTGTGTATGTGTGTGTGTGTGTGTGTGTGTGTTTCAATATTAGCTTATAAATTTTTAAAAATAATGGAACGAATAAATAGCAAATAAAAACAGTTAATTTAGGAACATTTAAGAGGAACATATTAAATATTTAGTCGTTTAACATCTGGCATTGTTAAACCTAGTTATTGTTATTGAAATAAAACTTACAGAAGAACACGAGCTGAATATGTAGTGGCCCGCTGCTGTGTGAAACACAAAGATGAGGCAGTGTTGTGTCTTGTTCAGACTAGAAACCAAAACATCCAACCGCCTTAAATACTTGAGTGCACACGGAAAAAACATTTCGGTTTGCGGGAAACATTCGTGGAAATCCGGCTAAACGAAACTGATACAAATGGTTGCTGGTAAACATGACATCATCGGTGGAGCAAGCAGCAGAGGAGTCAGAAATGAGATTGTTACCGACTGACTCCAGGAGTGCCAAAACTGTAAACTCATGGCGACTGTCGGGATAGATCTATCAGAACTTCACTAGCAACAGAGGAGTCAGTAATGAGATTTTTACCGACTGACTCCAAAACTGTACAATCATGGTGACTGTCGGGATAGATCTATCAGCACTTCACTAGCAACAGAGGAGTCAGTAATGAGATTGTTACCGACTGACTCCAAAACTGTACACTCTCATGGTGACTGTCGGGATAGATCTATCAGAACTTCACTAGCTGTTCGCTTCAGTTAAACATTTTTACTTTCTCATATATGCGAAGTATAGAGAAAGTCTTGTAATCGTGCAAAAAAAAACGAGATTTTCACAAATCTCGACGTTTTACACCTCACTCATACGGAAAAACATAATTTTGCAATCTTGTCCGTATGTCTGTGTATGTGTGTGTCTGTGTGTGTGTAAACACGATAACTTGAGTACCCTTACAGCTAGGTTGATGAAATTTCATATATAAGTATTTTATCAAAATCGTAGATCCGTATCATTTTTTGAGCAATTTCCGATAACCGAAAGTGGTACTTTTTCTACTTTGAATTTTTCAAAAGCCTATAACTTGAGTACTATTTCAGATAGATAAATGAAATTTCACATGTAAGTAAAAGATCTAATTCTCTACCTTCTATCAAATTTTGAGTAATTTCCGTTGAGCGGAAGTACTAATTTACGCTATTTCCGATTTCACAAAAAAACGCATGTAAATGTATAAAGTACTAATAATATTGCGCACTATTATGCACATTTTGTTTTGGCGTTCGCTTGGTGCGCAATTCTTTTTTCTACTAGATTCTATTCTATTTTTAAAAGTTTAAGTAAACAAAATTCATGTCTATATTCCGAGGCGCCATCCCACGTAGTGCTATATTTGAAAATTCGATAAAGTTTAGGGGAGATCACTCCCGGTTTATTATTTTTTTAAATTGTGAGCAATTTTTATGATAATTATAAATTAATGAAACATGTATTTCTGGTGAGAGAAAGAGCTCAAATTATTTCAAGGATTCATGTAACGTAAGAACTGTTACCATGGAGAGGCGGAGGTAGGGGATGGGATAAAATGTGTGATGATGTGTGGAGTTAAGCATTCGTGACGATTTGTGATTAGTTGGGATAGTAATTGTGACGATTTGTGATTAATTGGGATAGTAATTGTGACGATTTGTGATTAATTGGGATAGTAATTGTGACGACGTGTGACGAAGGTTTTTGAGTATTTGCAAATATGTAAATATTGGAAATTTGTTTCTCTCTGGAACTAGGCGGAGGTAGCGTGTTAAACATTTGTGTGGGTGTGGGGTGGGAGGGAATTCGCGTGGGTGTAGGGTAGGAGGGAATTGTCACCTCACAAATGTAATGTGCTGGATGACATTTTGTGATGATATGTGACGTCATTTATTACAAACAAGTCTTTAAAAAAGACTTTAAAAAACATCAACGTGCTGTGTCAAATTCTGGTCAAAAGCTGTGTCGGTCAAGATAAGAATCCTTATCTAAGTTTGCCCTACATACTACCTGCTGGGTTGAATCCAGATAAGACTTGTGATTAGCCTGTAGACAGACCACCAGCAGCCTGAGGTAGTGTAGACCACCAGCAGCCTGAGGTAGTGTAGCACTGAGCTGCGGCACTGGGGAGACGATCAAAATCTAGCACACAATGACCCTCACTCTACGCTCGTGTGTTGCTCTAATCCTGCACGTGCTGGTATGGGTGAGCACTCGAATCTGTGCAGACGACCGTTACGTCATTGTGTCCACGTCATACGGCCAGGTGAGAGGGGTGACGGTTGACGATGGAACAGAACCGAAAGTCAACAAGTTTATGGGAATTCCCTTTGCCAAGTCGACGGCAGGTAATCTTGTATTTACCTCACAATTTTCAGTAAGACTAAACCCTTTCGTTCCTCTCAATCTTAAATTTAAATTACATCTTCAATATTTTCTAAAAAGACAAGATGTGTTTTCACTGTCGAGCGAAGGCAAAAATTATGTCACTGTTTGTCTTTTTGTTTAATCTGTAACCACAATGTTGTAAGCTTTCGAAGACCTTGGGTCGAAACGTCTATTTTACCTGTCTTTAATTTTTGAGGTAACTAACACTATCTGTTTTATTCAAAAACCAAAATAATACACTTGCAGGAAAGAAGTTTCGAATGATGGAGTCAATCGTTCGCAATGTTTCTTTCAGATTTTTCCCCCCTAGTGGGGGGGGGGGGGGTACATGCTCTTCAGGAGGGGGGGGGGGTCGAGCATCCCGAAAAGATACCTAGAAGAAACTCTGATCGTTGGTTGAATGGTCTCATGGTTCACGTCTCCATTACAATCCTAGCTGATAATGGTCGACCTGACCACTGACGCCACAAAAAAACCTAACCTAAACTGATGACTTTGTCATCGTTCTTGCTGACGTCTTTACTGACCCCACTCTCATTGATGACGTCAATATTATCGTTAAATAGACTACCCGTTTCTTCATGTCTAGATATGTTCAACACTAGAACTGATATTTCAAAATTTGATTTTCCCCTCAGGTAGCAGACGTTTTAAACCGCCTGAACCCCCCGAGAAGTGGAACGTGACCTTGGGTGCTTTGGCTCAAGGTCACGAATGTTACCAGCCGATGTTCCCCGGGTTTGAGGGTATCATGAGCCGTAGTGAGGACTGCCTCAACCTGAACGTGTATGTGCCCCAGGGGGGTGGCCTGCAGCTGCCTGTCATGGTGTGGATCCACGGCGGGGGGTACGATTCGGGGGCGGGCTGGATCTACAACGCGCCCTCCCTGGCTCGCAAGGGCGTGGTCGTGGTGACCATCAACTACAGGCTCGGTATCTTCGGGTTCCTGAGCACAGAAGATGACGTCATACCAGGGAACTTTGGCCTTCTGGACCAAATTATGGCCCTCAAATGGGTCAAGGCCAACATCGCTTCCTTTGGTGGAGACCCGAACCGCGTGACCATCTTCGGAGAGAGTGCCGGCTCCAGTAGTGTGTCCATCCTAACGTTGTCTCCCCTTGCCAGAGGTCTGTTCGCTAAGGCCATCATGCAGAGCGGCTCTAGTCTAGCACCATGGGCGGTAACTCTATCTACTTCAAGTCTACCGCCAAAGAAAATCGCCTCCCTTATTGGAGCTAAAGTCAACTGCAGCTCAGGAAACTCCTCAGAGCTCCTGTCGTGTCTGCAGGATGTTGGTGCTCGAGAGCTGCACGACGCCAGCAAGGAGGTGCAGGAGGAAACCGGAAGTTGGATGCTATTGACCCCGTGCGTGGAAACTACGTTTGGCGTGTTACCACATCATCCACACAAGCTCCTAAAATCTGGCCGGTTCAACTACGTGGACACGATTCATGGCTTCAACTCTGACGAAGGCGTCGAGGGAAGCAACAATGGAACGACGCGCGCGGAATTCAGACAATATTTCCGGAACTTCTTTGACGCCTACAAGATCGAAGAGGTGGACTCTCTGCTTGACGCTGTAGAACAGGCCTACCTGTACAACACCACGGACCGTCAAGACATCAACAAAAAACTGTCAGCCGCCCGCACCGACTTTTACCACGCTGCCGCCACTTACCTGGAAATCACGAGTCATTCCGAGAGTGCCAGTGAGAGGAAACACTACCTGTACGAGTTTAGCTACAGGAAAAGCATCAGTGATCTCCCTTCGTGGGTCAGAGCCATCCACGCCGATGACATACCCTTCCTCTTCCACGACTTTGTGTACCCGTTTTGGCAGAGTTCCCAGCCGCCCAGCCGTGACGATCTGCTGGTCTCTGAACAGCTGCAGACCTTGTGGACCAACTTCGCCAAGACAGCCGACCCGACGACGTCACTTCCGGTGGGCGGGGTCACGTGGCAGCCATTTTCCGATTGGTCAAAAAAGCGTCTGAAGATCGACAGCCAGTCCGTGATGGAGGGGTACGATGGGCCGGCGGGTATGTACATCTACATGAAGTTTCTAGAACTTGTGGAAAAGACGTTTAACACTGACGTCATAGTGGGGTGAGCAGTGACGTCATTTAACGGACAAAAACCTTGAAAAATGTGAAAATGCACCGCAATGACTATCCGACCAGACGTGGCTAATGTCAACATTTGTTCTTGGTGATGGTTTTTGTGATACATTTTTTTCTTTGTTTTTTATAGAAATTGTAATTCTAGTTATTAAACTGATTTTAAAAACTATATTTTCTTGAGACATATTTGCAATAATACCTGTAAATGAAAAGAAGAAAATTTGTTTTACTTTAGTTGTTACAAAGGTATAGACCAAATGTGATAAGACAAAGGAATGACTATAAAAAGCTGAAAATTGCATTTTTGTGGCATATAGTAATAAAAATATTTCTTTATAGTTTCGCATTTGAACATTTGAAAGTTTATAATAATTTTTGGACCTAATAGAAATAATAAACAAATAAATGATCACAGCCATAAATGAAGGAACATAAAGCATTTTAATTATATAATACTGTCGTTTCCAATCGGTATGCATGTTGGGTGTGTATTGAAATACATGTTTGAGGTGTAAGTTTGTATTGGAAGATGGGAGACATGTTTGAGGTGTAAGTTTGTATTGGAAGATGGGAGACATGTTTGAGGTGTAAGTTTGTATTGGAAGATGGGAGACATGTTTGAGGTGTAAGTTTGTATTGGAAGATGGGAGACATGTTTGAGGTGTAAGTTTGTATTGGAAGATGGGAGACATGTTTGAGGTGTAAGTTTGTATTGGAAGATGGGAGACATGTTTGAGGTGTAAGTTTGTATTGGAAGATGGGAGACATGTTTGAGGTGTAAGTTTGTATTGGAAGATGGGAGACATGTTTGAGGTGTAAGTTTGTATTGGAAGATGGGAGACATGTTTGAGGTGTAAGTTTGTATTGGAAGATGGGAGACATGTTTGAGGTGTAAGTTTGTATTGGAAGATGGGAGACATGTTTGAGGTGTAAGTTTGTATTGGAAGATGGGAGACATGTTTGAGGTGTAAGTTTGTATTGGAAGATGGGAGACATGTTTGAGGTGTAAGTTTGTATTGGAAGACATGTTTGAGGTGTAAGTTTGTATTGGAAGATGGGAGACATGTTTGAGGTGTAAGTTTGTATTGGAAGATGGGAGACATGTTTGAGGTGTAAGTTTGTATTGGAAGATGGGAGACATGTTTGAGGTGTAAGTTTGTATTGGAAGACATGTTTGAGGTGTAAGTTTGTATTGGAAGATGGGAGACATGTTTGAGGTGTAAGTTTGTATTGGAAGATAGGAGACATGTTTGAGGTGTAAGTTTGTATTGGAAGATGGGAGACATGTTTGAGGTGTAAGTTTGTATTGGAAGATAGGAGACATGTTTGAGGTGTAAGTTTGTATTGGAAGATAGGAGACATGTTTGAGGTGTAAGTTTGTATTGGAAGATGGGAGACATGTTTGAGGTGTAAGTTTGTATTGGAAGATGGGAGACATGTTTGAGGTGTAAGTTTGTATTGGAAGACATGTTTGAGGTGTAAGTTTGTATTGGAAGATAGGAGACATGTTTGAGGTGTAAGTTTGTATTGGAAGATAGGAGACATGTTTGAGGTGTAAGTTTGTATTGGAAGATGGGAGACATGTTTGAGGTGTAAGTTTGTATTGGAAGATAGGAGACATGTTTGAGGTGTAAGTTTGTATTGGAAGATGGGAGACATGTTTGAGGTGTAAGTTTGTATTGGAAGATGGGAGACATGTTTGAGGTGTAAGTTTGTATTGGAAGATGGGAGACATGTTTGAGGTGTAAGTTTGTATTGGAAGATGGGAGACATGTTTGGGTTTTTAAAGCGTGTTTTAATTTTGAATAATCAATTTTATTTCCTTCTGTAATTGATATTTTTGAACACAAAAAACAACTAGCTTTATAATCCAACACTTTAAAATAAAGGCCAAAACTGAAGGGTTGTACCGTGACGTAATGATAATGACGTTTTTATGACTCACCACTTAATAGCTTAACAGGATGATTTTCACTCTAATTGTTGCCAATCAGTACGTCAAGATTCAATCATGGACAAGTACTTTGCCGTAAAAATGTATTGGTCTAAGGAAAGAAATCAAGAATAAAGGGAAACAAGAATGCAGAAATGTTAAAAGATGGACAAGCCCCCAAAAGGAGTCAATTGTTTCACCCATTAAAGCGTTCTTAGCAACACGAGAAAGCAGGTATGTGCAGCCTGCAAACATGTTTTAATTTATACACGGGATAGAAGAATTTCAACTAAACCAATGAATTATCATTTTAGAGAAAAATGTAGCATTTATTTAAATGTAGAATGGTAAGTTGTTTTCTTTGATGCGAATCAGTTGAGTAATGACTTAAGTTAGTAAATGAATTGTTTGATGCACTAAATTGTCCAACGACAATCTACCAGATAAGATTTATATGGGTCACAGCTGTCAGTCATGTGACTGAGCTTCTGGCAGTCAGGTGACTGCGCTTTGTTTACACACCAGTTTTTGTGACTGGGTGTTGATCAAGTGGTTTACTGGGCCCAGAGGGAGGTCAACCGTTAAAAGATGGACACAGACGTGAAGCGTACAAAGTTTATCAAGCGTGTCTCCTTTATCTGTCTTCTGCTGCATTGGGCTGTGTTGCTAGGCGACGTCACTCGTGCAGACGACCAACACGTCATCGTGTCCACGGCAAGTGGCCAGGTGAGAGGTGTTGTTGTTGATGGCGGCTTGGAGCAGAGAGTCAACAAGTTTATGGGAATTCCCTATGGCAAGTCTCCAACCGGTGAGTCAGTTATTTCACCTTTAAAGCGTCGTTAGCAACCACGTATACTAGCATGTGGGTAGAGCTTTGACCCTTTAAAGTCTTTAAAGCGTCGTTAGCAACCACGTATACTAGCATGTGGGTAGAGCTTTAACCCTTTAAAGCGTCGTTAGCAACCACGTATACTAGCATGTGGGTAGGGCTTTGACCCTTTAAAGCGTCGTTAGCAACCATGTATCTAGCACGTGGGTAGAGCCTTGACCCTTTAAAGCGTCGTTAGCAACCACGTATACTAGCATGTGGGTACTACTAATTACCAACTTCTCTGGCCAGGTCCGAGACGTTTTGCTAAGCCTGAAGCAGCCGACAGCTGGCAAGGGGTCAGGGATGCTACAGCCCCGAGCCCCCAGTGTCCACAGATTGACCCCCTAGATAGAAGCGATGGACCCCCCATGGACGAAGACTGCCTGAACTTGAACGTGTTCGTATCCGTCGTGTCGGCAGACGGACTTCCGGTCGTGTCGGCTGACCGACTTCCGGTCATGGTCTGGATCCACGGGGGCTCCTTTTATTTCGGGACCGGCGCAAAGTTTGACGGCGCCCCATTAGCCCGAAAGGGCGTGGTCGTAGTGACGGTCAACTACCGCCTGGACGCCATGGGGTTTCTCAGCACAGAAGATGACGTCATCGCCGGGAACTTCGGGCTCCTGGATCAAATCCTGGCTCTGCATTGGGTCCAGAGAAACATCCAGTACTTTGGTGGTGACGCCGGTCATGTGACCGTGTTTGGGGAAAGTGCCGGTGGCGCATGCGTGGCCCTGCTTGTTCTCAGTCCCCTGGCTAGCGGGCTGTTCCACAATGCCATCGTAGAAAGTGGCTCCTCCCTCGCTTTCTGGACCCTGAGCTACCCAGCCAACCAGCCCAAAGCCCAGGACATCGCTAGACTAGTGGGAGACAAAGTAAACTGCACGCAACCGGACTCTGACGGCTTCTTGGTGTGTATGCGTGGCGTGGAGGCGGGCAGGATCATTAACGCGAGCCATGACGTCAGAACTAATGCAGGTTATGACGTCATGTTCATACCTCGGGTGGAGACGGTCTACAGAGTTATCCCGGATCTGCCCCTGAACTTGTTGCTGACGGGACGGTTGAATCACGTGCACACAATCCGCGGCTACAACACACACGAGGCGTGGTATTTCCTGGACAACACAACTGAGGAGACAACTCGCGAGGGTTTTAGACAAAATTTAATGGGAGTTCTTTCCCCTTTTAACATCCCGAATATACTAGACTTATTAAACCACTATGAAGATGTTTACCTAGGCAACACGACTGACCGGAAGTACATTCAGCGTCAGCTGTTAGCGGCACTTTCAGACACCGTGTTTATCGTTCCGACCGTGCAGGAAATTCTCCTTGAATCGCGTGCCTCCCCCAACCACCAGCACTACCTGTACGAGTTCCGCTACAAGAAAAGTGTCAGCGCCCTACCTGACTGGGTCCACGCTGTACACGGAGACGAAGTCCCCTTTGTCTTCCACGCGTTTGGCAGCCATTTCTTTTGGCCGGAGGGGAGGGGGGCCACACAAAACGACACGGACGTATCGGAACTGATGATGGCCTTGTGGACAAACTTTGCTCGTTTCCGTGACCCCACACACAATGGGACGGCTGTCACGTGGGAGCCGTTGACCACTTCCCACTTAAATCTCCTTAGGGTGGACGTGCCCCCAATGTCGACAGTCTACCAGGACGGGGGGACCAGAGATTTGTACAGCAAACTACTGAGGGAGTTGATGTCAGTAACCCCAAACACGGTCGTAGGTTGAAGGTGTTGATGTCAGTAACCCCCAACACGGTCGTTGGATGAAGGTGTTGATGTCAGTAACCCCCAACACGGTCGTTGGATGAAGGTGTTGATGTCAATAACCCCCAACACGGTCGTTGGTTGAAGGTGTTGATGTCAGTAACCCCCAACACGGTCGTTGGATGAAGGTGTTGATGTCAGTAACCCCCAACACGGTCGTAGGTTGAAGGTGTTGATGTCAGTAACCCCCAACACGGTCGTAGGTTGAAGGTGTTGATGTCAGTAACCCCCAACACGGTCGTAGGTTGAAGGTGTTGATGTCAGTAACCCCCAACACGGTCGTAGGTTGAAGGTGTTGATGTCAGTAACCCCCAACACGGTCGTAGGTTGAAGGTGTTGATGTCAGTAACCCCCAACACGGTCGTAGGTTGAAGGTGTTGATGTCAGTAACCCCCAACACGGTCGTTGGTTGAAGGTGTTGATGTCAGTAACCCCCAACACGGTCGTTGGTTGAAGGTGTTGATGTCAGTAACCCCCAACACGGTCATTGGATGAAGGTGTTGATGTCAGTAACCCCCAACACGGTCGTTGGTTGAAGGTGTTGATGTCAGTAACCCCCAACACGGTCGTAGGTTGAAGGTGTTGTAGTTACTGTTTAAGTGGATGGATTAAATACCTCAATTCTCTGATGTTTTTTTTTTTTTGTTAGTAATAGCTTGATCTAGCCAGTACGCTGGATTATAAGGATGTTAAATAAATTTACAGAAATAAGTGTTCTTTTATCAATAGCAAAGATAGGTAACCATCTTTGAAGAGATTTAAAAAAAAGTATGTGTGCATTTGTAACTTATTTTCACAAAATGAATTTTGCTGCCAATATAAGTATGGCCATCTTTAATTAATGTAATTAATGTGTTAACAGCGTCAGTTTACTTTTATATAGGACATAAAGAGTCCTGGTGGATTTGATATATTTGAAATATATATATATATATATATATATATATATATATATATATATATATATATATATATATATATATATATATATATATTTATTTATTTATTTATTTATTTATTTATTTATTTATTTATTTATATACTAGCCGTCCCGGCCAGGCCCTGTACTGGCCTCTGTGAAAAGCCTATCTGTAAAGGACCATGATTTGTGTGTTTAGTAATCAGCATATACCCGGCATTGCCCGGGTTTAGGAAATATATTACTGTTTGAAAACACAAACGCAAACGAAAAAGCAAGCGAAAACAAACCATAATCCAAACACAAACCCAATCAAAAACGCAAACTCAAACCCAAACATAAAGAAAACGCAAACGCAAATAAAAATAGAAACACAAACGCAAACGCAAACCTAAACGCAAACATTAACTAAAAATAACGCTAATAAACGCAAACATAAAAATAAACTTAAATGCAAACATAAACGCAAAGTGCTCAAATCGCACCATGCCGGGGCGCCAGCGGAATCACCTATTCAACTTAGTCAGCGACTATAGTACGCCAACTTATTCTTAGTCTTTTGCACTCACTTAAACGAACGTAGGTGCCATAGCTAACACGGGAAGGCCCGATGCGCCAAATAACACCATATCAAGGCGCCGGGGGACGTCCGGATTTAATTCACCTAATGACTACAGTAACCTTTCCTATCCATAGCCTATCGCACTGTTTAAAATGAAATTCTGCTCCATAGCGCTCACAGGATAGCCCAGAGCGCCAAATCGAACCCTGCCGGGGCGCCGCCGGACACGCCTGAGTTCATTTAGCGAACGACTATAATACCCCAAGTTTATCCGCAAACGGAAAAATAGAAGTAAACATAAAGGACATTTAGTAGCTGGCTTCTAAACTGTTATTGATTTAAAAAAACGTATTAGCAAACTGTATAAAATAAATAAATGACAGTTTTTAAAATCTGTGTTTTACTTACCACATCTCACTTGATCAATCCATGCTAATTATGTAAATATTTTTTTTACCAACACCAAAACAAAGTAATAAAAAGTAAAATTTTCCCACGATGAAATTTTTTTTAAGTGAAGTAATTGTGTTTTCCTAATTTTTTAAGAGACTTAATGAGTGCTAAAGGACTAAATGTAAATAATTTTCAGAAACAATTAGAATTTTTGTAAAGGGTGATAATTTTCTTTAATTTTTCACTATAAGTTTAAAAAATGAAATTTCTTATATAACACCTTCAACATTAATTTTTAATATCCTTAATCTAGACTAAGATCACTTTAGATATATAACACTATGGCGATCAAGTCTATTTTTTGGTCCGCCACATTCATACAGAATTCAACCTTATATATTAAATGCCACAACAATGCGATTTTCAGCTTTTTAAAAGTCATTTCTTTGCCTTGTCACATAGAGTCTTTATCTTTGTAACAACAAAAATTAAAAGACATTTTCTTCTTATCAATTATATGTATTATTGTAAAATATGTCTCAAGAAACTAAAGCTTTTAAAACAGTTTAATAACTAGAACTAGACTACCCGTGATCCCTTGGATAACTGTGGGTTTCGGGGGTCATCCATAAAAAAACATCACGTCTGTCACTTATCGTCACAAAAAACCAGACCCCACATTCAAAAAGACGGGTTTTTTTTTTTATCTTTAAAAAACAACGATTTCGGCTGATCATTGGTCTGACCACACTATCCCTTCATATACTGACGGACGTCACAGGTGACCTACTCAACTCTACTTCACCTGCCCAGTGTCACGCCAAGTCTCAGACAATATGTTTTTATCGTTTGAAAAATCTATTCCGGCCGAGCATGTCTTTGACCACACTATCCCTTCATATGCTTAGGACAAAGAAACAGATGAACTCTACTTCACCTGCCCTGTATCCCGCCAAGTTCAGATAGGCAACTTTATCATTCACATCTAAAAAATAAAAATAAAAATAATTTTTTTTAACATTGACGTGATGTGTCTAGAACACGTGCCACCCGCATGAAAGCCTATTACACTAACATCTTAGCTATTTAGACTCGTGACATCATTGATGTTTTTTTATGGTATAGTTTAATACTTTGAGTCTCCTAATGCAACTTGATTTACGCGCATAGGCCCTATCTAGATCTAAATCTAAGTCTAGTAACTTTGAAATTAAATTTTATCTTAAATTAGCCAATTCCATAGCTAAACAAACAAAGATTTATATAAAATATTGAAGGTCTGAAAAAGTTTAGTATAGAAACTCATTATTATCTAGATCTAGATAGAATTATCTAGATTCCACGACTCAATTTCTTAAGTCTAGTTTTTGCGTAACTCTTGCTAGATCTAGATTAGACCTATTCTAGATCTAGATATATAAATCACAAAGATTTATATCAAGTATTTAAGGACTAAAGTAGTTTAATAAAGAAACTCAAAAATGTATTATGATTTTAAAATGGATTATATTTTTAACTAATTAATCTTTGGTTTGACCTTAATTCTAGATCTAGATCTATAAATAACTTTCTTGGACAGATTGTAGATCTAGAGAAATTTATTGTAAAACTAAATGAAAAAGACAGTTGAAAATTTATATAAGTGTTTGAACGTAATAAAAACAGCAAACGGACGTATTATAGCCGACAGAAAATTAGCTTTATAACGCGTTAAAGATCTGAATAAGCAACGAAATCTTGTATTGGAGCCGCCATTTATTGTACTAAAAAGTAAACAAATCATGTGACGTCACTACACATAGTGCAGATTCTCTCCAGTAGCCAATCAGACAAACAAATAAATATTCAAACGTAAACAAACTTGAGTTTTAGCAGTATTTAGATTACCATTTCCATAAAAACATAAAGAAAAAATGTATCACGAAAACCAACATCAAGTACAAATTTTGACATCAAGCAACTTCTGGTCGGATTGCAATTGCGGTGCATTTTCACATTTTCAAGGTTTTTGTCCGTTAAATTGACGTCAATGCTCACCCCACTATGACGTCAGTGTTTAACGTCTTTTCCACAAGTTCTAGAAACTTCATGTAGACGTACAGCCCCGCCGGCCCATCGTACCCCTCCATCACAGACTGGCTGTCGATCTTCAGACGCTTTTTTGACCAATCGGAAAATGGCTGCCACGTGACCCCGCCCACCGGAAGTGACGTCGTCGGGTCTGCTGTCTTGGCGAAGTTGGTCCACAAGGTCTGCAGCTGTTCAGAGACCAGCAGGTCGTCACGGCTGGGCGGCTGGGAACTCTGCCAAAACGGGTACACAAAGTCGTGGAAGAGGAAGGGTATGTCATCGGCGTGGATGGCTCTGACCCACGAAGGGAGATCACTGATGCTTTTCCTGTAGCTAAACTCGTACAGGTAGTGTTTCCTCTCACTGGCACTCTCGGAATGACTCGTGATTTCCAGGTAAGTGGCGGCAGCGTGGTAAAAGTCGGTGCGGGCGGCTGACAGTTTTTTGTTGATGTCTTGACGGTCCGTGGTGTTGTACAGGTAGGCCTGTTCTACAGCGTCAAGCAGAGAGTCCACCTCTTCGATCTTGTAGGCGTCAAAGAAGTTCCGGAAATATTGTCTGAATTCTGCGCGCGACGTCCCGTTTTTGTTCCCCTCGCCGCCTTCGTCAGAGTTGAAGCCATGAATCGTGTCCACGTAGTTGAACTGGCCAGATTTTAGGAGCTTGTGTGGATGATGTGGTAACACGCCAAACGTAGTTTCCACGCACGGGGTCAATAGCATCTTAATTCCGGTTTCCTCCTGCACCTCCATGCTAGCGTCGTGCAGCTCTAGAGCACCAACATCCTGCAGACACGACAGGAGCTCTGAGGAGTTTCCTGAGCTGCAGTTGACTTTAGCTCCAATAAGGGAGGCGATTTTCTTTGGCGGTAGACTTGAAGTAGATAGAGTTATCGCCCATGGTGTTAGGCTAGAGCCGCTCTGCATGATGGCCTTAGTGAACAGACCTCTGGCAAGGGGAGACAACGTTAGAATGGACACACTACTGGAGCCGGCACTCTCTCCGAAGATGGTCACGCGGTTCGGGTCTCCACCAAAGGAAGCGATGTTGGCCTTGACCCATTTGAGTGCCATAATTTGGTCCAGAAGGCCAAAGTTCCCTGGTATGACGTCATCTTCTGTGCTCAGGAACCCGAAGACACCGAGCCTGTAGTTGATGGTCACCACGACCACGCCCTTGCGAGCCAGGGAGGGCGCGTTGTAAGTCCAGCCCGCCCCCGAAATGTACCCCCCACCGTGGATCCACACCATGACAGGCAGCTGCAAGCCGCCCCCCTGGGGCACGTACACGTTCAGATTGAGGCAGTCCTCACTAAGTTTCATGATGCCGTCAAAAAATGGGAACATCGGCTGGTAACATTCGTGACCTTGTGTCAAGGCATCCAAGGTCACGTTCCATTTTTCTGGGGGTTCAGGCGGTTTAAAGCGTCTACTACCTGCGGGGGAAAATCAAAGTTTTAAACGTCACATCGAGTCTTTTTAACAATAACAGTGATGTCATCAATGACAGTGACGTCATCAATGTCAGAGACGTCACCAAAGACAGTGACGTCAGCAAGAACAGTGACAACGTCAGTTTTGGTTAGTTGTTTTTCTGGGTTTACTGACCATGCTTCATATCTGTTCAGAGTTTCTTCCATCTCTTCGGGGATGGGGGTGGGGGAGTTGTCGTCCCCCCCCCCCACACCCCCAGAAGAAAGTCTACCGCCCCCCGAACGAAATGGAATTTATATAGAAAACATATACTTTTACCAGTGTCCGCCCCCCTCCCCCGGAAATAGTTTACCGCCCCCCCCCCACCGAAAATATCAAGTTCCACCCCCCCCCCCCCGTAGAAAAAAGTCCGGAAGAAACACAGTCTCCGTAAGTCTGGAGTTCGAATCCGGGTTCAAGATAGTAGACCGTCCCTGATTCCCCCCAACTCTGAGAGTACCTAACTCACGATAGCGAAAGTAAAGGTGGTTGGGCTTTTCAATTCTTTCCGTATGTCGGTGTGTGTATGTATATGTGTGTGTGTGTATGTCTGTGAACATGATAACTTGAGTACAGTTACTTCTAGGTTGATGAAATTTCATATACAAGTATTACATTGAATGTGTAGTTATGTATAGTTTTTCAGCGAGTTCCGGTAACCGGAAATGGAACCTATTCTACTTTTGGTTTTTCAAAAGCCCATAACTTGAGTACTGTTTCCGATAGATAAACGAAATTTCCCATATCAGTAAAAGATCTAATCCTCTGATTTCTTTCGAATTTCTCAAAAAATGCATATGAATTTATAAAATAATAGTGTTCCGCACTATTATACATATATCGTTTGTCGTTCACTTGGTGCGCAATTCTTTTTTCTACAAGATCTTTTCTATTGTAAAAAGTTTAAGTAATTAAAAATGGATTTAAAATATTGTCTATATCCCGAGTTGCTATCCCCCGTAGTATTATGTAAGAATATCCGAGAAAGGTTAGGGGAGATCACTCCCGGTTTATTTGAAAATAATGAAGATGTATTTTAAATTTAAGATGGTGAGGAAACATCGGGTTTTGTCTTTCTGTAACTATGAGGTAAATACAAGATTACCTGCCGTCGACTTGGCAAAGGGAATTCCCATAAACTTGTTGACTTTCGGTTCTGTTCCATCGTCAACCGTCACCCCTCTCACCTGGCCGTATGACGTGGACACAATGACGTAACGGTCGTCTGCACAGATTCGAGTGCTCATCCATACCAGCACGTGCAGGATTAGAGCAACACACGAGCGTAGAGTGAGGGTCATTGTGTGCTCAGATTTTGATCGTCTCCCCAGTGCCGCAGCTCAGTGCTACACTACCTCAGGCTGCTGGTGGTCTGTCTACAGGCTAATCACAAGTCTTATCTGGACAACTCAGCAGGTACAATGTAGGGCAAACTTAGATAAGGATTCTTATCTTGACCGACACCAACTTTTCAACTTTTGACCAGAACTTAACACCGAACGTTGGTAGGTTTTTTTAGAGACTTGTTTGTAATAGATGACGTCACATATCATCACAAATGGTCATCCAAAACCTCCCACTCCACATCGACACAAATTCTTAACACGCTACCTCCGCCTAGTTCCAGAGAGAAACAAATTTCCAATATTTACATATTTGCAAATACTCAACAGCCTTCGTCACACAACGTCACAAATACTATCCCAAATCCCAACTCATCAAAAATCGTCACAATTACTATCCCAACTAATCACAAATCGTCACAATTACTATCCCAACTAATCAATCGTCACAATTACTATCCCAACTAATAAAAAATCGTCACAATTACTATCCCAATTAATCAGTCGTCACAATTACTATCCCAACTAATCACAAATCCTCACAATTACTATCCCAATTAATCAAAAATTGTCACAATCACTATCCCAACTAATCAATCGTCACAATCACTCTCCCAACTAATCAATCGTCACAATTACTATCCCAACTAATCCATCGTCACAATTACTATCCCAATTAATCAAAAATTGTCACAATCACTATCCGAACTAATCAATCGTCACAATCACTATCCCAACTAATCAATCGTCACAATCACTCTCCCAACTAATCAATCGTCACAATTACTATCCCAACTAATCCATCGTCACAATTACTATCCCAATTAATCAAAAATCGTCACAATCACTATCCCAACTAATCACAAATCGTCACAATTACTATCCCAACTAATCACACTTAACGTCTGTACAATGAGCTACTTGTTCTAGGCCCTACCCCCACCCACTGAAATTTTCAAGCTCTCCCCCCCCCCCCTTCAGAAGAAAATCGTCTGAAAGTAACACTGCGTATGCGATGTTCATTAACTTAGGTGATTCATATGCTTGATAATTATAGTTCAAAGTAGAGAGTAAGTATGAAATTAGACGTCAGTATTTCTAGGTGATACGATTCAATTGTTTTTGGATATTAATTTATACCTTGGTGTCGGACTTATAAGGTACTTTGTTGTTTTAACTTGTATATTTGTATATTGTAATTAATTGGTAATAAAATTTTAAACATTGTTGTTTGCATAATGTTTTCTACTCTCCATCTTTTGTATTAATAGGATCTAAATATAGCACACGTTTATTGTGAGGTTCAAACACTACAGGCAGTCACGTGGTGCAGTCACGTGGTGCAGTCACGTGGTGCAGTCACGTGGTGCAATGTTTTCAGTGAGTCAAGATTTATGTAGCTAAACAATGTTTGGGGGTCATGGGCTCAAGTCTGAGTCCACCCAGCTCTAATGGGTACCTGACTCATGTCAGGGAAATTACAGGCGGCTTGGCATAGTACTGACAAAACTGAAACAGATCAACTTCACATGCTCGATGGACCGTGTGTTAGTGAAGGTACTTTAGGTTCAACCCCCGAACCAACCCCGCCCACCCCCCACCCACCCACACATATTATATATATATATGTGTGTGTGTGTGTGTGTGTGTATGAAAGTATGGGTCGAAGTGTAACATGTATTTTTGTAACATTAAATTACTGTTGACTTAAATTTTAATCCAGAGATGACCTCTGTTAAAAATATTAATTGTTAACATTTTGCGTTAAGAAACATCGAGATCCAAGAACGATTGTTAGAGTTTTATTTCAGTTCTCCAGAAGTCATTATCAAAATGGTATCAACACGTTTGGTCAACGGTCCAATGTTATGGCTGAAAGTTATTAAATAAATACACTGAGACAGATATGGTCGGGTGATTCAGGCGTAGTTGGTACACTTTGGTGCGTGACATACTGCTGGTGACATGGTGATTCACATTTGTATGGTGACACACGGCTGGTGACATGTGTATGGTGACACACGGTGGGCCGTTACATACATGAACTAATACACGTTACACAACTAACATGCACACTATACAACAACTACCATGTATACTATACAACAACTACCATGTATACAATACAACAATTACCAGTTAAACTATACAACTACCATGTATACTATACAACACTACCATGTATACAATACAACTAGTGCCATGACACAATACAACTACCACACCCTACAGTAAATTTAGTCAAATTGTTAACCATGTCGAATTGAGAGTATGATATCTATCTCGTCAGTTGCGGGTTCGGAACCCATGTTGATATTGTAGAACTCTTTTTATATTTTTACTGGAATTCACACCACAGGCCACTAATACACAAACACAACTACCATACACAAACACAACTACCATACACAAACACAACTACCATACACAAACACTACTACCATACACAAACACAACTACCATACACATCATACAACTACCATACACAAACACAACTACCATACACAAACACAACTACCATACACAAACACAACTACCATACACACCATACAACAACCATACACACCATATAACTATTTTAATTAATCACAATTCAGCTACCATACAAATCACACTTATACAACTGCCATATAAAATCAGCAAATCTTAGTTTTACAATTGACTTTAAGAAATATTAAAAACAGAACATATGAAATAAAATATACCAATTAGATTTTAAAAGCTTTGAAGGCCCGATAGTTTCGGAATTTTCCCCGCCAAATTTCAGACACGCCGACAAATACACGTTAGCAGGATAATACATAATGGCCAACACGATAGCAGGATAATACATAATGACCAACACGATAGCAGGATAATACATAATGGCCAACACGATAGCAGGATAATACATAATGGCCAACACGATAGCAGGATAATACATAATGGCCAACGCGATAGCAGGATAAAACATAATGACCAACGCGATAGCAGGATAGAACATAATGGCCAACACGATAGCAGGATAATACATAATGGCCAACACGATAGCAGGATAATACATAATGACCAACACGATAGCAGGATAATACATAATGGCCAACACGATAGCAGGATAATACATAATGGCCAACACGATAGCAGGATAATACATAATGGCCAACGCGATAGCAGGATAAAACATAATGACCAACGCGATAGCAGGATAGAACATAATGGCCAACTCATTAGGGAATATACAAGAAAAAAGTGTCAACATTCGCGTGAAAAAATTGATTGAATGTTTGAAGGAGGAGGAGAAGATGATGAGTAATATAACACACGCACCCATAGTCTACACACACACACACACCCTCCTCACTCCGTACACATACACACATACTCACTTCAACCTTTTGCCAATAGAAACAACAACACAAACTACACGTGCACTAAACAACAACACAAACTACACGTGCACTAAACAACACAAACTACACGTGCACTAAACAACACAAACTACACGTGCACCAAACAACACAAACTACACGTGCAAGGCACAGTGTGTTAAGCAATTAAAAAAAAAAAAACAGGTCTGGGTTTTTTCTACTTTGATAAACAGTTTCTGTCACTTGTGAGAATTTATCTCAAATATAATCATTCAACAAGTCAAAGGAGTTTAAAAAAGGAATAAATCAAACATACAAGAAATTGAACTCAGATTAAAAGATAAGACACATTTTTGTAAATGAATAAAAACTTCAGTTGCTTCCCTTTCCCAGTCACATCATTAGCACCAACAGAAACAATACACGGCAAAAATAGAAAACAGTGGTCAGAACAGATGAAGTCTCAGTGGTGTGGCACCAACTGGGGGGTGTGGCACCTATTCGGCCAGTCTTAAGCGGACCGGCCAGTCTTGGACTGGCGGTTCCTTGACCGGCAAGTCTTTGACTGACCGGTGCTAGAACCAGACGGATGAAAGATTTGTGGTTGCCGGGTCGGCAGACGTGCTAGAGGTTTGTGCTCATGGTCGCCCCTCCCTCCCTCCCCTCCTCCTTCTCATCGGCGCCCGCTGCTTGGTTCAGACTCCAGTTTGTGGTGACGTCATCAGGTAGAATCTGGCCGTACACGTCACAGCTATCCGTAGAAAAGAAAATGTTTATTTATTATAAGACTTGCCACTTTCTTTCATCGATAATTCAAGAATATAAATAGCTACGAACTCTTAAATTTATCAAATTCCTATACATAATATTACATCAAACCATGGGTAAAGGTAAAATAAACCAATCAAGCGACGTCACGCTAACTTACCTTAATGTGGCGTCTTGCTCTGGTGCCAGTTGCTCCGCGCACGCGTGCACGTCTGGCACCGTCGGCTGCTGAGCGTCACCCAGGGGCGTCGACTCCAGTGTGTCTAAGACGTCCTTTCTTGCCGTGTCCAGAGTCCTGGTCTCGCCGAAGTCCTTGTTCTCCGTGAAGGAGTTCTCCAGGAAGTTGACCTCCTCTATGAATAGACCCTTGGCGCCCTCTGTGAAGAGACCCTTGGCGCCCTCTGTGAAGAGCCCCTTGACGCCCTCGCTGTGCACGGAGATCTGCACCTGTGTGCTGGTGAAGGCCGACTTGCCTGGGACGTTGATGATCTTCTCGCTCAGGTCGGAGCTCGCCACGTCTTTGGCCACTTCCAGCACGGCCACCAGACGCTGGCCACTGGACTCGCACGGCGTCGTAGACTCCGACGCGCCCAGCTCGACGCCAGAGTCTTCACAGCAGCTCTCCGAGCCGTTGGCGGAGGCGTGTCTAGCGGGGGTGACGTTGATGGAGTTTCTCTTGGGCTGGTGCTCACTCTCGTGATCCTCTGTGACGTCATCGCCCGCGGACATGCTCTTGCTCCGCTCCCGTTTTTGCAAAGTCTGGCCTGAGTTCTTGCCCTTGCTGGAGAACATCTTCTTGTTGACCTGGGACTCGGTCACGTGATCCTCCTGCAGGGACTTCCTCGCGCCGCCCGCGTGCTTGTTTTTGTGTGACGTAGATTTTGCCGCTGGGTCGGTCACGTGGTTCCCGTCGTGTTTCCTGCCGTCGTTGTTGTCCGTCTGCTCGTCGTCCACAAAGAGCGGGTTCTTGCAGCCGGCATCGTCCGTCTGCTCCTCGTTGTCAGCCAGCGGCACCTGGTCGCCTGCAGATGACGTCATGGTAGGAAGAGTTTTAGTTCAAGAAAAACAAAACTTATTTCAATAGTTCATTTTACGAGTGAAATATTCTAAAACCTGAGTCCAAGTTTAGAGTCCATAGAACAATGAGCAGTGAAATTATGTAATGTCTTTTATTATATTTAAGTGATTTTTTAATTGTTTCTAACAATATGTCTCTCTTTGTTGGACACAGCTCCTGACGTTTTACAAACAGTCATTCTTACCAGATTCTTAGCCGTTTCCGTATTCTTCTTGTTTCTGCGTTAGTTGTTTCTTTGATTTTTTTAGATCAAAGAAACAACTAACGTAGAAACAAGAAGAATACGGAAACGGTTGAGAATCTGGTAAGAATGTCTGTGGTGGTAAACTACTATTTGTTTAATCGCAAAGACGAGTGGTCATTTTCAGATGTGTTGAGCACTGATGGACATAACTCAC